TGCTGCTGCTACTGCGCTGCGGTCCTGCAGAGGCGATAACGCACACCCCCCCCGTTTCCCGCCATTCAAATCCTCATCCTTCCCACCCGTCCTTTGAATCGGGACCCGCTGTTGCTTAATGCCCATACGACGTCTCAGGGCGTCCAATTGAAAACCCCAGATTGCCTCCCTCCCGATCGATGATGAATCAAGGAAATCTAGGTTCCTCGTATCTACCAATCCGTCATCTCGCATTCCCGACTCAACGGAAGAGGCCCAAAAAATAAGCGCCGGGATTCGCTCCCGCTTGGGAGAATGTGAACTTTTCAGACCGGACTGCCCGTTGGTTGCTACCCAAATCACTGATTCTGCTTCTCACTCTCGTCTTGGCCTCACATCTCCCCCGCTCTGATCGCCGTTGCTTAGACGGGTGAGATCCAGTGCCCTGGTCTGATATGATCATGGGCACCCACGGCAAGCCATTCACATCACTAGTCGGCTGGCCTCTAACACGGCTGTGCGGTTTGAACCTCCTGATCACCTTTCATCGACCTGCTGGCTACTCTTCAGCCGATTATCTGGTTGTTCAACATGGTGTACTGCGGCAAGCCTTCCAAGGGCTGTTCTAGTTGCCGCGAACGAAAAGTCAGGGTATGTCCGTATTTGGCTGCACGAGCTCCTTGACCCGCTCGAGTCTCGATGTGCTTTTGGTCGCGTCTTTTCTGCGACATTTGTAGATAGGCAGACATGCGGTTCTCGGCTTCTTGGGTTGTGTATATCTTGATCGTGGGCTAACGGCGTCGTCGATAGTGTGACCAGAAAGAGCCCGGTTGTGGCCAGTGTGAGAAGCGCCAGCAGCAATGCCCTGGCTATCGAAACCTTGTCGACCTCATGTTTCGGGACGAGAGCTCCCATGTCATCAAGAAAGCCGCCAAAACGAAAGCTCGGGGCCGCTTGAAGACTTCCGGTACCATTCGCGACGCCGAGTCGTACGAGAATGCACCAGCCACCACCAGCACCAACCCCGGCACCGACCCTGAGAGCTCCGGCCCGAGTTTCAGACCGACCGCCAAACCTGGTGCTCGTCGCCAATACCAATTTCATCCTGTAGTCGTGGGGACTCAGAACGTCGCCATCAGGCACCGACCTCGTCAAGCTCGATGGGCTTCTTCCTCCGAAAGTGATGACAATGACGATGACCTGTTGCCGTCTCCTGAGGAAGGAAACCGGCCAGCGACGCAGCAAGCAACGCCTTTATACTCCTTGTCGCCATCGTATCAAGAGCGTGGCACAGCCTTCTTCTTCTCCCGTTATGTATCTGTCGACGAGAACGCCTGCCACCTAAACTATGACTTCATGTTTGACGTCTGGCGTCCAGCTAGCATGTTGCCTGACCGGCAGGTAGACGGTGTGATGGCTAGCATGACAGCTGTCGGACTGGCTGGTCTCTCCCATCTCACCGCGTGCCCCGAATTGATGGACTGGTCGCGCAGGAGCTATGGCACCGCTCTACAGCTGACCAATGATGCTCTCCGGAACCCTGTCGAGGCGCTCAAGGACACGACAATGTTGTCCATCCTCATCTTGGGCACGTACGAGACGCTCAGTAGCCGCAGTAGCCAGACAGTAAGGGCATGGCAAAACCACATCAACGGCGCCTCTGCGCTGGCCAAAATGCGCGGCCTCAAGCAGTTCACGACAAGGGCGGGGGCCCGTATGTTTGTCATGTTGACGCAGATCGCTCTCATCAATTGCATGCAGAAAGACATGCCTATGCCGCAGCCTCTGATCGAGCTCCGAAACCAGCTGGGTTTGCTGTCAGGGGGTACAGATGCCAACTGGCGAATATCAGGTCCTATTTATAAGGTCATGCAGTTGAGACACGACATCAACAGCGGGAAACTCAGCCAGACAGCTGAAATTATCGACCAGCTGCTAAAAGTTGATCGGGAATTTGCCGACATCATTTCTGACCTACCAGAACATTGGAAGTATCGACCTGTGAAGCTCTCGAAACCCCACCCAGCCGTGTTCGATGGTTATCATTGTGATGTATATCCAAATCTGGGGTTAGCCGCGACATGGAATGGCGTTCGATCCATCAGATTGATGGTACATGAGACCATTGTTGGCGAGCTCTTCAAGTGCTTTCCCGGCCAGCACATAACGGCTTGGCCGTACGAAGCAAAATCACAGCTTGTAAATTCTGCCGCGTTCTTGGAGAAACTTCGCGATGCAGTGATGGCGAGTGCTCCTCAACATTTCGGCGTCGTCAGCTTCAAAGATGCAATGTCAGAAGGCGGTGGCTCGGTGACAGCCGTTGTTACAGCTAACAAATCACCGGCCAATATTGTGCTGTCTCCCCTAACTTCCGCATTTTCTACGCCACCCGCTTTCGTGGACGGCCCGACGCGACGCCCGGCTGTGTTCAACGGTCCAACTTTGCACGACCCGGCACATATGAAAGGTCGCAGCGACGATGCTGAGCGCTTCATGACCCTTGCGTCTGCGACCAACACTGTTGTATGGCCGTTGTACTTGGTGGGCGTCTCGTCATGCAGTACAGAGGAAGTCAAGAATTATGTTGTCGAACGGTTGCAAGCGATCCTCGAGGAGTCGGGATTGCTGCAAGCTCGTGGGGTAGCACTTATGGTGAGAGATAAGGAGGTGTGCATACCATGGGCCGATGTGGCCTGGGATCAAATGCCACGAACACAGATTCCATCGGACTTACTTGTGTAAAGGTCCCATGAACAGCTCAGATGACCGGATGTCGACTCTAAGTGTTAGTAAACACATGAATTATACTCATCATAACCATGGCGACTTCTAGGTAATCTGTGAGGGGTATCATATTTATTTTTAGCCGTCTGTGATCCCGGGATCATCGCGGCTTGCAGCCGGGCCGCAAGGCATCACCAGTTGTCAAAGTTGCCGAAGCCTCCGCTCTTCACTTTCTTCTTGGCCGGTTCTTCCCAGGTATCAAGGTCTGCATCTGCAGCTGTCTCTGGGCTCTTGTGTGACTTGAGATACTTGCCTACCCCGGCGCCTGCGCTCCCATTGTCCACAGTGCCGTCAGTTCGAATCCTCTTGCCGGTCCAGGTGGTCTTGTCATCTTCTGTACCGCCGCTCAGTGCTATCGCCTGCTTGGTCTTTTCCGCTTTGTCGATCTCGGTCTTTTCCTTCAGGAACTCTTCGAAAGGATCCAGATATACCACCACTTCCTTCATCACAATCTTGTTGAGCGGTCGGTCGGACCCGTCGGTGGGAACGTCTTCCATCTTTGACAGCACGTCCAGGCCGCCAACAACCTTGCCAAACACCGTGTGTTTGTTGTCCAGGTGCTTCGTTGGCCGGTAAATGATGAAGAATTGGCTAGAGTTGGTATTCTTGCCTTTGTTGGCCATACTGATGATGCCTCGAGCATCGTGTGTTAAAGGTCCATCAAACTCGTCTTGGAAGTTTTTCCCCCAGATGCTGGTACCGCCTTTGCCCGTGCCTGAAGGGTCGCCTCCCTGGAGCATAAAGTTTCTAATGTTCCTGTGGAACGTGACGCCCCTGTAATAGCCCTTCTGTGCTAATCTCGTGAAGTTCCATACCGCACGAGGCGCATACTCTGGATAGAGCTCGATATTCAGATCGCCAAGATTGGTTTCGATGCGAGCATAACCCTTGATCTTGACTCGTTTAGGCTTGAGCATGTATTCCTCGTCTGTCAAAAGCGCTCTTTCGCCACTCGTCTCAGGCGTAAGTCCAGTGCTGGTGAAACTGGCGGCTGCTCTGCCGGTCGTGTAGGCGGCGGCATTGGATGGAACATTCTTCTCCATGATCATTGACTTGCGCTGTACCCCCGATCCGGACTTGACAATCGCGCCAGATGTGCGATTCACATCACCGCCTTCTCCACGCTCCTTGCGGGCCTTTTCAACGGCCTCCTTCGCCCTCAGAACCTTGTCGCCTATGCGACCAAGCGCGTCGATGTTGACATTACCGTTCTTCCGCTCCTCCTCCTGCTGCTTCGTCAGGATAGCTTCATCGCCATCCTTGAGGAACTTGAACTGACTCAAGTCCCTGCTGGCAGCGTTTTGGGGATCCTGCAAAGTGATGATATCGGCTCTTGTAAACTCCTCGTCGTCGACCAAGTCTCGCCAGTTTTTCGCCTTGACATTCATTCGCTCGACCGTTTCCCAGGCAAATACGTTTGCGTAGCTTCCGTGTCGAACCGCCACGATGTGGGTGTTATCCGTGAAGACCTTGAAGGTGACAGGATCGATTAAGTCGCCCTGGACGTCGCTCAGGGCAGCACTTCTCGAGTCGGTTCCGGCATTCCTGGCGAAGTTGAGTTTGATCAAATCTTTGACACTGAGTGGCTCGCCGTTGACGGGATTTGTGTCATGTTTGTCCAACCAGGAACTAATGACCTCGACATCGAAAATGGTCCCATTCTTGGTGCATACGGGGTTCTTGAAAGGCTGGAGACTGGCGGCGCAAAAGTTGAAGGGGAGGCGGCGGAACGCGCCTGGACGCGAGCGCCCGTTGACATTCGCACCGGCGCTGGCAGAGTAGGCGTCCGACGAAGACCACTCGGAGTGGGTAATATAGAGTTTGTCCGTGTTCTTGCCCATTGTTGTTGCCGTTGCGGTTGTGCTTGCAATACGCAGATAGCGACGAGGCTGGCCTGCGACAGGACGACGTTTTCAAAGTGGACTTGTAGCGGTAGAGATTGAGCCTGTACCGCCGCAGTCTTGCCGTGCAGCAAATGAGGTCAAGTCTTGCTAGAAGAAAGGCATTCAATTCCTCGGCTACCAGTGAAGCAACACCCTGGGAATAGGTTTAGGTGGATTCCGCTAACAGCAGTACTCCCTGCGGAGTGGCTGCCGTGCGACAACAGAAGAAGTTTCGGCAGTGAACTAAGGCAAGTCCTTCCCTGCCCATGTGCCTGTGTAAGATACATCAGCACCGAATCCCTTAGCAAGGGGAACCTTCAGCACCCTGCGTTCGCTAGCGACTCGCAGGCTCATCATGTAGCTATCGACCAATGAAACCTCCCAATGATTCAAGTTCTAGTAGGCGTACGTGCCTGCCTCGGGAGCTTGGCACGGCCCTCCCTCTCGCTGCCAGTTTCGCCAAACATCTGCCAGCCTGGCACTGACAGGCTTCGATTCGCTACGACAAGCTCCCGCCGACACAGTCTCCGTGCAACGTATCCGACTTGGCCGGACTGGATTCTCACGATCCGCCAACACAAATCTACCAACGGCCAAAGTCGTATACACTCATTCTATCCGGCATGCTTCTCGCGACCATCGTCTCTGTAACATTGCTGTAGATACAGCAACTTCTCCGGCTCTGACACTTCGTGCCGCTACTACAAAACACATATCTCGTCAACCCGACCAACCTAAAAGTCTCGCTGTCGACCTTAGCCTCGCCCCGTCCACCAAGTCTATCATCAAGATGAAGGCAGGGATTTGGGCCGCTGTCTTGGGCATGTCCCTTTGGACAGCTGGTGCCCTGGAAGTGAAGATGGTAGGTTTTCGATCCCGCGATCGTTGATAAGGGCGACTGCTTGGAGTTTGAGAGCTAATCTGAGCCTGGCTGGTGTTGTAGGACCAAACCGACGAGAATAGACAGAGATGCTCAGGTGGGTAGCCCTCTGCGAACTGAAGCGCTACGTCCATCGCGAGGTTGTACTGACCATGGTTGAATCCAGGCATGTACAGTCGCAGCGCCTGGGGCGGACCTGTCGACCCTTACATCAACGTCATGTTCCTTCCGAAAGAGGCTCCGGCCGACCAAGATCCTGTCGTGAGCTTGGTCATCTTTGAATGGAAGGACGAGGACTTAATTGGTGTCCGCGAAAGCCCAGATGCCGAAAATGTGAGATGCCCTTCTGCAAGCGATTGTTGCTTTGCCCACACCAGACGACTGACGTTGGTTCTGCGCAGAAAATTGGCATTTGTCAGGAGGCATATGTCCAGAAGAACTACTGCAACGAGACGGATATCGGCAAGTTCATCATTGATCCCGATGCCACCACCAAGTCGAAGAACATGATCGAGACGAAGGCTATCCACCTCAAGGAGCCGCAGACGACCAAGTACATGATTGGAAAGACTGGCTACTACTGTGTTCTGACCGACAAGTTCTCCGCGGGCGATTTCACTGCAATTGTTGAGTTCCGTAATGCCTACGGCGAGCTGCCTGCTACGCAAATCCCGAAGCTGCCTTTCTATGGAGGAATCACCATACTCTATGCGCTGGTTGCAGTGTATGGGCCCCCACGTGTATTGTGCCCCATTTAACTTTGCTGACCCTGTTTAGGTTCTGGGGGTTTCTATACTATCAGCACCGACATGATATTTGTAAGGAACAATGTCGGGATTGAAAAGCAGTTGACTGACTGGTCGCAGTGCCGGTCCAAAACTACATCACGGCCATTCTCATCTTTCTGGTTGTAGAGATGTTGATGACTTGGGGATTCTATGGTAAGGCGATTTAAGCTAGCTTGGTCCTAGAGAACGTGACTAGCTGACATACTCAGACTACCTTAACCGGAACGGCGCAAACATCGGCTCCAAGGTGTTGCTGGTTATAGTAGCGATCCTGAATGCTGCTCGCAATTCCTTCTCTTTCTTCTTACTGCTCATTGTGTGCATGGGATACGGGGTCGTGAAGCATACGCTTGGGCGCACCATGATCTGGGTGCGGTGGCTCGCAATCGCTCACTTCCTTTTTGGACTTGTTTACGCAATAACAAGCTTGCTAATTACTCCCGACGCTGCTGGTAAGTTGCCCTGAACGTGACTTGGACATGGTCCAAACTGACTTGTTCAGGCCCATTCGTGCTACTCATAGTCCTCCCTCTTGCTAGCACCTTGACCGGTTTCTATGTGTGGACTCTCAACTCCTTGAACTTCACTCTAAAGGATCTGCGCGAGCGCAAGCAGCATGCCAAGGAAGCCATGTACAGGAAGCTCTGGTGGTGTATCTTGATCAGCATTTTCGTCATCTTTGGCTTCTTCTTCTTCAACAGCTTCAGCTTCGCATCCGTCAACGACCCCGACTACGTCCCCTTCCACTGGAAGTCCAGATGGTTCGTTCTTGACGGTTGGCTGAACCTTGTCTACTTCGCCGACGTGGCTTTTATCGCCTACGTTTGGAGGCCCACCGCCAACAACAAACGCTTCGCCATGAGTGACGAGATCGCCCAAGATGATGACGGTACGTTCACGATGGCGGACATTGGAGCGCCGGACGATTCGGACGATGACGAGGAGGCTCAATTGGGCAAGAGCAACAACGAAGGGCCGCAGCCTGCAGGCCATGCTGCTTCCTCGGGTATGCCGGCGAGCAGTATGCCGCAGCAACAGCCACAAAGGCACGTCCCGCGCGAGTCTTTGGACGGCGAGACAATCTTCGCCGTTGGAGAGGATGGCGACAGATTCTCTGACGACTCTGACGAGGAAGACGCCAAGTTGGTAAGCAAGAAATAGAGAGGGACGTTTTGGATTTTCGGGCATCAGACAAAAAGCAGCAATCCTGTAATTGCAATGTACAACATCAAGTCACCCTGAGGACGGCGTTGGCGTCATCTGCACGTTCTCGAGCAGAGAAGGCTATTTTGTCCTTCTAGAATGGATGTCAAATAATACGATCGCTAGTAATGCGTTCTTTGTTGCTACAATGTAATGTGAGTGACGTCTTTCGTCAATCACTCCCAGGTGGTATCATTCAGCACCCGGGCCGAGGGCACTTTGTGCAACAAGGCATTGTTACACGTCGCCACCAAAGCCAACAGGACGTCTGCGTCCGGCATTCTCCGGCAGAATCGCCATCACCTTGTAGACCTTGCCCATTCCTCCAGGGCCACAGTCGATAAGGCGTCCACAAGCCCTCGCAATGTCCTCTGCCTTCACGAACTCTTCCTTCCCCCTGACCTGTTTCATGAGCACCTCGGCGCGCTGCCTGATGCCCATCAGTTCCAGGAACGCACCCTGTTCGATGGGGCCATGGACCTCAACGCCCTGGCTCGCGCGTGTGGCAGCCTCGGCAATGGCGGTGAAGTCGACGTCTGCGCTCAGATCCACGAGGCCGGGTTCAGAAAAGGGGCTGACGCGGCGGTGGCGGCGGATGCCCCGCAGCGAGTTTATGGGGACGGTGTCGGAGGTGCCGTAGTCGAGGATGAGGGCGGCGCCTGTGGGTCGAGACTTGGGGTGCTTCTTGGAGCCGCCGATGCGGCTGGCGAAGTCGGAGGCGTAGAGCGAAGCGTCCGGGCAGATTTCGACAACGGCGTCCGGGACCGAGGCCTTGAGGCGGCTGTAGCGGGACGAGCTCTCGGGGAGGTACCGTGAGTGACGGGTAGTGCCCGGTGAGAGCGTCATCTGGAAGTCAGGAATCGGGTCGCCCTGTTCAGACTTGGGGATCTTCATGGTCGCGTGGGTTGCGTCTGGTGGAGTGGGGGAAACGAGCATCTCGCGCCACTCAACCTTGGGAGGAATGGGAGGATCCGGCGTTGGATTCTTGGGTAGCGATGGGTGGGGAACAGTCACGGCCTGAAAAACGTGGATGGGGAGTGCGTCAAAGAATTCGTGTGCTACGATGAAGGGCATCTTATCAGGTCCTGGAAGGTGGTTGTCAGTATATATGCCCTTGATCGGGGGTGCCATGGTCATGCTCACTTTGAGGGATGGACTTAATGGTCTCAGTCCAAACGATTGGCAAGTCCGTGTACTTGCAAACGCTATGATAGCCAACCTTGGACTCTGTCATGGGCGCATCAGGGCCACAAAGGAGATTCTTCTGTGCCTCGCGGAGCTGCGGGCTTGCCTCAACCATATAGATGGCATCAATGCTCTGCGCCAGGCCCTTGAAGTTCTGGATTGTCTGTATGGTATCAGTCCACTTGCCCCCCCAGAACATGGCATCATTACAAGTTATCCACTCACACGAAGCATATCATCCATCAGAGTACCGCGTCCAGGGCCAACCTCAATAAGCTCGACCCCCTGCTTAGGCTTGCCCTGGCTTAGCCACTCTGCTACGAACCATACGCCGATCAGCTCGCCGAAAATCTGGGAGATCTCGGGCGAGGTGACAAAGTCGCCCTTCAAACCAAACTGGTCTCTGTTCTCCTCGGCTAGACCCGTGTAGTATCCATCGATATCGCCCGTTAGACACATGCGCATATAGCTCGCAAGGGGAACGGGGCCCGTCATCTAGTATGCAAATTGTCAGGTGAGGCTCTAAGGATCAAGAGGTATCGCGCATACCGAGATAGCTTCTGCCAGCTGTTTCGCCAGCGGCGTGGACCATTTCCTCTCCTCCTTGCCCTCCTTCTTTCCCTCGTGTCTCGACACAGTGCAGGAAAAGTCCCTTGAAGCCTGCACCGCCAGAGGCCGTTGCACCGCACGAAGCACGGCGGCACGGGTTACGGCAACCCTCTGTAGGCCAGCCGCCAGAGCTCCTCGAGTAAACAGGCGTTGCATCTCGTGCTTCTTCCGCTTTTGTGAGCTTTTTGGTAATCCTCCTTCCTTTCGATTCTTGCCTGCTTCGCGCGCAAACTCCCAGGCTTTTATGCACGTGTCGTCGGGACCATTGCGGATTTCCTCGAAAAAGAGACGGGATCGTGTTCAGTAGCGTGTCGCATGTGTTGACGCCGCGGCATGTGCTTGCCCAGGATTCGATCGTTCGGTTCGGTTGGTTTCTCTTAGCTTGGATGCATTTTCTACGAGATAGTGAAGAAAAGCTTCGGGAAAGCTTGCAGCTTCCCTGAGTGCGATAAGATAAGAATTCTCTAGCCTCATGCGGACTTGCATAAGTGTGAGCTGCGTCCCTATAAAAAGTGCATATAGAACAGGGAAAAGGTCGGAGCAAGCTAGTCGCCGACTCGCCGTGCGTGGAACCTCCAATTACTACAATTGCAGCTCCAGAACGTCCGGAGACCACACAATTCCTTTCCGTAGGATAACTCACGACAATACCATAACACGTTTCCACGACTACGCATACTTGTTCGACTAGCTGCGCAACCACGAATTGGTCTGGCTAGAAGCGTGCATAACACGATAACTAGCGAGGCGACATCATACACCGCTGTCGCAATGGCAAGCAAAGCGAAGTCAAGATGGGCAGACAGCGAGGAGGACGCCGCTCTTGTGGCCAAAATTAAAGCCGACAAGGAGGAGAAGAGGCGTCTGAAGGCCGAAAAGGCACGCAAAGCTGAAGTGGAACGATTGGCGCAGCAAGCTAGAGCGAATACCGACAGCGGCGCCGCGAACGACGAAGACGGCGACGACACACGGCCGGTGAAACGGCGCAAGTTCACACCGGATACAGAAGGTGGGGGGAAACAAGCCTCAGAACACGATGCATTGGATAACAAGGAGGGCGCTGCGAAGCTCATGCGGTTTCCTTCCGGCCGCTGGGGCAAGTGCCGGAGTGTAGAGAACTACGACAAGCTAAACGACATCGAGGAGGGCACGTACGGATGGGTATCTCGGGCGAAAGAAACTGCAAGCGGCAAGGTTGTTGCCCTGAAGCGTTTAAAGATCGAACCGAGCGATCGTAATGGCTTGCCAGTAACGGGTTTGCGGGAGATACAGATACTACGCGACTGTAGCCACCGCAACATTGTTAATCTGGAAGAGGTCGTGATAGGAGACGATACGTCAAAGATTGAACAGTTGGTGACTCCTTGGCCTGTACTGTGCTGGATCGAGGCTAATTTCGGCGCTGCAGTATATTTCTCGTACTAGAGTTCGTCGAACACGACCTCAAGAGCATCTTGGAAGATATGCCCGAGCCCTTCCTCTTGTCCGAAGTCAAGACACTGCTCCAACAGCTGACGGCGGGTGTCGCGTACCTCCATGATAATTGGATCCTCCACCGCGATCTCAAGACGTCAAATCTACTACTTAATAACCGCGGCCAGCTCAAGATCGCTGACTTTGGCATGGCGCGCTATGTTGGCGACCCGCCGCCGAAACTGACGCAGCTTGTTGTGACGTTGTGGTACCGGTCACCGGAGTTGCTCCTGGGCGCCCGGGCCTACGGCCGCGCCGTCGACATGTGGAGCGTCGGCTGCATCTTTGGCGAGCTCCTTACGCGTGAGCCCCTCTTGCAGGGCACCAACGAAGTCGACCAGGTGACGAAGATCTTTGAGCTTTGCGGCGTGCCGACGCAGGAGTCGTGGCCATCGTTCCGCAGCCTTCCGAACGCACGGTCGCTGCGATTCCCGAAGACGTCACAGGCCACGGCCTCTGTAATCCGGGCCAAGTTCACGACATTGACAAATGCTGGATGCGCGTTGCTGAACGATCTATTGTCTCTGAATCCTGATTCGAGGCCGTCGGCCAAGGAGATGCTGGAGCACAAGTACTTTAGGGAGGACCCGAAGCCTAAAAAGGAGGGCATGTTCCCGACCTTCCCCAGCAAAGCGGGCCAGGAGAGGAGAAGACGGCATGAGCCGAACGCTCCTGTTCGCGGACAGAACGCCGTTGAGCTGGGCGACGTGGATTTTAGTGGCATCTTTCAGGGCAGAGATAAGGAAGAGAGAGGCGGTGGCTTCTCTCTGCGGATGGTGTAAGTGAGGCCGCATTAGTACGGCCATGAAACTGGCCAGTATCATCAATTAAGCTCTATATTGCTAACTCTCATAAACGTCCGAGTTCAACTATATATGAGTATGTTTTGCCCAACCATGCTTCGACATTTAACGCCGCCCGTATGTGAATGACCGCCGTTAATGATTACCGCTTGACTCTTGTTCTCGCTCTTGTGATAGACCCTCCCCCTCAGAGAAAATGAACATGTTCAATCAAAAGATTAGATATGGAAAATTTGTCATTAAAACACGTCATCAGAACATGCCGAGTCCTGTCACGAACCATGTGAAGCTGGCTACGGTGATCATGCTCATGCCTACAGCCATACCGACAGCCTTGTTGTTCAGAGAGGGCGCGGACGACTTGCAAACTGCGCAATGCCACTCGCTCAGAGGCGTGTACTGTTGGGGCAAGTACATGCCGAACTTGAAGCTGTTCGAGACGCCCAAGTAGCCGGCGGCTGGAGTCGCGCTGACGCTCGATTCGGCATCGTAAATGACGAGGGTGTACTCATCATTGCGCAACGGGGCCGAAGGGTCAGACGCTTGCACGCTCGAGTCCCAGGTGAAAGAGGCGGGTTGGGCAAAGCTCATGTTCTGAGTGAGCGTCCACGTCTGGGCCATGGCAGAGCAGGAAACAAGGACGTCGATGGCGGTAGGCGTGGCCTGAAGATTCGTATAGTTCCATCCCCAGGTGACGTAGTCTCCGATCTTGTATAGGTTTATAGCCTGTTGCGTAGGTGCCGGTGTAATCATGACAACAGCACCCGCAGGGTCTGTGTCGTCAAAGGTGGTCGGCTTTGGCTTGCTGGTGCCAGTACCCGTCTCTGTGGAGCCCTTTGCGGTGTTGAGGTTTGCGGTGTTGAGGTTGGTGGTTTTGGCGCCGCCTGTCTTCGTCTCCTCTGCAGTTCCCGTAGCCTCTGGTGTTGTCGTAGCCCCTGATTGGGGGGCCGGAGTTTGAGTTGCGGCAGGAGCTGGGGAGCAAGGTTAGCTGTGTAGGACACACGCACAGAGCGGCTAGTGGTATGGAGGCAACGTATCACAACATACCGGAAGATTCGTCGTTCTGGCGCACAACCAGGGCATCGACATCTGGAAGCCATCTGGGCCAGGCGGAAGCCAGAGGGGTTAAGGCTGCGAGGCCAAGAGCGAGAGACTGGACGGCCTTCATGGTTCTGAAGAAAGAAGTGAATTCCTAGAGGTTTGAGGAATACTGAGGAGTGAACCAGGTTCCTGGAGGAATGATGTCGTCGATTGTTTACCGGGAAGGAAACAAACGGTACCAAGCGAGTGCAATCGATCGAGGACAAGATATTCCGTCTCTGAGAGGAGTTCGAATGGTTGTATTGTCGTAGATCGAAGAGGGTTTAAGTCGAGTCGCGGGCACCCCTTTTCACGAAGTGCAAATTCGTGATAGTAGTACCGGGATGTGTTTTTTTTCTTTAACTTGTCGATCTCCAAACCCGGGGGCAATTGTTCTTTTCACTTCGAATATCCTCCTCTTCTGATAATAACAAGAAAACGAGCGGTGTTTGGATCAAAGCGAGTGTCGACGTTCCGGATTCAAACAAAAACGGACGTGAGGGAAGGGCGTCGGACTGCTGCTGGGAAGCAAATCACATGAGTTAGGGGGAGTGGTCAGGATCGGGGAGAGAGAGCGAAGGAAGGGCGAGAAGGCGCTGGAATGGGAGGAGAGAGAAATTTGGGGCTCTACACGCTCAGGAGGGAACGTGGATGGGGCCCCGATTGATTAGGTTCTGTGGGTCCACAGCAACCAAGGCATCCCCTCGACGGAACAAGTCACTTTGTCACTTGCACACGCACCCCTCAGACTTCTAAGGGGGACGGGGCAAGCTGAGAGAGCCAGTAAGTGACGGACGGGATCATGACCAAAAAACAATGAAAAAATAAAGAAAAATAAAACAAAACTGGAAGCATACCGGTACTTTGCGGTAAGGAACAGGGGCTGAGCCTGCTGGAGCCATGCACCAATGCATGGAAGGATGGGTGGCACTGCACACACACACAGCCCAAGTTGGGGGGAAAAGAACATCGGACCAGTCAGCAGCAACTTAATGCTGTAATTATGTCAACATCAGCCGGGAAGTGAAGAAAAACACGGGACGAAGAGTCTGCAACTTCAGGCACGAAAACAACCCATCATCCCACCAATCCCACCCAAACACCAACCTCCCCAAACCCCCCTCTAGTAGTACACTACGGCTTTGAGGCACTGCGACTGCCGTGGCCCTTCTCCGGCCTCCCTACCCGCCACCCACACCCTCCACATCCTTCTTAGTGGCTCAAGACAACGCGCCTCCTCCTTGACAATGGTCTGAAGCCGTTTACCAGTGGACTAATCAGCAGCGTAGTCCTTGAGGAAACTCGGATGGCTACACATTGCAACAGCGCTGGGCCTTGTCAGTGCACTTCAGGTACCTGGTGGAATACAAGGGCTGACTACCTAGGGGGGCGGAGTGATCTGATTTGGTGACCTGGTGCATCGGGTTGAGGAGGTGGGATCCACCCGGTGCATCGTATTCCTCCCCCGTTCCTCCACTAGTGACACTGCTCACTGGTCCAGCTCCCCCGCCCTCGTTCGTGTTGGCCTTTCGCTCCTCTAAAAATAAGTACTGGGACACATGCGCGCCTCCACGGACTCGGAACTGTGGCGAGACTCGCGCTCTGCCATGGCTTTGCGAATGCCGACGATGATTTCCTTTTCCTGAAAAGCCTCACAACCCGACGTTGAACGCCCCATCCCCAGCCGGTAGGCCGATGGTCAATCATCTGCCGCCGTTGCCTTCTGTCAGGCCTCCTTCTGGCCTTCTTTCAATGGACTAAGATATGTTAATACCGAGACCCCTCACGGATACCCCGACTCCACGGCGCGAACGGCCCACCACTGCAGGCTGCCTTACCTAGGTACCTTATGTAAGGCTTCCCATGACGATATCCCCCACAAGATGTCCTCGGCTTCGGACTTCAAGCGGCTAGTGGCCCGTAACACCCCAGCCAAGAGTCATATGCTCTTTGCCCAACTCATCGTATCGGTTTGACTCAGATGCTCCATAACCTGCCTGCGTGTCTGGACATCTGGACCGGCATGCACCCATTGTGCCGGGCACTGCATAGAGTAACATATGGTGCTCTTGGCCCACTTGCATCAACCTTCAGCAGGTTTAAGATGCACATCATGCCCGTACAGAGCCGAGCTTGCCTTGCTCACCTTTGTACACGGTACGGGCTGTTGCAAAGCAACCGCGCAAGCGAGCGTCAGAGCACGTGGAGTTTGGTGCAACTTGTTCACGAGCCATTTGATGAATTGGCCCGTCCTGCTGGGATCGACGTTCGAAGCCGGGATTTCACACATCGTGACCCCTGGCTACCCGTCACCTGAACACCGGGACTTCCCAGCTTTGTACGGCAAACGGTCTCCCGTTTGCGGAACCTCACCAACGGTTGCTACACCAGTAAGCTGAACAACCTAAGATCATCCAGCGTCCCAACGAGGAGTGCATCTCGCATGTGGCCCGTATCTAACTGCTTTTAGCAAGAGCACCATACAGAGAAGTCAAAGCTTTTACCACAGAGTGCACTAACGTTTCCCCTACCTTGACTCCTTTACGTCATTAAATACACTCTCTAGAAACTAGAGGAGAAATGCAATTGAGCTTTAGAAGAGGAAGAAGAAGAAGACAGAAAGATGGATTTGAGGTTAGTATTAGGGCTGGAGTTAGTGAGAAATATGTTTAATACATAGAGTGATGAGGTTGAGTGATGTGTAGGAAAGTATTAGTGTACAGGCTAAATACCGAATCACAACCAGAGTGCCGATCGGATACTATCAATACGCGTCGCTGCCATCCGAGACATACACGCAGCACGTTCCTCTTCGTTGCGCATTTTCGTGACTAATAGTGCTGTGCTTGTCTTCCCAGGGCCGTTGCAGCAAGTTGAAAAAATACGGACGTTGGGGCGGAGAGGTAAGCAACGCTGGGTCTGTATCACCCGAATGGCTGCCCGCCTTCAACCTCAAAATGCAATCCGATTCGCATCAATATTAGAATAGGGGCTGGGTTTTACCCTATTCGGCGAATTTGCCAGCCGCTCATGTCTCAAAAAACGAGCCCCCGATCAGTGTACCGTACCATTCGTTACACTACAGGCCGGAATGGAAGTACGCGTATGCACAGCACAGTCCAAAGCCGTGGATTGGCCCAGCGTTGGTTGGTCATTTTGTGACGAGACTTCAGCGCCAGATGCAGTTGTGGGAGTCCCCGGACAATGTCCCAATAAGCAAAAGCAAGTTGCTGCCCGTAAAGACCACAACTATCATTCAGGGGCATCGTTTGTAGTCTTGCACCATATCATCTGTGGTGCCTCTCTACTGGGTTTGATGAACAAGAGAAGAGTTTGGACGACTTGAGCCTTCCCGTCGGATGATCGTGCCGGCTCAGGGACCACCCGCATTGCTTCCGTCGCTGGGAACTGGCCTGGAGTTGAGCCACAGGTAAGAGAAGTGGGGTATTCCGAATTCGTCGATGAGCAGGGCCGCACTGGTGATAAGCTTATCGATAACCCAGTGAAGCCCCAGCTTGCTAAGATACCTAGGTAGGTACATAGGTACCTAGGTACCTAAGGAACGCCCGTCCAGGTGCTTGCTTCACCTGGGTTGAGTGTTGGACCTGCCGTCGTCGACTTCACAGTGGCGCAACAAACAACCTCTTCACTTCAACCTCTCGGCCAACCTGATTTTGCCGTTTTTTATGCGGAAAGCCATGGCGTCCTTCATAGGTACTACGGTGTCTATTGACCGCACCTATCTTGACACCCTTATCGGAAGGTAAGACCTACCCCACAACCCACTTGAAGTTGGCCCGAGTTGGCGTACGCGCCGCTGTGAGTGAGGCCGATGAGAGAGCTTGAGAGAAGCTGACCACTTCCGCAGGGTCCAGTCTGTGCGTTCCGTGGCGTCTTAGCTTTGATGGAATATTCCTTGTCTTTGTGACATTCGGAAGCTGACATAGCCTGTGTTAGCATGCTGGAGATGATATTCCTTCGGCTCATCCTACTATTACTATTGCCCGCGTCGAGTATGATACCCTTGTCAAAGCCGCTCGGGAATTCTGTATGAAACCCACCCTGCCTTTCACACAGCTGAGAACCGCAAGCGATGTCGAATATCTACTCGGAACTGACTTTTGATAAGCAAACTTACGCCGCAACCTCATGCGTGGTGGTGTCGCCGAAGAGACCCTTGCTGTAAGTCGGGACCCCACATCTTGCCCCGATTAACGATATCTAGCTAAGCAATGGACATCTAGGTCTTGACTAGCGACGAATCCAACTGGGACGAAGACAGTGCTAGGCAACAAACCGACGCTCCCGCTTCTGCAGATCCTCAGGATGCCACTCAACGATCAATCCACAAGCCTCAGGTGACAGCGGTCACTGCTGTGCGGGGTCCCCAAGGCGGACCGTACAACGGCAAGCTTTCCGTTCCTCAATCTGTCAAGCAGGGATGGGCCGATGACGAGCCTACCACTCGTGGCATACCTGAAGCAACAGCTTCCCCCATGGAGGCTGAGCACGGACTCGTTCACCAGGAGGACGCTCGGTTGTCTGTCCAGCCACAATTTGAGAGAATGGCTACAAGAACCATTCTAATATCTAACCTTGCCGAAGGAACAGCTCACGCCGATGTGACAGATGTCGTTCGAGGTGGCCAGTTGCTGGATATATTCCTAAGGACACACGACCGCTCTGCTCAGGTATCTTTCTTGCATGCCTCGGACGCCAGAGCCTTCCTTGAATACACCCGGCGTCATGACCTATATATCAGACATAAGCGGGTGGGGCCCTCCACCCACCATTTATAAAGATACCGATCTAACCAGTATACCAGGTCGACGTCCGATGGAGTGAACGACAGTTCATTCTCCCAGGTCACGTTGCAAGCAAGATCGGAATTGGTGCCACGCGCAACCTTGTAGTCCGACGATGCGACCCGGGCCTCACCGAAGAGGGCATTCGTGACGACCTCGAGCATATCCATAACCTGGTCGTCGTTCAAGTGACCTTCAGCGGCGGTAGCTGCCACATTAGTACCAATTCAGTTCACAATGCTATGTTTGCACGGACCTGCATGATGAGTCGACAGTAGGTTGACGTCCTCGCTTGCACCGAAGTAGCCGCAAGCTGACATCGCCACAGGAAGTACAAGAGATCTAGGGTTGAGTGGGACGTCGACGAGTGTGCCCAGCCTTTGGAGGTTACCCAGACTCATCGGGTTCAGCCCTATGTACTTTCGTCAAAGCAACCCATGAATCCCATGGCGAACCGCTTCGAGGTTCTGAAACTGGACGCCAACGATGACGACGAGGAGAATATTCCCCCGGGTTATCATCCGCAAGTTTCTATGGATATCATGGTGTGACGAACAATAACAGCCTTCATCGAGGACAGTCTGTATGTTCGAAATTGTACCAAAGGACGAAGGCTGTCCAGTCCATCTGTGCTCTTTTTTAGCCCACGGGCTTACACTGGGTTGGGGGGAGGGCGTCTGTCATGCTTGCCGGATAACAGAATGGAGTTGGGAATACCCCTCGGACTGAACATGTGAATTCTTTGCTCCTTGAAAGTTTTTTCCTTCGCCAGTTATGGGGCGTCTGCGAGTTTATTCACTTGATAGATTCCTGGGAAGGATGCTGAAAATATGCTTATGAGTATCCTTTGTTTTCTGTCTATTGGCTTTCATTACATGGCCTATACGCAATCTCTAGGGAAGTTCAGGTAGTTTGGGTTGGGTTGCATTGCCTTCGTCAATCATTACGTCCAGTGACTTCCAGCTCGTATGCCCATCTCATCTAAGGATTGCTCTGCTGGAGGTTACGAGGCCTGATTGTGAGGGTCTATATTTGCCTGCAGCCATTATTCGTTCCCTCTTTTTGACAATTACACGTATTCATCTCGCTCCCCGAACGGGCCCGTGACGTGTAGGCTTTCTGGGCAAGATTCCCAGCGAATTATAGATTATAGTGGAATGTTGACCGAGAATGTGCTCTTGGCCGTTGCTTCCTCGCAACGTACTGCCTTCGGATAACGCTGAAAACCATGTAGGCAATGCTACCATCCAAGACTGAGGTCAACACCCATTACAGGCCAGGCCTGCCCAGCGGAGGCTAGCAACCAGCCATATTGCTATTTTATCCCTCGTAATCATCTCCAGTCATGTAACATCTGTGGTCTGGAAAGCATGCTTGGTACTCGTCACAATTCCGCGTGAGTATAGGCTTCCAAGTTCCGGCGGCTCAGACAATAAGGTTGAGCATATATTCCCGCCATCAAGCCAGTCACAGCAACACCGGGGCGACACCCATGACCAAGACCAAGGTCCTGGAGCACTTTCGTCCCAGACCATCACATCAGGCCAAAGGAACGCTCAGAGGATGTTCCAAGCTTGGTAGATGGGCAAACTAACCCATTGATTATCCTTGCCTGATCCGTCTCCGGGAGGGGCGTGACGTTGGGCGCTGACTCGGTTGCCTGTATATGGAGCGCGTGAACGGGTTCTACCTATGTGTAGGCCTCGGCGTCATACTCGTCCCCGCCGCCCGACGCGATAGCCTTTCCGATCTGCGAGTCCACGCAGCCGGGTAGCATGGCATTACACCCCCGTATGCCTTCCTTGTGGAGCGCCAGGCCACGCTCCGGTTATCCAAGACGCCCGCAACGTTGACGAGCAAGTCGATCTGGCTTCTTGAACCCCCGTCAGCCTGGAGAGCATTTCCTACTACCGTCCCCTTTGGAGCTTTCCCCCAGCCCAAGGACTGTTCAGCAAGGCCAATGAGGCGATCACCGCATACATACCGTCGTCACACGCACCAAGCTTCGTGAAGTCCCCGTGGCAGAAGTAGAGCTGGCCGTGATCCGCCTTTTGGATTAGCCCCTAGCTAAAAGTCCGCGCATCAAGCCCGCAAACTTGGCATTGGTGCGCCAGGAGAAGCTGTGCACACGCTAGACTGACGCTCAAACCACACCCGGTCACGACGGCGACCTTTCCGAATCCCAAAACGTCGATTGTCATTGGCGGGATGAAGAGGGCATCTGGGGAGGCGGTGAAAAGACATTCCCTTTGAAAGCTCGCTTGCCGTTGGAAGACCCCACCAAAGCCGCCGAGCGAGAGTTTGTGATATGCTTTCATCTTGACCTCCAACTAGGAGTTCAAAAGTCGTTTCTACTGATGAATAAGTACTTAATGGTCTCGCCGCCGAAAGTTGGTTGTTGACACTAGAAGTGTTTATATCTTTGTTCTCTCTCTTTTCAATTTGAGCATAAGGGCCCAAAGCGTCACATACACAACCTCGCCTCGTGATCAAATGGTGTCAGTAGCGTATCTTGCACACAAGGATAGTCGGCGCTCAATCTTGTGATGAGAAAAGGAGGCGACACAGGCAAGAAGGTAACTCCGATTTAATGTATCTACTCCTATGTCCCCAACCAAGCTGTTGCCTCGCTTCTCAGCCTTCCTACCTGTGTTCTATGTCGAGATTAGTTGGCAGTGGACAAAGAGTGCTCGGAAAACAGCATAGACGTAGGGTGACCTATTCCCATGTACTGTCAGACCAGCCATGAGAATGCCTTACCGAGAACGATTCGACAGGTATCCCTGGGCCAGCATCCAGACCGGTGCGGGCGGCTTAAGATATATCACACCACCAAGCGGGACAGAAGACAGAAGATTATGCAGGGGCGAAACTCGAGTCAGAACATGTATTGTACTTGGGCGTCAGCAGCATTCCCCAGATGCCAGGATCTTTTGTGTCAAAGGCGCATACAATTACTCAGAGTATTTGGTCCCAATTACCGTGGCAAGATTGGCAAGCTGGGTACATTCCAGGGTATAACGTCTCCTGCTTGAATATCCCATCCTGCACCTTGACCCTGTCCCCCAAGCAATGATTTACCAACGCAGGCGCGTTGTCAAACCCACGAACCCGTCGCAATGCAATACCGAAAACACAAAGATACAATTCACTAAAAGCATGTACTCCCGGGATACCCCGCGATGAACTCCTCAACAACCAAGTCTGCCTGCCTGGTTGTCGTTCAGACAACCCAATCAGCCCTACTTGGCATTATTTGCCACTGATGCTAGGTAGCCGAGCAAGAAACTCCGGTCCGCTGGAGATATTGGGGTTTGGCTGCCGCGACGGGCCTCGGACAAGCCATCCGGGGCACCTTGTCCGCTTGCAGAGGCAAGAGACGCCACCCGCGAACGCATGGCGCCGTCAGATGGCGCTATCTCCCTGGCCTTTCCCTTGTCTTCCAGACCAAATACAGGACCAGGGTTTGGCGACTGAGGTTTGCCAAAAAGCGAGAGAAGCTTCTGTCTCTGCTCTGTAGACATTTGTGGCTTCTGCTGCAGAGAGTCAGGCGCCGGAAGAGCTGACGCCGCGGGAGGGCTGGCCAGGCTAGCAGGCTTGTCCACGTCAGCTGCACCAAATATCGAGGCCATAGCAGGCGCCCGAGGTCCACCTGGCTTGTTCAAGTTTTCCGCTCGTTGAAGAATCTGTGGCGACTGGTGGCTGTAAGTAACGGCGTGGTTGTTCATGCCTTGGTGATACGGAACCCTGCCATCAAGGTTCCCTGAGCTATATTCCCCAATAGGCTGAGGGCTTCGATCTTCGTGTCTGCCAGTTTGTGTTTGAAGTGAGAGGGATTGGAGAGGAAGTTGCGAGGCAAGGTCTGAGACGCCCTGAGGGGGTCTGCTAAGAGGACTACTCGAAATGGGCAGAGTCCCACGGTTCTGAATAATGGGGCTAAGGGTGCCCTGATTGGCGTTTTTGACCATTGATATACCCTTCATGAGAGCGGCGCTTGCGGTATTTGCAGGCAGCTCAGCGAGCTGGTTTGCAGGCGGCGAGCTGATTTCAGGTTTCTTGAACATTTGTAAGAGAGTAGATCTATGCGCCGGGTCACCGGGCTGTTGAACGCGCGAGTTTATGCCTGGGCTGTGTTGGTGCTGTGCGGGCCCGCCGTTGGAAAGTGGCAAATGAGGCAGTTGGTTATACACCTGAGCACCTCCATGCCCATGAATACCGCCAAATTGCTGACCATGCTCCGAGGTTGTGGCTCCGAATGGCTGCGGGCCAGTATGTTGAGTGCTTTCTGGGATGTTTGATCTCGTCTCTGACTTGAGAACTCCCAACAGCGCCATCGAGTGGTTGGAGAGTTGACTGCTAGGAGGCTTAGTTTGATACAACAAGTTCTGGTTTTGGTGTTGAATATGCGCGTGCTGGAACTGCGCATTGGCCATGGACTGGTTAACAGTTCCCTGCGCGTGCTTAGGGGGCGGTGGTGGGGTAGTGTCAGCAAACCCGCCTCTGCCCAAGAGAGTCTGTTGGACTTGGGGAGGCAGGGGTTGCGGGTGCCTCAATGGCGGCTGCGGCATGTACGCAGGGGCACCCATCACCGGCGAATCATGATGTCTGGCTTGAGAGAGAACCGGCTCAGTCTTGCCAGGCTGACCAAATGCCCACGACTGCGGTGTTCCGTCTGGCACGACGGGGAAGCCTGGCGGAGGTTGGTAGCTTTCCAGAGGCGCCCGTTGCTTGGGGTGGTGCTGGCCGTGAGGACTGTGTGGTTGCGATGCCTCTCTGGTGGTGTGATCGAGGGGCGTCCGAGGAAGCTGAGTAGCAGCCTGGTTCTTGGCCTGGAGAATAGCGAGCAACGACGCGCCCTTGTCCGAGCCCACATCTGGGGATGCAGGCTTCGAAGCTACCTGTGCGGCCGTTGGCTGGACTTTCAAAAGTCGTTGCAGTTCCTGCGTTGCACCCTCGAGGGTGTCGATACCCGGCGTTCGGTTCGAAACATCGGTGGTAGGTTCCGTCTGCCAAACATCGTCCTCGGTGACGGGCTCCTCATGAAGCGAGTAGGGGTTGAAATGCGCCTCGTTGGCAGCCTTGACGGCGTCCTTCCTTTTCTGTTGCACAACCCATTTTTTGAGAGGGACTAGGAAAGGTGCGACCATGTAGAATTTGTTGGCGTTGGCAGCAGCAGTGGCATCATTCTGGGGCTGGTTCCCCTTCTTCCGGAACGCAGGAAGCTCAGAGAGCTTGTACCACTGAATCTTGCTGATCTCTTTCCTCGTCCGCGGCTGAAAATGAGTGTCCATTGGTACGTTGCGGAAAACGTAGAGCCTCAGTTGCTGCTCTCTCATGGTGACCTCGATATATTTGACGTCACCTCTGTTCTCAGGAACCAGGCCAGCGGCGTGCAAGTCGTAGCCGGTTTCCTCGTAGACCTCGCGAACGGCGCATTCAAGATCATCTTCGTCCTTGTTGATCTTTCCACGAGGGAAACTCCAGTTTGCTCCCTTCTTCCAGCCCTTAACCAATATAGTCGAATCCATTGCCTCATTGAGCAGAATGGCTCCCCTTACGGGTACTCTCGTCTTGTACTGCAAGAATTCTTCAAAGGCTTTCGTGTGGTTCTCGACCGAAAACGGCGCCAACAGCGGACAATGCTGGAAGATGCGGAGACTGAAGCTTCTAAGGGTCATGGAGGGGAGCGTGGGATCGAGCGGGCGGACGAAGTCTTCGTAGAACCATTGTGCTTCTTCGATTTGGAAGCAAATGCGTGCAACGGACGACAGGTCTTCTTCAGGCAAGTTGATGATGAAGCGAACACACAGGTCGTCCAACCCTATCAATTGCGTCAGCCGTGTTGCAAGTTAACAACAAGGTGTGAGGGTGCAAGGCTGAAGGTAGCTATGCCTCGGCCAGCCGTCTGGAGTGTGGGGTAACCAACAGTCTTCTAGCTGCATCTTTTCTTCGGCCATTTTGCGCGATGGCTAGCAACATGTCCACCACAAAGGTATTTGAAATGTGATTTAGTCGCCTGTTCCTGGCACTGCAGTGACGGCGGGAAGGAGGTCCTGGCGAGAAGTATGAGTTGGTTTCAAGGCGAGGAACGGCGATGGCATGGTACGGAGTAAGAGGCTTGGGTTCGGTCAGGCTCAAAGATTCCCCTCTTGCGACCGGAACGCGCCTGCTACAAGGAAATCGGGAACGGCGGGTGGTCCAGTGGGCTGGATTGGAATGACAGTTGAAGCGTGGCTAAAGCTTATTGTGTATCTCGGGGGAGGTTGGGATGCGAACACGTTCACGAGCGGCCTCTCTCGGGATGGTGGGTTTTGGTGGTTGGAGGATAGAAACGACGAAGTGCCTTCTGTGTTGACGATGGCAGACAAGGCAGCTAGCTGGCTTGGGCAGTGGAGGCTACGGTCAGGTTGGCGTCGGAAGCCTCCGCAGGAAAGTGGGACGAACGTGGCACACGCTGTGTGGCTCATGATTGGACCACACCCTCCTTAGCTAAGTCCTGTTCAAAATCGCACTGTCTATGTTGTCGGCATCATGAAAGATTCTACAGTGCGCATCGAGCTCGAGTCGGAACTGTTGTGGTACAGCAGCCCAATTCTCCAGCTTGTTACTATGTAAGCACATCAGATCAGCACGTCGCTTCCGTCTGGCCTCGACCGGTCCTTGCCAGCCATAGTGTATACTACGCCGCCTTTGCTTGGAGAGGCACTAAGCATCTGGCTCAGCAAGCAAGTCCCCCCAATCTCTTCTAACCCATTCCCCGTTCATCCTGAGCTGGAAAACACCCGAGAGGTCGAGGTATCGAAGAAAGGCCGAAAGAAATCGGGAGAAGTACTCAGCCACGATGTGGCTGTGTAAGTCACTTGCCACACTTACGTGGCTAAGCTTCACTGTCAATGCCGACGCTGTCCGGCTGAAGAGAGCAGATTGTTCGAGCGGCGCCATCCCAGCGAGTCCCATGCTGCTGAAGTTTTTCCATCCAAGCCATTGCACCCCGGTTGGGTCGCTTGCACGCTTATTGGAGCCCAGCCGCCTATCCGCTGCAGCATGATGTGAAACACAGCGGTCTAGCCTGTCAGTGCCCCACTGAAGAGGCCTCTCGGAAGCGTGTAGAGTGCATTGGCGTGCAGTGACCGACTGAATTACATCATGGCCGCCGAATGGTCCCCTGACATGTCAAAACAGGAATTTGGCAGAACGGCTTTGAAGACGTTCCTACTGTATGTTACGTAGGGAAAAAGAGGCAACTTTTTACTGGAGTGACTCGGACCTTGCATAGCCATGGTTCTCATTTTTCTTATAATTCCTCGCCCAGTTGCCGCAGCCGGCTTGGGAGTTCTTGTTCCTCCCCACAGTCACCTTTCACATCTATTGCAGATAGTTACTTTGTTTTAACGGCACCGAAACGCTACCGACTTACACGGCGCCCTCCTAAGACAAACGGCCGTCTCTAGCTGTCTCGATACGTCACTCATTACAACGAGTGACTGGGAAGCGCATTGTCGCGCAGCTATTTAGTTCGAGACTTCGGCACTCACCTGCGATCCATCAACGACACCGTTGCAAACATGGCAGGTCTTATTGCGAAATGGATCAGCAAAAAGATTCTGGCAGAGAAGGTGGAGAACAACTTCGGCCGCGAGGTATGTCATTTTACCTGAACGACGCGCTTTTGTCAGTGACTGTAACTGACCTCATTACCAGGATCCCTACTTCGAGACCGTTCCTGCCACCAGGCTTGATGGCACCCCCACCGGCAAGGTCAAGAGGCGCAGAAAGGCTCTGCCGCCAGGGATCTCAAAGAAAGACGGAGAAGTTTTGACAAAGGTCAAGCGTCGAGCCTATCGTCTCGATCAGTCGTTGTTCACTTGTTGTGGTGTCAAATTTGGATGGGGCAGCGTCATCGGCCTGATTCCTGCGTGAGTACAACTCATCCCCTGTCGCACCATTCACCCCACAATCCTCTTGGCAGCCTGTCGACATCTACTGACGCCACATTCCGTCTAGCATTGGGGACGTTCTTGATGCTTTCATGGCCATGATGGTGTTCAGAACCTGCTCAAAGGTCGAAGGTGGACTCCCAAATTCGGTCAAATCCAAGATGATGTTTAACATCATAATCGATTTCGTCATCGGTCTTGTACCCTTGGTAGGGGATGTGGCCGACGCGGCTTTCCGCGCCAACACCAAGAACGCCATTGTCCTCGAGGAGTATCTTCGCGAGAAGGGAAAGAAGAATTTGGGCCGCAGCGGAGCACCCATTCCAGCGGTTGACCCGAGCGACGCTGATGAGTGGGATCGCTTGCAAGGAGACCGCACGCCGCCCGGGTATGTCAGCCGGGAGCCGTCTCGCAATGGACGCATGTCGTCGAGTCGTCAGCACTCATACAATGGACGCGCCCCAGCTGCGCCGGCCAACGCCGCGGTTAGAGACGAACGGGGTCGAGGCTGGTTCGGGTTTAGTCGGTCGAGGGTCGATGATATCGAGTCAGCCCGCGACCCTACCGATAGGCCAGGACCCCGAAAGTCGAGGAGATGATTATATTGACTTGTACGAGCCGAAGGGCCGGTGCAGACAGCTCTGTATGTTAGGCGCCTTGACAATGCTTCGCAGTATTGGCTTTTTCTTCCTGCTTTGCTGGGGGGCCGACGCTTCAAAGCTGTTCTACGACGCCCATCTTCAGGCGCGTCTTATTTACGAATGACTGGACGACTGGGCACGAACACGAAGCGATACATTTTCATTTGACATACCCACTTCGCGTTAGTTGTTACACTCATAGATGATTAATGGAACATATGCACAAACAGCCTTGACGTATGCGTGACACCCGGACTGATCGAAACCGAAGTCCGTGCCCGACAGTTAAAGGACGATCAGCGCGATGATGATGAATCTGTAAACCCGCTTCAGCATATCGACCAGAAGCCCAGAGTCACGCCCAGTCAGGATTTGTCAATGCTTAGATGAGATGGCATGGCTGTGAAGTCTCGGAGGACCGCCTGGGTTCCGCAGAACGGAGCTTGGACGTATTCGGTTTTATCTGATCTGATCTGATAACCAGGGGACGGTGGGGAAACGCGTCGAGTCGTAACACCGAGGACGAAACCAGCAGAAAGGTGGGCGGTCGACAGATCGAGGAAATTGCCGGAAACTGGAGCGAGTGGAGACGCGCCGAGCCCGGCCGAAGCTCTTGAGGTCTCGGGTCGTTGGGACAATAGAGCAACTTTTTTTTTTTTAATTCTTGGTTTCCTAGTCATGACATCGTGTTGCCTGGCTGATGTGCCGGGGTGGAACGCAAGCGGCTACATCAGCCCATGTCACCATTACAAATAGTGAGAAGTTTTAGAGAGGGAGGAGTAAAAAAAGAGGGCTGGACCTGACTTATCCCATTGTGGACCGTATGTTTGCAAGGTCTGGAAGTGGAAAAGAGAGAAGCGAGACAGGGCCACTTACTTCCACATTAGCACACTGGCACTTTAGCAATGGAGCGAAACGCGCCGGTGATCGCGGTGGGGAGGGATGGTCCGAAGACGCGCTTTTTAGTGGGGCTGGGTGGTCGAGCCTGAGAGTTGGCGCGTGGTTCGGCGCAAAAGCAAACGCGGGACCCCCCTGCTACGCGTCCGACGTGAAAGCGTTCTTACTTGGTACAAAAGCTCCTGCCTTTCCAGAGCCGTTCTCAGACTCACTCTTTACTCTCAACCAGAAGACAACAGCCGCAAGAATACCACCGCGACAGACTTTACACTCCGAATTAATTCCTTACAAGACTCTTCCTTTCTTCAATCACCATTATTGTCTTCTTCCCTCGCTCCTTTACCACACACTCTCCTCATCATGTCTGTCGAAGTCACTCCGTCCAAGCAGGTATGTCAAGTCACGCCAATCCACGCCGTATCCCAGCCGCACCTCTCTCCACACGCGTCCTTCAAATGCAATCACTAACATCCGTTTCTTCCAGGCCGCTGCTGCCCTCGATTCTTTCAAGATGGAGTCCCCCGTCAAGAAGCTCAACTTTAACGCGGCCGACAAGGAGAACCAGCCCCTCGCTTCCGACGTTGCCCCCGCAACCGAGAACACCGACCTCCAGACCAAGCCTACCCAGGAGATTGCGAAGCAAGAGGCAAAGCCTGTTGTCGCCTCCGGTATCAAGGAGCAGGAGATGGACGAGCCTTTGCTCCAGGAGAACGGCCAGCGCTTTGTTCTTTTCCCCATCAAGTACCATGAGGTATGTTTCAACTCGGACGCGTCTCAGACGCGTAAAGTGGTTTTTTGCACGTGCGAACCTTAATTGACTTTTCGTGACGCATAGATCTGGCAGATGTACAAGAAGGCCGAGGCCTCCTTCTGGACCGCAGAGGAGATTGATTTGTCCAAGGACTTGCACGACTGGAACAACAAGATCAACGAGGATGAGAAGTACTTCATCTCGCACATTCTCGCCTTCTTTGCCGCTTCTGACGGCATCGTCAATGAGAACTTGGTCGAGCGCTTCAGCGGCGAGGTTCAAGTGCCTGAGGCCCGTTGCTTCTATGGCTTCCAGATCATGATGGAGAACATCCACTCCGAGACCTACTCGCTGCTTATCGACACCTACATCAAGGAGCCGGCCCAGCGCACGTACCTCTTCAACGCCATTGATACGAGTATGTGAACTCCATGCCCTATGCCTCCAATTGAGCACGCGTCTGACTTGCCATCACAGTTCCCTGCATTCGCAAGAAGGCCGACTGGGCCCTAAAGTGGATTAGCGATGAGAAGTCCTCCTTCGCCCAGCGTCTGGTTGCATTTGCTGCCGTCGAGGGTATTTTCTTCAGTGGTGCCTTTGCCTCCATCTTCTGGCTCAAGAAGCGTGGTCTCATGCCCGGTCTGACCTTCTCCAACGAGCTCATCTCTCGTGACGAGGGTCTGCACACCGACTTCGCTTGCCTCCTGTACTCCCACCTCAAGAACCGCCCCAGCAAGCAGGTTATCCAAGACATTATTGTCGATGCTGTCAAGATTGAGCAGGAGTTCCTGACGGAGGCCCTTCCTTGTGCTCTGCTCGGCATGAACTCCAACCTGATGAAGCAGTACATTGAGTTCGTTGCCGACCGTCTCTTGGTTGCCCTTGGCAACGACAAAGTCTACAAGTCTTCCAACCCCTTTGATTTTATGGAGAACATCTCCCTGGGCGGAAAGACCAACTTCTTTGAGAAGCGTGTTGCCGACTACCAAAAGGCTGGTGTCATGAATAGCACCAAGAAGGCACAAGAAGAGACCACCGAGGGTAAGGGAGAGAACGGCGGTGACTTTGCCTTCGATGAGGACTTCTAGATCAGGAGCGTCCAAAGTTTCTGTCCTGTTCTTTCCCCCACATATACCCCCTTTTACGTTTGCATAGGCACGCATGGTGTTTGCCAGCGCAGCTTCTCACACTCCACACCTCAATCACCTCTCAATGAGTTTGGGCATAGAGTTGTTTGTTTCTTTCCTTGTCGTACATACATGGCGTTGGCGGGGATCATTCTACAGGGAGTTGAAGGCTCCCAAGGGCAGGTCGATTGGATGACCGTGGAACATGGGGGCATGAATGTCTTTGATGGATAATGTACTGCAGTGACTTTAGAGCAATCGCATATGACAGATGAACCAAAACAACTGTCTCCATGATTGTGAATGAGGATTTGTCATTTTGACTGGATACATGAGTCACACTGCAACTCTTAATTAGTCCTGTCATGGTTTGCCCATGTTTTTTTTACGCCTTGAATGAAGTGTGCGCCCGAAACCTACTGTTGCCTTTTAGCAGACCACCTGATCTTTTGATACCATACTCAAACTTGTATAAGTCTAAAATTGGCCAGATTCCTCGAGAGTCGCACATTTCGACGCTCGCTCTCTCAAAAGCAAGTGACTGTACCTCCGTACCCGTCCAGGACTCTCAACCCCTTCACACCCACTCATTTCTTGCCTTTCTTCTTCTTCTTCCCACCTCCGCCGCCGGCGCTGGCCGGCGTCGGCGCGCTAGCAACACCACCGACGGGCGTATCCTCTCTGGCAGCTTGGGCTCGGGCAACGCCGCCAGCCAAGTTAGCGGCATCCGCCTTCGGCTCATCCTTGACCTCGACGGGCGCCTTGGAGGTCGACATGGTGCAGCCCAGGGTGCCGAGGCAGGTGATGAGGCGGGAGACCTCAGCTGCCTTGGTAGTGCGGTACTTGAGCGTGACGCCGCTGGCCGGGTCGAACGTCTTGAGGACTAGGGAGCCACGGGGCGGTTTGGCGTCCGTCATGGGGACATCTTCGGTGACCGTGGCATCTTCCGTCGGCGTCTTGGTCTTTCGCGGTTTAACGGGTTGTACCGAGTATTTTGTTGTGATTCTGGTCTGGTTGAGGGAAGGAGCACATCGTCGCTGGTTAGCCAAGGGGCAATGGGCTTGGGAGTAAGGGCGAGGAGATGAAGCGGAGAGAAAAGCAGGTCGGGATGAAGACTTACGGTTGCTGGGCGGGCTTGGAGGAGCAGTGAGGACTGCTCCAGCCATTCCTGGCTGGTCTTGTAGGTCGGCATTGCGTGGTGTGGTAGTCGGCCGGAGTCTTGCGCTCCTGGTCTGTGTGTTGTAAGGTGCGTGCACCGCTATCGTTGCTTTTTTTATTTTTATAATGGTGTCCGTCGATGCGATGAGGAATTCGGAAAAGGCGCGATTCCAGGAGAGCGTGGATTGCGCCGTGGTTGGTGGAGGGGTGACGTTCGGCGTCGTGGAGGTGATAGGTGGTGGTGGCCTTGTCGGTGGAGGATGCAATTTTGGTGGGGTTCGGCCAAAGCTGCTTCGGAATTGTGCACATGGGATGATATGAGGGGCAACGCTCAGCCGCACAAGGCCGATGTATCAAGGCCCAGAGCTAGCACTACTTTATTTTGCACAGTGGATCACGCATTTACGGCGAAGCTCATAATGGTTTATCGTTCAACGCATATTTTTACTTTTTGACACGGATTGGGTATCTTTTATCCTAGACTCCGAAAATGAATGACATTTCTTGATTAGATCGCACCTCCCATTTCCAGCTCCTAGGCTTTCTCCATCACCCTGGTCAGTTTCATGCATGGGGATCAGGCACCCAGAAGAGGACTTCTTGATCGGCAGTCGCAAAGAAGTTATAGCGCGGGTTGAAGGCCATCACCGCCGCCTCCCGCTTATCTTCCAAGGTCCAGGATGGGTTGAGAGTCTTTGTGTCGTTCTGCGGCGCCGTCAATGTGTCCCAAACCAGCACGTCCTTCTTAGAACCGCTCAGGACGTACCGGCCGTCCACAGAGAAACAGCACTCTCCGCTACTCTCCACCGTCGGCTGCTCTGCCCTTGGCATCCTGTTAACGTTGACGGTGGCCGTCTCGCCCGCAGCCAAACGTCGAGATCCGCCCTCAGGCTTGCGCAGGTATGCCTTTAGGCTTCCGTCGAAAGCGTCCAGTAGGAAGTGGCCGCTGCCGCGTGTACCTACGAGGATGTGCTTCCCGTCGTTTGAGAATTCCAACTTCGTCCAACCCCTGACAACGAACTGGGGGTCAACATGTCGTCCAACTTCAACAAGATCGAAGGTTGCGAACGGCGCCTTATCGTAGTTGCGGCAGTCGTAGAGCAAGACGGCACCACTGCTTGGAGAAGCCACTGCAAAGATCTGACCTGAGGGGTCGTACGCGGCAAGGTATGGAGAATTAAGGTTCAATTGGCCGCACCACTGCTTCGTCGAAATGTTCCAAAGGCGCACAGTATTGTCTTGGCTGCAGGAAATGAAGTTGTCGGCTCCTGGGTGAACAGCAATGTCCGTGACACTTCGTTCGTGGCCTTCAAAGTATCGGATGAAGGAATTGTCGTGCGTCGCCAGGTATCGGATCTGGTCTATGGGCGTCATCAGCAAACGAACAGCGACTTTGAGTCCAGGATTGCTGACCGTTCTGTTTCGTACTCGCATAGATGATGCTGGAGCTAGTGTGTGTGAACCGCGCCAATTTAACACCGTACTTCTTACTGAGTAAACTCTTGTCATGCCGACCGTCCTTGACGTTGTAAATTTGAATAGTCTCGTCGCTTTCGGAGGTCATGAGAAGCTCGCCGGGGTCGTCGAAGTCGAGGGATAGCACATGGGGCTGCGGGCGGCCATCTTTGATATCGTCTCTCCTAAACAGCTACAGCATGGTCAGGAAAGCTTTCAAACAGCCCTGCCACCTCCTCCCCATACCTTTGTCGGGCGAAACGAGGAAATGACCTCGCTGAGTTGTGTGGTGTTGTTGGTTGCTAGGGAGCGCGTAATGTTGAGTGATGTTCCGTTAGCTGGGGTTGACTCTTGATAGTCAAGGTCCATAGGTGTTGAAGCCATGGCAGGCAGCTATGTGGGAGGTGTAGGCAGCTTTGCTGCCTCGATTGGTCGGACAACCTTTTTCAGTGTTCGTATCGCAAAGACGGAAGCCAGCTTGGGGCACCGCTTTACCTCCGTCTAAGGGCTAAATCAGTAACCGTGCTGTCTGGGCCCTATGGCCTGTTCCGAACTAAAAGCGGTGTGATGTGTCCTGTCGGAGAAAACGGGATCGTGAAGTAGTCGTGTCGGTAATGTGTGTGCTTAGGCGTATCGCGCCTCCAAAGGTCCATGCGACATACTGAAATCTGGGGGCATGCGAAAATGGAGCTAACTGCGCCACTTCAATGTGTACAGCACCACCCCTGGAAGAATATGTTGCCAATCACCAGCCACAATAACGCGACGCCCTGCTCAGCAGGCAGCCTCGCCGATGACGCCCGACCGGGCCCATGGGAAACTACCTCTCAGGTACCTGGATACTTACTAAGACAAGTACCTAGGTTGGTACCTAGCTTGTCAGGGTCCGGGGTAGCGATTCTGGCCGCAGAAGCCTGCGAACCCTGGCAGCTAGCATCAGCAAACGCCGGGATCGGCAATGGGCGATGGCTATCCACGGCCGGACTGACTTTGACAGAAAATTGATTCCCACTTCCTCTTCCGCGCGCGGAGCTCGCTGAACCACCCAAAAAAGAGTCAATCTGTCCCATCAGCATGACCTGACGCTCCTTAACCCATACCCATCCCCTATCGCCAACTTTCATTTCGAGAGGAGCGCTTCGTACGGCTTACGGCTACTTTGCTTTTTGGCCGTAGCCATATCATGTAAGACTCTAAACAAATTTTATGACTGGCTATCAACATGCCACGATGTTCTCGTTGCTGACCCGCGCAATTCCGCCACCCAGGTCCTAGCATTCCGAGATCGCGCTGCCACTCTTCCTGTTCCCAATTGCCAATTTATTCGCCATTCAAAGAAGCGGCACGTTCAATTCAGTGATACTTCGTTTTCTTGATCTGTGTGACGTTATCAATAGACACAATGTCAACAACACTGGGGCAAGTTGCGGCGCGCAGATCGGCATCCGCGAGACCTGCGAAGCTAACCTTCGCAACAGCGCCTTCATCGCCGGCGGCATTGCCGCCTGTGGCGCCGTAACGGCCACACATCCCTTCGAGACTGTCAAAATCCGGTGCGTCTGAGCGACGCTCGTCCCTCTCCGTTTCCCGCCGTCCGCGGTGCGCTGACCCCCCTTCGATGTATGCAGAATGCAATTGCAAGGAGAGTTGAAGGACAAGGGACACCAGCCGCACCAGTACCGAGGCCCTCTGCAGGGCGTGTCTATCATTGTACGGAATGAAGGCGTCAGGGGCATCTACCGCGGTCTCGGCTGCGCCTACGTTTACCAGGTTCTGCTCAACGGCTGCCGTTTGGGTTTCTACGAGCCGATGCGCGAAACCCTGACGACGCTTGTCTTCAACGACAGCAAGACCCAGAGTCTGGGTGTCAACATGGCATGCGGTGCCGGATCTGGAATCATGGGCGCTGCCGCCGGCAGTCCCTTCTTCCTCGTCAAGACCCGGTTGCAGAGTTACTCCCCCTTCATGCCCACGGGCACGCAACACAACTACCGCAACGCTTGGAATGGAATGGCCTCGATCTACGGCTCCGAAGGTATCCGTGGACTCTACCGTGGTGTCGGCGCGGCCATGATCAGGACTGGTTTCGGAAGCTCCGTGCAGCTGCCCACTTACTTCTTCGCCAAGCGGAGATTTGTTCGCCATCTGGGCATGGAGGAGGGCCTTCCTCTGCACCTTGCTAGCAGCACCGTCAGCGGCTTCGTTGTTTGCTGCGTGATGCACCCCCCTGGTAAGAGTTATCTGTGACACTAGCAACGACGGTCTGCTGGCTAACACCTCCGACAGACACTATCATGTCTCGCCTTTACAACCAAAACGGAAACCTCTACAAGGGCGTCTTTGACTGCCTCGCCAAAACGGTCCGCACCGAGGGCTTCTTGGCCATTTACAAGGGTTTCTTGCCTCACCTGGCTAGAATCCTCCCCCACACTATCCTGACCCTTACCCTGGCGGAACAGACCAACAAGCTGATGAGGAAGCTTGAAGACCGCATCCTGCCAACGGCCGCCCTGCCCAACCCATAACCGGCCATCCGATCTTGTTCTTATCGTATCAGCGTTTCTTGCATGTATGGAGTTCAAAAATAAGCTCGGCGGACGAAATGGATATATCGTAGCCGGTGTTTGGCTCGCCCAGTATATTTGGGGGTGTAGGAGGAGATGAGGCATTGTGTAGATCCACGTCCGGCATTTGAAAGAGGCACACTTGCAGATGTCTCTGTTTGATTTATCCATATATAGACCGTTCGCAACCGTAACACATTCGTCCTGCAGTCTGCTTCCTCCTGTCATTGTCGTCGGAGTGTTCTCCGATCTCCCCCTTCCACCTGACCTCGCCCTGTTCATCCAAGTCCATGCCGCAGACAGCACACGCGTCGCCGTCGTTCTCACGGGTAAGCTTGGCGCTCGTGCGGACAACGTTGGCAACGACAGAGGGGTAACTCTCCTCAACCTCCTCAAAGTAACGTGCCATAACATCCTCGATGCTTAACTCCTTGTGTGAGACGATGGTGCTACTGCTCTGCCCAGCATCTCGGATGAGATCATTCATGGGTGGCTTGACCAGGCCGACATACGTGACGACCTCCCGCCTGAAGACGTCCCGAAGAAGATAGTACACTGGGATCGTTGTCTTTTCCTTGGCACCCGCAGCTTCGCCCTCTGCAGCTTGCCGGGGAAACGTCGTGACGGGAACGGGGCCATCGCCGACCTGCCACGGCACTGCGAAACCCCGCCCCTTGGCCGTCTCGGCGAGCGTCAGCTCGGCGAGGGCGGTCGTGGTGCACCCCAGCATCAACGCGTGACACCCGCTCTTCAACGCTAACGACAAGAGCAAATGCCGCACCAATAACCTCATGATGTCCACCCGCGACGTGACGGAAGGCAGGGCCTCGATAAGCCCTCTGACCTGCAATGCGGGGGCCAGGTCTGTCCGCAGCGCAGGCAGAACGGACCAGTCTATCGTGTCGAGGGCAAGAGCATCACTCAGCGGCACGGACTGCATCGAGACGTTGGGAAACCGTTCCTTGTACTTATCCAGGAGCTGGCTTGCTGCCGAACCCTCAGCTGAGGAGGTGGATGCCGCCCCTGAGACGTCGGTGTCGATGTGGACTACATGCACCTCGTACGCGACACGCAGGTTCTTCTCTTTGAGGCCCTGGAGGTTTGCGTCAAGAAGCTGGACTAGCGAGGCCGACGAAGGACCGAACGAGAGGCCGAGGAGATACTTCGCCTTTGTAGCAGGCGTTGTGGCTATCCTCTCCTTGATGTCTTTATACGGCTGGGCAAGGCGCTTGATGACTCGCTGGGCGATATGTTGCTCATAGCAGGGCCTGCGCGGCCTGTCAGCTTCGTGAAGGGTGACGTTGTTAATCCCGATAATAATGAACACTTACTCGCATAGAGGGTCCTTCCTCACTGTCAGGACGGTGGGCGTCTTGCATCGCCGACAGGGGCGAGGTTCGGTGGTGCTGCTCATCGTCACGGGTCGGACCGCAACAGTAGGCGACGTTGAAGGTGGTATAACTAGCACAGTCTCAAGGCGTTAAGTGTTGACCAGGTCAAGTCGATTTACACGTAGTCCCCTGGGGGGGAAGAATACGAATATGCCTAGCGAATTGTTGGGTATGTTATCGTTGTTGACTAATGAAAGGTTCAAGGTTCCGCCACTCGAGTTGACTCAGACTCTGTCTTTGGTGCGGTGTCGGTTTTTTTTTTTTTTTTTTTCGGACTCAGCTTTCTCCATACTTATCACCCAAACAGCTCACTACAACCTTCCCCTTCCTGCGATATATCCAAATGACCTGGCCGACCATTCTTCAAGATGGCTCACTGATATATTCCCGACCATTGCTTGTTTATTTGCTTTCTTGCCATGGCCTAGTCTGGTTTCTACTGTTAGCAGCATGCATGAAAAATCTTGAGCGTTCGCGGCTCAGCTAGATTACAACCAAGGCAAAGTCGGTGTTACCCCGTGATTGAAGATGCATGCTTCTGTTGCCGGGAGACTTTATCCAGTGCTATCTTCAAGGCATCAGTATGTCATAGGCTTCATTAGTATACAATAGGTTTCATCACTCGTACCCATTCACGTCATCATAAACAAGAGCATTTCGTACCTCATGTCAATTCTCTCCGGGTATAGGAGAAGACACAATTCAGAGGATGAAACTCAAAGAATGCACGATTCCTATCCCACGCATTTAGTAACAAATCCCGTCCCTCGGAGGCCACACTCTTGATATGTTCTTCCGTGCCCCAATCATTCACATTCGTGCCGAAGCCAATGAGATGAACACCAACATGAAGCAAAGTTCTAAAAGCAAACTCATCATCGACTTCACCGTAGCCCTTCATGAAGCCCTGGATCAGCCACAGCCCAGCATCCATGTCCTTGTACAGCTTTAGCTCATACAGCTCTGCAATCATCTGGCCCAGATCCAGGGGGGTAACGCCAAGCATGCACATCTCCCAGTCTACGACCAGAATGCGGTTGTGTTCGTTCTCCCAAGGCTGACCTTTCAAGAGGATACTATGGCCCCGTAAGTAAGAAAAATTGAGTATGTGGACGAGACACTTACTTTCCAGTCCAAAAATCGCCGTGGATAACCTGCAGTTTATCGTCATTCTCCATCTCCCTTGTTGCTTTATCCGCAATAGCTGTTAACATGCTGGCGCACTCGCCAAGGATAGACGGAAACCGCTCGACAGAGCTGGGCAGTCTCAGGTAGTTCACCCAGTGCTTGAGCTTCTGCATCTCCTTGTTTGTTGCCGCAATATCGCGAAACTTCCGCTGCTCCGGGGAGTTGCTCCATTCGTGAAATGCTCGAAGCCATTTGCCTATACCCTGACCGATGTCGAGGCATTGCGGCTCCATCGATCCGGAATCCGAAGCCCCGAAGTGTTGCAGGGCATAGTTCTTAAGGCTCAGCGGATTCGGCTGGTACTCTTGAACTTGTGTGTTCGTCTTTTCGTTGAAATAAAACAGCTTGGGCGTCGTGACGCTGAGCTTGTTGCCCGCGCTCGGCGGCAGGGCAGGGAGATATTCCAAACATGACACCTCAGTCCGCTAACGGGTGTTAACCCAGGATGGAAGTTTACTGGGTGTAAGGAGAGGCTCACGCATCGTGTTGTGGGAAGTTTGAAGTCCGGATTCTGAGCTAGGAAGCCTTCGCCGTGCTTCACGGCCACCTCGGCTGTTCCATCAGGCAAATGTCGCAACAAGCTTACGTGGTAGATAAAGTTCGCCGTTCCTCCACTGAGAAGAGTGCCGCCCTTAAAATGGTACGGAGTATTGGCCAATTCCTTCCGAACCTCTCGCAAGGTGTGATCAGGGATGTCGTTAGATGCCATGGTCACGAGGAAGTGCGTCGAAACCCTGCTAGGATAGAACGCGCCAGGAATGGGGGGCTTGTTGTTACAAAAGAGAGGCTGCTTCCTCTATCCGACAATGATAAAGTGCCCAAGGTTTTCCGTGGATATCCTGTGATGTTCCGCTTGAAAACCAAAATGCAAATACAGAGAATATTTGATATAAAGGGTGATGGAGTGTATATAAACGCATCATGGTTCGCAGTGTACGAGTGGTTCGGCCTAGGCCTGCATCTACCACCTAGGCGCCGATGACTCATTCGGCGTGCAACTCCATCTAAGGGCAACTTCCACCTTGCCCTTCAATTCAAGAGTCATCGGCGAGAAGCAGTTACCAGAAGCCTACAGGCAATTAAGCAACGTGCAACCAACGAACAGTCATTGGAGCCAGTTGCGATAAAATGCATGCCTGGGGCACGCAATAATGGCTCTGTCAGCCCGACTCGCTTGAAGATCGACTATGTAACGAACAGGAGGTACTGGCGATTCTTCATTTGAAAAGAGCCAGGGTCTGACGAGCTCCACGTGTTCCATAACTTTCATGTTGTGTATACGCAGAAGCCAGAGGAGAGCAGGAGCAGGTACAGGGGTGATTGCCTTGGGTGCTTAGCTTAGCAGATCAAACAACATATGCAACCATCAACCCCTCTGTGTCAAGTGACTGATGTTCTTCATAGCTCAAACATCTCAAAGCTCTACTGGGTGGCCTTGAGCTTGACTTGAGACGGCAGGACGCATAACGCTGCTGTTCACCCACGAAAAGAATGGATGGATAGGTAGGTATCCCGCTTGGGATGAGCTGTTCAATTCGTCCAGCCACAAAAGCACGTGTGATCAACGGTCAGCCACCGGGCCGCACCGAGCTTGTGCACCAACGGCTGGATCTTGATCGGACTGGGGATTGGGCGCCACAAGAGGAGGGGGTTTAGAGCCGTGGCGATGAAGCTTATCTGCGCACCTCACCGCTCTTCCAGGGTCCTAGCTGATACTCTTCTTGCGGACAAGAGGCCTCAAGAAGGGTCAATTAGATTGACAGGAGTTTGCCAGAAATCGCTATGCCCTGCGCTGGGCGGATAGGCTGGGGAGGGAGGGCAGAACATCACGATGGCTGGTATTCGGAGCCGCTCTCACGTACAGTTTCGCTCTTGGCATGGGGCCGGAACTGATGTGCGTGAATGGGATAGCTAAAGACCATCACGGCTAGAACGCGACATTCGATAGATACATGGTGAAAATGAGCCTCACATGCTCGGATGGATAGAGGAAAACAGATCCTGTGCACGAGAAAAACAGGCTTGAACAGAGGAAAAATTTGGCTAACTAGACCATAGACGTACGATACCGAAGCGCGCTAGGTCAATGGGTTTCGGCCAAGCCAGACCGCTTACACAATGCCGCGCCATGTTCCAATGCAGTTGGCATGGGGGAAACAAACATGTGATGCTCAATCAAGTCTTAAGTTACTTTTGGACGTTTACTTGAGATCAAGTACCCTACGCGGGCACACAATGCTGGGAAAGGTCGCAAGAGTTGAGGAAAAGTACAAATGCAAATGGAGCAGACAAGCCACATGTTCGGACCATTTGAGGACAGTGCACATCAGATAAACCAAAACATGCACGGCGAGACCATTTGCATAGGCAGGTAGCTGTGGCACAAACAAAATGAAGTAGACGAGGTGGGATGGGAACGGCCCCAGTGGAAGCGATCCGTACAAATAACGACCGAGGATCCTGAACCAGCCGACAAGGAGCAGCGGTGCCGGCGCAGTGGGTGCAGCTACGATGAGACAACCGCCCCCTTTTCCATCTTGTTTGAAGATTGGAAAAAAGGGCTGGATATTGGCCGGGATCACGTAAGGGGAGTTGCATCCCAACCACTTGATCAAACGGCCTTCGGGGGTGAAACGGGGCGGTGCTAGTCGTTCGGTGCCTTTTACCCACTTCTTGACACGCCACTGGAGATATGTATTGTGCACTAACTACTTTTCCTTTTCCTTTTCTTCTTCTTCCTTTTGAGTTACCTACCGTACCTGTCATACTACTGAGGTGGTGTAAATCTCTCTCTCTCTCTAGACATGATAGGCCATGTGCTGCGAGCTGTGAGGCGCTGGACCAGGGAAGACCCAGGAACTAAGGACACCTGGCGGTCCTGCAGTCCAACTGATGTGAAACGTTCCTTGGAATTCAATGTACGGATAAGACTGCGAGCAAAGCTTCTATCGAATACTCCCAAATGCTAAGCTGCATTAGCGCCCATGTCTACCAACCACCCCTCCCCTGTCTCCCAAGCCTGTCATCATGAAGGTTCCTCTTCCATCTAAAATCGGTGGCTGTCAACCACTCATATTTGAGCTGGTGAGCTGGCCTGAAGTCCGCACCCAATTGGTTCTAGCTGTGGCCCAGTCTGCAAACCCCCCCATCAGAGGTACCTAAGTACATCGTACTTTGTTTATTCTATTTTCTGGTATGTTCTTGGAAGTGTGGTCCGCACTGCAGCGCTCGGTGGGCGCGGCGGTCCCGTACGAGCTTTAGTGTACTCACACTCACAACACAGGGATAAGAAGAGCGAGACGAGGTACATCGAGATGACAGGCTCACGAGACCTACCACCAAGGAGAGGCCAGTCCCTGGGACCATCTTCATCTCATCGACAATGCCAGCGCCACTATAATACATTGCATATTGAAAATGCCCCACATCCTAATTTTGTCCTTTCTGCGTGTATCCTGATCTCTCAAGCACCAGGCTTCGGGAGAGGGGGAGGGAAGCCGAACCTGCTTTTTTTTGTCTGCGACATCGTTGTGCCGATCAACGCCCCTCTCAAAGCTTAACTCTGGCACCAACGCAATAACAATATGCTGCTTCTAGGTGGTGAAGCTACCAAAGGTATTCGTAACTCACCTCCCTCTAGGGTCGAGACAGGGTAGACTTTGGTCACCGCCCATTAGAATCTCTTCTGTATCGTCACGCTTGCTGTCTGGTTGTGTTGTCCCTCACATTTGCGCACTCGTTCCCGCCGCTTCCGCACCCGCTCCCGCCTATGCCTTTTTTCTTTCCTACCGGTATTCTTCTGCCGAGCCTCGAACCAACCGCATTTGCATCCCAGCATGCCTCCTTGGCCCATTATTCCCACACCTCTCTAGCCTGGAAGAAGCGAGGCTCATTCCGGCATCTCAATTTCGACAACTTTCACCCTTTCGCCTTAGCTTCCCCTGCGTCACTCGGTTTATTTCATTTGACGCACCGCATCCACCGCCGACCACTCTCACCGCATGTCAACATTATTGCATGCCTACCTAGGTAGTCGACTTCGCATACTACTCTGCCCTGTCTCAAACGCCCAGCTATTATTGCCGTGTTCCCCTTGCCGTCAATCACTTCCTCTCTCTCCTCTCTCCAAACCCATGATCCGGCTCCTTTTCTTGGCGTCTCAAGTTTCACTATTGTCAAATACCTGACCACGAGCCTCTCGAACATCTACACAATCCGTGGAAGAAAAAAAAAACCCCCTAAAAAAAAGGGGAGCAGGAGTCACATAGTATACTTCTCCTCTTTGCCCCCTTTTCCACTTCGACACACAAACATCCCGCGATCTGTCTCGTCCCGCCTTGCACATTCGTTTCCCCGGTCCCACAGATATCTGAACACACTTCTTACTCTCTTTCTGTGGCTCCTCGCGAGGGCAGCATAAACACGTCCCCGGTCAGGCCCAGCAACACTGCAACAATCTGCAAGGGCATGATAATAAAGCCACCGACATACGGCTTCCACTTTGATATATCCACTTCCAGCCACCTCGACTTCTGCCTCGTCCGGTAACCGACCGTGCCTTGCGGGAAAACCCTCTGTTGTTTTGTGCCCATACCGATATACTGGGGACCTTGCCTCCTAGGTACACCTCACTCGTTTGCTCACCCACCGCCGCATTTTCCCTCAATTCCTCACTATAGTCAGCAACACCATCCACCACATCTGCCCGATTGGCCTGTCTTCCCTTCGCTTGTCTGGAGGAACTCCGAATGGGAGTGCCATTGATGCGCAACTGCACGCGACTGCTATCTCACTTACATCCACCACGGCCTGACTCGAATCGATCTCGCCATGACGATGGCTCAGCCGCAGCTGCAGCTGCCCACACCGCATCCGGCACCAGGCCTGGATGTTACCATACCACCGGTCTCGATATCTCTACCCAATGATGCCAATGCAAGATTACGAAGCCGTATAGCTCTCGATACCTACTCGTCACCCGTTAACCAGAATGGCAGCTTCGAGTTCGACCGCGTCGTGAAGAGCGGCTACCTGCAGAAGCGCACGCAGAAGACGAAGGTTTGTCCAACCCCCAACCCCCCTTGCGCCTTACAATGTTGCTGACCGGTTGTGCAGGCCTGGAAGTCAATCTACCTCGTTCTGCGACCCAATGCGCTTTCCATTTACCGAACCGACAAGGAGGACAAGCTGCGACATAAGCTGTACCTAGCCGACCTGACGGCTGTCGCTTTGCTCAAGGACCCCAAGAACAAGAAAAAGAACGTGTTCGGGCTGTTCTCGCCAGCGAGGAACTACCACCTTCAGGCTAGCAGCAGCCACGATGCCGAGGAATGGGTCGAGTTGATTAGGAACCATGCTCGGATCGAGGAGGAGCATGAGGAGCTGCTCCTCGCAAGTCCAACAGGGAGGCGCCAGTCATATATGGCGATTGGCAGCTCTGGTCCAGTCGGAGAGACGAACAAACCCGAGAGATTGGCGTCAAGCTCTCCAGAACCGCTTGAACCCCCGGTGCCACGCTTTGTTGGGTCAACACATCGACGTCCATCCCAGATGGCGGATACCGCTGGTTATTCCGGCAATGAGCTCGCGTCACACTCCGACTTCTCTGACAATGATATTCAGCGGATACAGGGGATGTCAATCGAAGACTTGGCGGTACAATCGCCGGATGTGGGATCACAGGGCCGGCCAGGCCTGGGCCGTAACACAAGCCAGGTCAGCGGCCTGAACATCGAGCAGGACCCGGATCGCGTCATCTGGCAGGGCTGGCTCTGGTTTCTCAAGAGTAAAGGCGGCGTGAAACAATGGAAGAACCTGTGGGGTGTCCTGAGACCACGAAACTTCATCCTCTACAAGGATGAGTCCGAGTACACAGCGCAGTTCATCAGGCCCATGTCGGCAATTGTCAACGTGGTTGACATTGATCCAGTCAGCAAAACCAAAAAGCATTGTCTCCAACTTATCACGGAGGAGAAGAGCTATCGATTCTGCGCCCACGACGAAGAGTCTCTGATCCACTGCCTCGGCGCATTCAAGAGCTTATTTGCCAAGCGACGAGAGCTCGAAGCGCGGGGAACCGTAGGAGGAAACCAACCCACACCTGCAGCATGAAGCTGCATACACCTGGCAACCCACGGAATTGCTTTTTAAATATCGAGCGGGAGTTTTGCCATAGCACCTTGTTTTCTTTGTTCACGACGCATGATGCAACGATACATACATAGGACTTTGCGGAGCCTGTTAAAACACGCTTGCCTTGCTGCGGGGAGAGCCACCCAGCTGTAGCTATAGTCAAAGAGTTGAGGGATCACGGGCTTACCTAGCTGTGCATTCTTTGGTACCTAACTGATTACATGCGCATTTGACATGGTAGCATACCCTGGTATGGTATTTCGGCAGACTGGGGCTGCCGAAGGTCTCGAAGAGAGGCAGATTACGAGTAATGATGAATACGAATTACCATTTCAAAACACCTACTGACAGTTCTTGTGGCCACTGTGTGAAATCAAGTCTTGTGGTGTTGACCAGCCGAAGGCAGTTTTGCGTATTAGTTTGGTCCAACGCCAAGAAATGCGACGAAATGACTATAATTTCTAACCATCGCCCAATGATCTGGATCCAACAAGACGAGACAAGCTTGGTTGCAATCGACAACAATCATAAGCCGGCTGAACCAATGAAATCAAAGGCGACACTCGATTCCAAGAGACGGCACGGGAGTCCTCCAAGATGGGGAGGGAGAAGCAAGCACTCATAGCTCCGGAACTACACATAGGTACACACACAGCTTTGTGAGCAGAGAGATTGCAGCGAATGAAAGTGGCGTACATAGCTCAGGCCACACCCCCAGGGCGCTAGCTCGGTCGGGTGACGCGGACCTCTTTTTCGGATGGTCCTATCACACGGCGGGCCGGCCACACCAACCTCGCCCCCTTCACCTTGGCCGGATCATTAGGACGTTAGGACGCTACAGAATGCTGCCCCTATTCCAACCACATCTCCAGATGGCCCCCTCGTAGGATGCAGCTCTTGGTCCCCAAGGCTATGCCGTCCCTGAGCCTGGATACCCAATCTCATGCCATAACGGCCATGTGGCCAATAGATGGAGAGTAAGGGGTAGAGATATCTGCCCCTGCCTTCTTGGCAAGAGCGAGGAAGACCCGGTGAACGCACGCCGCCGCGCAAAGGCCGTTGCGCTCTTTAAAGTGTGTGCTAGTTGCGTCGAGCTACACTGGACCCCTGGGCTTCTTTTGCATGCGAGGCATGACCCTGCTCAAGCTTGCTACGGTCGAATCAGCGTTCTTCGTCTGATGTTTCTGCATGTTCATGACGAGTTCTAACAGGTCGGGTTGTATCGCCAAGCGGGTGAAACGAAAGACGGCGGAACTGTGGCGGCGGTCGCGAAGACGGTATTCTTGCTACTCCCTTTTGTTTGGTTGACCACCCGAGGCAAGGTGAGATGAGCGGTGGAGGGCTCGACAGGTCAACAACATAGGGTCGCGTGTTGGCGTTGGGCGCGTGCAGTTCGAGTGACTATATCGTAAATTCATTGCCACCATGCCTTTTCACGTCCATCAACCGTGACCCTTTTGAGAAGCTGTTGTGGTCTTCTGTGTTGTTAGTCCTTTGTCTCAAAAGTTCTCAGCTGCCCAGCACGACAGCCCTCGTGGGATTTCGGTTGACTTACACACTTCTCAGACTGATCCGGTCACCATATATGACGGTGTGACATGGTCGATGCCTGAGAGATATGCACCCGCTACCCTCGTTACTTCGCTCGCGTCTGTTCTGCTTCTTCTTGCTCACTAGAACTGAGCTTGCTCGCTTCCCGCTGTCCAAGTTGATAAACCGCCCAGCACTTACAGGATCGTCTAGCTTCCTTCCACCAACATACCGTCTAGGGAACCCGAGAGTTGGGCAGCTTATATAAAAATAGACTAAACGGTAACAACCACCATTCAACTTCGCCTATATCAGAAGTCCATCGTCATGGGGCTCATTCGTAGCGTCTGGGCTGTGTGTGCCCTCCTTCTCTCTGTCCATGCCCAGAAGCCCCAGCTGCCGCTCTTTTCGACTTCACGCTGGATTACCGACTCCTCCAACCAGCGCGTCAAGCTCCGCTGCATCAACTGGGCTGGGCACATGGAAGTCAATCTCCCCGAGGGCCTGCACAAGCAACCCATCGAGTACCTCGCCGACTGGATCAAGCAGGAGGGCTTCAACTGCGTACGCCTCACCTACTCGACCGATCATGCCCTGAACCCGGGGGTCAGGGTCCGCGACTCTTTCGTCAACGGCTCCAGGGCCGCCGGCGTCACCGAGACGGACCTCCTGAGGCTCTACGACCAGGCCGTGCAGAAGAATCCGTTTCTGGCCGGCCCCGACGTTACCCAGCGCGACGTCTTCGAGAGGGTCATTGACGCCCTCTGGGACAGGGGCGTCATGACCATCCTCGATAACCACGTCAGCAGGGCCTCGTGGTGCTGTAACCTCGACGACGGCAACGGGTGGTGGAAGGACGCGCGCTTCTACTGGGCTGCCAACTCGCGCTACTTTGACACGGATGAGTGGCTCGCGGGCCTGCGGCAGGTCTCTCTCTGGGCCAAGACCAGGCCGGGGGTCGCTGCCATCTCCCTGCGGAACGAGCTCCGCGCGACCTGGACTCAGATCCCCTTCGCTGCGGGCCAGTGGTACGACTACGTCGCGCGCGGCGCAAAGGCCGTCCACGAGGCGAACCCGGACGTGCTCGTTGTCATCGGCGGCCTCAACTCGGCGACAGACTTCACACCTCTCCGGACGCGGAGCCTCGACACCGCCGCCTGGCAAGGGAAGAACGTGTGGGAGGCGCACAGCTACAGTTTCACGGTCACGACGCCCAACTTTGGAGACTGCAACATCGAGAGGGCAGAGTACGGCGCCCTGTTCGGATTCGTGTTAGAGCAGGGGAAGGGGTACACGGGGCCGCTGTTCATGTCCGAGTTCGGCGTCGCCATGTCGGGCGGGTCGGAGGATGGCCTCTCGGCCGAGGATCACGCGTATCTGACCTGTTTAGTTGGCTACCTCGAGGGGAACGACGCGGACTGGGCGCTCTGGGCGATTCAGGGGACGTACTACGTGCGCAACAAGGTTGTCGATTTCGAAGAGACGTGGGGAGCAATGGATCGCGAGTGGAAGGGGTGGAGGAACCCTGCGTTCAAGGGCATGTTGGGCAATATCTTTGCCGTCACTCAGCGGCCGTAGAGGGGTGTTCGGGAGGAAGAGGACGTGGTTCCATTTGAGCTGTCGGTATTTGAAGCCAAGGAGGTGTATATAAGTATAGGCCCTATTCCTGAGGTTGGGATGGTTGTAGTGTAAGTCTCTTATACCCAACGTCAACATGTTTTCTTGAGCGGTTCATTGCAGTAGGCGGGGTTGTATGGGTAGTTCTGCCATACCTAACGAGAAGCCACGCCGCCCGTGTTCATCGACCTGCACATGAAACAGGCAGGCGGGCAGACGCCTCGGGCAGTAAGACGAGTGGTAATGTGGTTGATGCAGTTGTGAGTGTGATTGATTGTCTCTGATTGTCTCCATAAGTGGAGATGGAGTATAATATCCGGGTATCTCGCGTCTCTATCAATCTCTGATGGGCCTCCCTGTGACGCAGTCTCCGAGGGCCGGCGTCCATCTGTGAGTGACTCCTGGGCCGTAGCTAGGTCGAAAGCTCCACTAAGACGCCTCCTGAGCTTCCTTGGTCTCACCAGCCTCCCCGGTCTGTGTTACTTCCATCGATTCCGCCGGCTCAGCAACCACTTCGCCCTCATTTGCTTCCCCTGCCTCTTCGCTTACCTGGGGTTCCTGTGGTGCTTCTGGTTCCTCGGCCGACGCATCATCCATGGCCTCATCTGCTTCTTCGACCGTCTCGCCTTTCGGCTGGCCATTCGTAAGCTCCACCCCAGCGTTGCCGTAAATGTATCCCTCGAGAGCCTTCAAACTTGTATCCAAATCTCCATTTGTAAGAACAAAATCGAACCCCCCCTTCAGCTTTGAGTCAGCCTCAAAATAATGAGCTGCTTTGGCGAGGGCTTCTTGCACAACGCCATCGCCTTTTTCTGCCTTCTTGAGGCGTTCCTCCAAAACCTCCGTGCTTGGCGGCAGAACGAGGACGCTCCGTACCGAATAACCAAGGTCCCGCGCCTGCTGAATAGCCTGTGTCTTTGTCAGTAACATTTCCGTGGTGGAAGAACCCGCCGCATCTTACCTCGCTGTCCATATACATAACTGGGATCTTCCCGCCTTCGGCAACTGCCTCTACCGCCTTGCGACTCGTACCATAGTCTACCTTGTCGATAGTAGTAAATTCCAACAACGCATCGCCATCCCTTAACATGTTGAAGGCCTGTGGCTCCACGAAGTGGAAGTGCTTGCCGTCGACCTCGCCTTCTTGTGGCGTTCTTGTGGTATGCCGGGGTACACGCGTGAATGCGCCTGGACGCCGCTCTGCGAGGAGGTTGAAGAGCGTCGCTTTGCCAACTCCAGGCGGTCCTGAAACTATGATTGGCCGTTTGTCTTCTGGGATATTGTCGTTGTTCACTGCCTCCTCTGGAGCAACCTCACTTTCGTCTACATCGACTGGCTCTTCGAAAACGGCATCGATCTTTTCTGGGTCATCGATTTTGTCAAAGAGAGCCAATCTCGATTTGCTCGCTATCCGAAGGGCTCGCCAGCTTTTGCTGGCTTTGCTCTCAACCGCGGCGGCCTTGGTTTGGTTGTTTGTTGGCATGTCGATCTCGAAGTCGTCGTCGGCGATCTTCCGCTTGAAGCCATCAAGCTCTGGCAAGCTGTACCTTTCTTCAGCCTTCAGCTTTTGCATGGCAATTTCGTCATCGCCGTCTTCCAAGAATCCAAGTGGTAGAGAGCCCATCGGCATGGCCCTTAAACGCTTGTTGGTCGTCGAACGTTGGGCGACCTTCTTTGCCTCGAGAAACAGCTCTGGAGACACGGCCGGTAACTCAATCGATGGGCAGTTCTCGGACTTCCAGCGAATCCAATTCTTGTCTCTCGCGAGGACCGTCTCAACCATACGGCTGAAGTACGGGCCATCGACGCCATGTTTAAGATACTTGTCGACAATCATTCTCTTCATTTCCGAGGCCCACTTGGTCTGTCCACCTGCTGTTAGTCTTGCTGATTCACCTCGTCTGACGGGCAGGATTTCTTACGTCTTCTTCGCTCAAGACCTGGCCAAGATAAATCACCGATTTGTTCTGGGCATTACCGGCCAGCTTTTCCTTCGTCTTGCTTGACAGTGATAGGAGAAAGTCCATGATAATCAACGCCTGAACAAGTATGTGTCTGCGGAAAGAGATATCGCTCATCTGCAAATGTAAGTGTCAAGACGATCCCGTAGAGTGTGGCATCACCTACCTCAAGCTCGAAGAGATCGCGGCTCGTAAGATATTTGGGGTTATAAGAATTTGCTAGGTCGCTCTCTTCCACATCCTCTCGTTTCCTCTTCAAGTTCCGCTGTGCCTCATCCACTGCCTTGGGTGGTCGCTGACCTTGTTCGTTCTGAATGACCCGGAAAGACGTCAAGGTTGCTTCTAGTCCGCGTTTGAAGCTCGTCAAGTGGGCAGGATCGAACAATTTTTTGGGCTGGCTGAATGTTTCTTGAAGCGACCAGAACTGCGGATATAGTGCATCGGGATCAAGCGGCTGATCAGACTGTGCTGGCCTCTTCGCGTCAAACGACACTGCCTTCGTCTGAGACTTTGCGTCAACTTCCTTGACCTCATTCTGGCCGTCTACATCCATGTGCTCTGGCGTTGCGTCTGTCTTCGCGCCAAAATCGTCGAATACGGTAACATTTTCGACGTGGTATTCTCCACGCAAGTTGACAGAGCTTTTGTCGCCCAAGGGGAAGCTCTGAAACATGAAGATGAAGACCCTGCCGCAGAAGGCTGTATCCTCAGCACGAGATAAGCGTCGTAGCAGCTCGTTGCAGCTGCGCAGAATGACCAACTGCTTCTGTTTGAAGTGTTTGACGGTAATCCTTTCCCGCCTTGATTCGAGGAAGTCGAAGATCTTGCGGCACCCGGCGATGGTCTGGCTATCTAGGAGCTCCTCCACCAACCAGAAAAGCAGAGCCGGGTCGCACTTTTCATCGTCGGAGAGAATGGTCAGGAGGTCGAACAGGTTCCAGACCTTGACGAAATTCGGGGATTCGATGGGTGTGGTGGCCTAAAGTTGCGGGTTGTTTATCAGTTGAGGTTCGGCCATGATCGGTGGGTTCGACGTACAATCAAGTTGCTGAACATGTTCCGTACAGCAGTCTCGATGGTTGCGAACTGTTGCGCCTTATTCAGTATCGCAACGCCGGCTCCATTTTCCTGTTGCGGCGTCGTGAGAACGCATCCAAGTTGCTCGTCCAGGTTGCCGAAGTCTGCCTTTTGTAACGCGGGCTCGATCGTGGGCGCAGACTTGACTTCCATTGAGCGTGACAGGAGGTCGCCGAGAAGTTCGGTAACTGCGACAACTCCAGGCACCTGGTGGCGCGGAGACGTGACGGCGGCCGGCATCTCGGGATGAGTCGAGGTGGTTGCGCTTAGTTAGGTTGAAGCGGGAAGGGCCTGGCCCGATATGCCATGAGCAGATGATGTCGACACAATGTGGTGCTTCGCTTGCGCTCGGGAATTGAGAGTTCGAAGTTCTTTGAGCGTCGGGTTCGCAATGTTGGTAATGCGGCAGGCCAGAGGTTGAAAGAATCAGCCTACTCAAGCTTCAGGTAAATGGAGATACGTATCGCAGCAAACGGGTCGTTCTTGAAGGTTGTCGGCAAGCTAGGCTTATAGAGCCCGCTAGCAGGGGCCGACGTGCTACTGAGCTCCACGGCGCTGCTGGAACACTGAAGTACCTGTAGGCCGTCCAATAGCGGGCTACCATAGTGGAGAGGGGATGGTCGCGTCGTCGCGTACGGGAACCTAGAGACAGAATCTGGATCTGCGATTGCCCGAAATGCAAGGCTGAAATTTTTAGAGGTTCCAATCTCACAGGATTTCGTCAGTCAACAATTGCGCGCCTGCGCATCGACTCTAGCAAGAGAAACCACACCAGGCCTGCCTTTTCCCCTCCCCAGCATGAGATCGCGAACATTGGTGCCAAAAACCGTCCCGAACTAGAGTGCCCAGTATGCCCACGGCTAAGAGACAGAAGAAGAGCAGTGAGGCTCAAGCTACGCCGTCCACTCGATCCCAAGCGAAGGCTACCGGCGATCGCCCAACCGTTGCCGACATCGAGGGAGAGGGTGCCTTCGCTCAGCTGGCAAAGAAGCACTGGCTCAAGACAACTAGAAGCAAGAGGGCGGTCAAGGTCAAAGTCAAGAACGACGTTTTGAAACAGGAGATCTGGGATGTTTTAGAGCGCGATGGATTTCCGTATAAGTCCATTCTGACCTTGGAAAGTCTGCAAACTCTGGAGAGGTATGCTTGGTTGTCCAATGCGAATACTCAGTACTCTGCTAACTGGGTTCTCTCGCAGCTACCTTTGGCCTGGCTATATCGACGACTCTTCCAACCACCATGTCTTGCTGGTGGTGTTACTGGTGAATGCGAAGCGGCGCGAGCAACTCGAGGCATGGAGTATATTCGAGGACCGCCCGGACGAGTTTTCGAGTTTGTTTCGCCGAGTTTTGTCCATGACGCTTGATCCAACTCTGTCGCACACAATTCGGACACACCTGCTGTCATTCCTGATATCAGCCTTCCAGAGCCTGGACTGTGCGATTGTGAGGAAGGAATGTGCGCCGCTGGTCTCCATTTCGATATGGCACAACCTTTCAACGGAGGAACTGCGCGAGGAGAAGCTTGAACAGCACGCGCATGTGAGAAAGGCTTGGCGAGCTGCAGGAAAGAGATACGATGCTGCCGACGACGCCACAAAGGCAAAGCTGCGGTTTGACCGATCTTGGTTGTATACCTTGATCTTGCATTTCTTAAGTCTGATATACACAGAAAATGCCGAACCAGGTAATAAAACTTCCATTGTACAGAGAGAGCCAACACGTACTGACTTGGGCTAGATCAAGTTCTCTATTGCGAGCGTTTAGTTGAATTCTTGACGGACTTGCAGAGCCAGCTCCCAACCCGGAGATATGTCAACACTCTCCTTCTCGATCTCCATGTGCTGCCTGCCATGCGTCTATCCCCTATGCTTAATGATGAAGAAAATACTCTCCTGCGCGATCTGAATGCGCTTCTGCGGCACTACACATTCTTCACGATCGACGACCAGACGGGCGCACAGCTGAGCCGTACTGAAGCGTACGACAGACATTGTGCGAACCTGTCAAGGCTCCAGAAGACGTCTCTGAAGCACTTTAAGGACAAGCTTACAGTCCTGGCGCTCTCAAACTACGGTTCCATTGACAAACGGGACGAGCTCTCTGGGCTCTTGGAGCCCCTTACCGACGAGGAGGTTGTGAAGCTGGCGACACTACTTCGTCTTCGAACAGCGTATCCTGAATCCGTAGGTGTGAGAATTGACAGGAAGTTTCTCATCGAGACGCTGCTCTCCACCTTTGAACGGCGGAAAACATTCCAGGAGGTGGCTCGCGACATGAGTCTGGCCCCTACTGAGCAATCCTTGTTCGAGAATAACGTGATGAGGACAGACGACTACGATGGATCTCACCCCTTAGCATTGCCGAAGCTGAATTTACAGTATCTGTCTGTCGGAGACTTTCTGTGGAGATCTCTTGTCTTGTACCGGGCGGAGGCCTTCTACGGTATCAGGAAAGACGTGGAATCGGCCATCCGACGTCTTCGGCCCGAGAGTCGTAGGCCAGGAGAGACAGCTTTCCAGGGCTTCTCCAAGATGGCGTTGCCAACCTCGAAGCCTTCGATTCTCGAAGTTGCCCCTCCGCGTGTGGGAGATGACAAGCCATCTTTGGTTCGAGCAGAGATCTCCATAGACGTTCGCCGCTTAAATGATGGCATCAGGCGCGAATGGGACTCGCTGAGACCAGACGACGTTGTCTTCCTCCTGGCTATCCAGGCACCGGCCGTCAACAGTATCACTAACGGAGATGGCGCACATTCGGAAGCCGAGAAGCTTGGTATCGTGTCCATTCGATCTGCCGAGATTATTCAGATTACAGACGAAAAGGGCAAAGTGGTTCGCGATGGTTCAGGTCACTACGACAGTCGTCGGCGGTTTCAGTTGAGGCTAGACCCCAGGACCTATGTCGCGGATGTCGAGCGCTCACCTTCAACTCCCCCGGAAGCTTACGAGCAGATCAATGTTGTCATGCGCCGCAGCGGGAGGGAGAACAACTTCAAGCCTGTTTTGGAGTCCATCCGCAGTCTATCGCTTTCCGAAGTGCCAATTGCTTCATGGTTCCACGAAGTCTTCCTCGGCTATGGCGACCCTGCCGGCGCAACCTACAAGCAGCTGTCGAACCGAATCAAATCAATCGACTATCGCGACACCTTCCTGGACTGGCAGCATCTTACGGGAAGCTTGCCTGGCAAGGTTGTTGAACCTAGAGATGACGTTTCTGGCAGCTTTGGTCCGCCGTACGTACTGGAGACCGCCGAACGACAAGCCGTTGAGCCACCATCAAAGCCTTCCAAGAAGCGACGCCGAGGCGTCGAGCCTGCTCTCCTGGCCGATGTCGAGACTGTAAAGGTATCGACCTACAAGCCACCGAATGCAGGCCCGTACCCCGTCGACGCACCAAAGCTGAATAAGATACGCTTCACTCCAGCGCAGATCGAGGCAATTACATCGGGAACTCAACCAGGACTGACTGTTATCGTGGGACCTCCCGGAACGGGCAAGACGGATGTCGCAACACAGATCATCAACAATATCTATCACAATTTCCCCGAGCAAAAGACGCTTCTGATAGCGCACAGCAATCAAGCGCTGAACCAGTTGTTTGCGAAGATTGTAGCTCTGGACATCGACGCGCGCCATCTTCTTCGTCTTGGACATGGCGAAGAGGAGTTGTACACTGAAGGAAGCTTCAGCAAGCATGGTCGCGTTGAATCGTTCCTGGAAAACCGGGATCGATGCCTGCATGAGGTGAACCGCCTGGCCGCCAGCATTGGCGCGCCAGGTGCTCACGGCAACTCTGCGGAGACGGCCGGCTACTTCAACTCTGTCTATATCGCACCAGCCTGGACGAATTTTACGGAAATCACCAAGGCAGATGATACCACGGCTACTGATGTTGTCGGAGCATTCCCCTTCCACCAGTTCTTCTCAGATGCGCCGCAACCACTATTCCCGCCCGAGGCAGATAAGGACACTGTACTGGATATCGCCAACGGCTGTTACCGGCATATTGCGAAGATATTCTCTGAATTGGCCGACGCGATGCCGTTTGAAATCTTGCGCCGGGACAAGGACAAAGCTAACTATCTGTTGACTAACGAAGCACGCATCATTGCCATGACGTCCACTCATGCGGCAATGAGACGCGGGGAGATTGCATCTCTTGGGTTCCACTACGACAACGTGGTCATGGAGGAAGCTGCTCAAATCACCGAGATCGAGAACTTCATCCCCTTGGCCATGCAAAAGCCGCAGAAGGGACAGATGGGTCTGCAAAGAGTCGTGCTCTGTGGCGATCACTTCCAGAACTCTCCAGTCATCCAGAGCATGGCATTTCGCCACTACGCAAACCTTGAGCAGTCGCTCTTCTCACGACTTGTTCGTCTCGGCGTCCCAACCATCAATCTCGACCAGCAAGGCAGAGCCCGCCCGTCCATCGCCAGCCTCTATCAGTGGCGGTACCCCAAGCTAGGCAACTTGCCGCACGTCGAGGCCGAAGGTGAATACCTCGCCGCAAACGCAGGCTTCAAGTACGACTACCAGTTCATCAACGTTCCAGACTATAAGGGACGCGGAGAGACAGAACCCACCCCTCACTTCATTCAGAATCTCGGAGAAGCCGAATACGCGGTGGCCGTATACCAGTACATGCGACTGCTGGGTTATCCGGCTTCGAAAATTAGCATATTGACAACTTACGCTGGCCAGCGAGCCCTTGTGAAGGACGTCTTAGCTCATAGATGTGCTAACAAAGTGGTTTTCGGAATGCCCAAGGTTGTGACAACTGTGGACAAGTATCAGGGCGAACAAAATGATTGTAAGTGTCACACCGGCCTAGAAAATGGTTATGGCCAGACTAACCAACGCTCTAGACATCATTTTGTCGTTGACTCGCACATCAAGGGTCGGATATCTACGTGACATTCGTCGCATGACGGTTGCGCTCTCTCGTGCTCGTCTCGGACTGTACATCCTCGGCCGTCGCGAGATCTTCGAGGCATGCTACGAGCTGCGGCAAGCGTTTGAGCTGCTTCTGTCCCGCCCCGATAAACTTATGCTTGTCACCGGCGAGCTCTACCCTACGGAAAGACTGTTGACTGGCGACGTCAATGCAGAAGTGCCAGGAGAAGCGTGCATGGAGGGAGTGGAGCATCTGGGGCAGTACGTATTCGAGATGACCAAGACCAAGGTCAACCAGTTGCAAGCGGAGAGCGCGATACCCGACCATGGTAAGATGGAGGTGCAAGAGACCCCGCTGGAAGACGTAGAAGAGGTCGAAGAGGACGGGGGCGACGTTGAGGTAGAGCCTCTTGTCGAAGGGGAGGAGTGAAGAACGCCGTGGCAGGCGAGGCCATAATGAACGCCTGTTGGTTGTAACGAGACGCAGAACTTGACTTGAGTGGGGGCAAACCTGTGGGACAGCAATCCCGGTTGGCTTTTTACAGCATCTAGGGATCTGGGATGACGAGGAAATCGAGGAAACAATAATGTCCAGATGCCCATATATGCAGGACCGGACTGGCAAGATATCGACGTCGCTGAGCTGTACCCACCACTTGCTGCAATGGGCTACTAATTAGCATGTCCTCTGTCGAAATATCCCAAGTGACTACCTCGAGCCCGTGCACTGCTCCGAGAGTTCGAGGAAACGAAAACTATCAGGCAACCATTCTAGAATAATGTGTGGAATGTCTGACGTTGAAAGGACGACGGTTGAATGGTTCCGGCGTCTTGCTCTCTAAAAAAAAAAAAAAAAAAAACGGAGGAGGGGTGGGTGGGATAAGCCCAGGAGCTAGGTGCACAGCAAGAACTGACTTTCCTGTCCCCTTCCTCGTTGGCTTTAGCTATGATGACAAGTCCGACATACTGTGTGTGCATGGCAGCGTCAAGGGAACGGAGTTCATGCACTGCGCTATCCACGAGGCGGCTTTTGGGTGCGTTAGTGCGCGTGTAGTGTAGGAGTTGCGGTAGTAGCAGGATCGAAGGAAGGAAGACTAAGAGGAAGCCGAAGAAGCCCAAGGGAGCCCCGTATCCTACCCGGCAGCAGGGATTCGCAAATCATGTACGGTGACGACAGCGATGCAGCACTGGTTGCTGCAGAGTAAAGCTTTGGGCCATGGCGAGCATGCCGCGCGGGCCGGGGGAGCAGGTAAGAAGGAAGATTCTCAGCAAAATCGAGGGCGGCGCTACGGCAATGACAATAGGCAGCAATGGCACAAGCTGAGTTTAAGGCCGAGTGGCAAACGGAGAATAGGTCATGCATGTTCAAGCCCGAAGGTGTTTCTTGGCGAATTTGTTTCGCTTTGTTTGGCTGTGACTGCTTGGTATCGTAGGTACGCACAATGACTGCCTGTGAAAAGCGACTTCGCGTAGCCAGAGTCGGGCGAATGGACGCTTTGCATGTTTGGATACTGATGGAATGAGTCAACCGCAAGAGTCAGCCGGCAGGAGGTCTGCGTGTCATGATACAGGGTGCGTGGGCGACAGAAGGGGGGGGTGGGCGCCAGGGTGTTGGGATCTTGTTTAGCATTGTGTCAGCACAGGCAACCAGAAGAGGGGAGGGAACGGCAAAGTCTGGATGGATGGCGTGGCAGCGACGACAAATGCCACGATGGAATCAGTGAAGGAGGCCCAACATCGACGTGTGATGTTTTATTAGGTACACACACACACGTATGTGTGTTTTTTTCCTAGGAAGTCTTCGCTGGTCCATCCGCCCTCCACGCCCAACAATAATGCTCCCGCCTGTTAGCGCGAGGATGGGGGAAGAAAGGGTGGGCGAATGAATAGGTATCGAGGTATGCCGTGATGAAAGGAGATTGCACTTGGTGTTGTGTGTGTCGTGTCCAGTGGTCCATGGGCACTTGCAGAGACAGCTCCATACTTGCCATTGAGTATCGGAACTAGCTGGACTAGATTACGGCCGGCCTCCTTTTGAACTCGATATAGCCCCGGATCGTTCGTTGCCAGACCGTTACTGGAGAACGACGCGTCTGACGCGTGCAAGTTTCCAGCTCATTAGTGGACACAAGAGCCCATCATACCGATACGCAAGTGTGAGAGTAAGACCCAAGAAATATTGTACAAGGGCTTGTGATATTGGAGAGAGACAGGCACGGGTAAATTCAGGCGTACGGATGCGACGCGACAATCCCCCCAGTCGCGCCACGCCAGACCACGCTCCGCCATGCAATCAATTAAATGATGGAATGTTTTACTACCAGGTTAATTCGCACAATCTTTTTGTGTGGTGAATCGCTCATCTCATGGGCTTTCCCAAATCGTGGCGCTCCTGTTTGCCCATAGGCGAATTTTTAGCTTTTCCTTCCCTTTCTTTCAAGTATCAATACCCCCCACCCGGGCGATTTCGCACTTTAGCGGTAGGCAATCCCTATTCGAGTGAAGGGAAACATGAGTGCATGTCGTCTGGACTCACAGGGTGCCGAGGACCTTGTTTGTCATTGTGATGAGGGGCCCGGGGAGGACAACCAGGTCCCAGGTGATAACGGGGCGATGGCATTTCGAGAACCACAGATGATATTCCTAGTAATCCCACCTCGGCCCCTTGCCCCGACGCGTCGACGCGTGCGATGGGTGATTGATGGAAAAGGCTCGCCGGCCTATCAGACGGTTGGTCCCGGGGTTCCCACACCGGTCAGGGTGGCATCGAATGACCGAGGACTGGTCAGAGTGACTGAATGCAGGCAGGCCTGAACGGAACGAGTATCAGAACAAGGCAGGCTTCACTTGAGTAGCTTCACTGAGGCCAATTAATTCGGCACTCATTCTCCGCCATGGGTAGCAACTGGCTGCTGATTCGCACCTCCTGCTACGTAACCCGTCCCATCGGGACTTGGCGGCGGCGACCCAGAGGCGATGTCGCCGGGAGGCAGAGAGACTGGATGTTGGCCGGGCTCTCGGAAGAGGGTGTGTTGGATTTTCAGTACTGATTCGCGAGGTGGCAACTCTGTTGAGAAATGCTACCCTACAAACAATACTGTCACACCCAAGGACTCCGGAGCAGACAAACCAGATTTCAAATTAATCCACTGTTGGTGGTGTGCTCAGTGAGCGAGAGGGAGGAAACACGGTCGACATGCACACGAACACCTACAATTTATCCTCTGATATGGCAGCACGCAACCATTCGCGAGAGGTGTCCGCACTTGCCTGTTCTTTTCTTTCGCCTTGAAGTGACTGATAAGGTCGCATTGCGTGTGTCTGAAGTCCAAACTTTTCCAGTACGGCGTATATACTGCATAGGAAGGGGTTAGGGGATTTTTTTTTTAAATAATAATAATAATAATAACAATATTAACAATAATCAGACGCACGTGTCAGCCTCTCCGTGACGCCGGGCAACTGCAGGGATACGAGCTCGGGCAGGGTAGGGGTGTTTTAGGAGGCCCTTGTCAAGCGTTAGCTTTTTACGGATACTCCTTGTCGATAACCAGGGTCAGATGTTTGAAACCGATGTACGGAATGAATTAGATTTTTTCTCTCCTTCTCGTCCTTTCCTCCTTCTTTTCCGTCCCGGCCCATCAGGAGTCCCCTCCCCCGGGCTGTGGTGTTACTGTTTCTCAGATTCGCTACGGGGTTTGCTGGCCCGTGCGCGGATGCGCCATCTTTGGGAGACGGTAGAACCTTCAATAGTCATGGCCACTATTGCAGGATGTGTGTCTCTCTTTAAAGCTGCAGGATAATGATGACCCATACACGTGCCTGGCGATACGAAAGACGCCAGAGCTGCATGTTGCAGTACTAGATGGCGTAGTGACGCAGAGACTGCTTGTGAGTGTGAGTGTGAGTGTGAGTGTCGGTTAGCTAGGAAGGCAGTCCGCGAAATATGTGTCCGTAATGCACCTGCGACCGAGGGAAATGCTGGCGCGAGTTCGGGGATGGGGGAAGCCCTAGGAGCCATCATGCAGCGTAAACTCAACTCTATCACCTCGGGATGAATCCCGGATAAGGAGTCGAGGCTTGGCTGAGGAAAAGAAAGAGCCGCTTCCGGACCAACCGTTGCTTGTTAGGGGTGGCGACTGATGACTTCGATATCTGCCAACCTGGTGTGCAAGACATGGAAGACTCTCGACTGCCAAAAGTGCGTAAGGAAGACGTACCTAGTTGACCCGTCGACCCACCCGGTTGTATGTAAATTCGCACGTCCACACAGCCTGCCGATGTAGTGTACCGGAAAGGAGCCTTCCTAAAGCACCCAGACAACCAGAGAAAAGACCTAGGGCGACGCGACACTGACGACCATATTTAGTTTCACAACGCACCATGGGAATATGCATGGGTGCCATATATGGCAAGTCCAGTCGAGGACAGACAACTGACGGAGGCGACGAACACGAAGCAAGCGAAGAGAAAGGAGAAAAAAGAAGGAAAAAATAAAACACCCACCACATTGCTGCGGAAAAAAGGGTCCTGGAGTTTGCTGCCCCGTATGGAAATAGGAGCAAGGGTCTGTCCTTCCTCCAGCCTTTCTGTGGATACCCCAAACCAATCTGCTACCACTTTGCCCTCTGCATGGACATTTCGCGTCGTTACCAGCCCGAGACCGAAGACAGACAACCCGAGGTGATAACCTGGAATGGACGTGGTGCGTGCCCTTTTTCTTCCTTTCTTTGCCATGTATGGCCATGTACCTGAAGCTAAGGCGGTACACAATGCGCTGAGTCCGGGCCGGGTCAGTCAGAAATTGGGTAAAGAAAGGCATGCGAGCAAATCCGAGTCCTGGCCTGGCACACCCAGCTACGTGTATCGATAACCAGTCTCTATTTCTCGCTTGTCCACCCACAGAGCCCGGATTAGGCAGCATGTCAACGTCCTCTGGTCCTCTCTAGGGTTGGCCAGGGCGGCGAGATGGACCTGCTGGAAATTGCCTTGCTAGAGCACCGGGTCGCCTTGCCGTAGGATGGCCTTCTTTCGAACCCATGACATGACACATTATTGACACCCCAAATCGGGAAGAATGTCAAGCTGGGCTTTGTTTGTACCATCTTTTGTGTGTTTCCGCTGGCTGTTCCATGCCCAACAGGGCGTTGGGAATATGTGGCTGAGTGCCTGGCCCTAGAATAATTGGAAGCTACCTTGGCCGACGCAACTCAAAACAAAGGCAATGCAATGCCATGGCTCAGTCAAACGTTTTCCTCATCAAGGTAGAGAGAGAGAGAGAGAGAGACCACCTGAGGGAGGACACGGATGGATATACATTATTCACCTTTTGCCAACCCACACAGTCGGTTGTGTGTGGTGAATGAGGGTCAGATACCGTGCTGATAAGCGAGTGCTTCGGCCGACAACGCACTGTCATGTCCGCTAAAAGGAACGGGCTGGGGGCGCGCGTGTTGCTGGGTAGTACAGTGAATGAGCGCGGTAGGGTGTAGAGGTAAGACGGTGGCCCCCCTCTGTAACCGGCAGACGGGGTCTGGGGCACAGTGTTTTTCTTTTCCCCTACCTCCTCTTCTTCTTGTCTCCGGTATTCGATGATGGAACAGGGCAGTGAATGAGAAAGTCTCCTTTGCTACTGGGACGGGATAGAAGTAAACTAATGGGTGAATGATTGGTTTTACGTGTGTGTGGGTTGGAGTGAATTATCTCCTGTCGGGGCCAGTGATGAGTGTGGGCGCAGCGCGGGCTTATGACGAGGTACTTTTACCAATGTACCTTTTTTTTCTTCCCTGGGTCTTCCCTCCTACTCGCACCCGCACACGCACCGCCGCACACTGCGCTCACCCAGTCAAGGTTCCACGCCATATTATCTCCTCCTCCAAAATTTTTTTGGTAGTTTCTCCTTCCAAATCTTTCCCACCACAAACACCGAAACTGGTCCAGGTGGATAATTTCTCACCAGAGACCCTTTCTACGTTAACAGTTTCTTCTGTATTTTCCCATTCAGAAGACAACTCTCACCTCCTCTGTAATACCCGCCGGTCACAGGAACACCTTTATTTGGTTTCTTCCATAGACCGTTGCGAAGGCCGACAGACCTTGCCCCCTCCTCTCTGCGCTCTCCACCCGCCGTCGCCTAGCGATATTTCGTTGCTTCCGTCGAGGAATCCACGACCACTTCCCCTCCGCAATAACAGAAAAAAAATCCCTCCAACCACCGTCTTTGGACCGAATCGATTCTCCGACCGATCTGATCCATTCTGTCTCGGGATTTTTCTCTTCTTCGGCTTCGAGTTATTGACCCAGTCATTCATTCTTGAATTTCTGCGATCTGTCACGTACCCCCTCGTCGAATCTGAGATTCGGTACCCGAGCGATTGTTCTAGTTGCGACAGTTCGACCACTTTTTTGTCGACCTCTTTTCGCAACACCGTACATCATCCGACACGGTTCCTTCATCAAACGTTATTCTTCTCACGACACGCGCTACGACGAGATTTCACATATGACTTCGACTGCCAGCCCTCAGTCCAACCCGGCGCCCAACACCTCCGCTGCGACTTCGGCTCCTTCATATGCTTCCGCTGCCGGTGCGAACAAGAAGCAAGCCTCCACGCCGCTGATTGCGACTGGATCCAACCCACCTGTGGTGGTCGGTGGCTCCTCTGCGCAAAATGCAAAGCCGTCTGCTCCATCACCAGTAAATGGTCGTCAATCCATCACTCCTGCCGTGCCCGCTGCCCCAGCAGTCGCTCACGGCTCTTCCAACAACAACAACAACAACAACATGAACGGAAACGCACCCGATCACGCCCGCAAGAGCTCCGTCACTCTTAGTGCCAACGGTCCTAACAGCTTCGCTCCAAACGGCGGCCCTGTCGGTGGTTCCAAGCCCGGCATCCAGTTCGGCTACAACTCTCCCGCCGTCGCGCACAGCACTCCCCAGACCACGGCTGCTCCGATCCCCATTCCCGGATCCAACAACCAGCGCGTGCCTTCTCCCGCGCACTCTCCCTCTCCTATCCCTCAGCCCTCTGCCAGCGGCGGCCGCCCCCCCTCCGGTATGGCTCCGTCTAACGCCATGACGTTTGGCAGTCTCGGAAGCGATGGCGATGTAAGTACCAGCCACGTCAACATGCCCGGACACCGTGCTCGTGAGCCCGACGCTGACCTCCACTCTTTGCAGCGCCACATGAGACAAGCCTCTACTCCTCAGACCCAAGCCGCTCTGCCTGCGCAGCCGGGATCGCACATTCGTCGGGAATCCGGTGTTTCTCAGCACAGCGATGCTGCTGGGCCCAACCAAGGTCCCAACCGTCAAGGTTTCCAGCCTCAGGGCGGCCGTGGTCGTGGTTTCAACCCCCACCAGCCCCCTTACAACGCCAACATGGGATTTCCCCCTAACCAACAATACCGCAACGGTCAGGGCCGTGGCGGCATGCCGCCTGCCTTCCACCCTGGAAGACCGATGCAGCCCTACCCCAACTCACCTCAGCCGGCCCGGAGCCCTGCTCTGGCACAGTCCCAGCCGGGGACCCCGAATATGCCTCCGGCGCAGATGCACCCGATGCCCATGGCTACTCCTCCTCAGTACCATTATCCGCCTCCCAATATGGCGCAACCACAAGTACATCCCCCTCCCTTTCAAGATCCTTTCATTCCGTCGACTTTGGCCCCTCCGTTCGTGCCGTATTCCAAAAGCAAGAAGAAGAAGAACCAGTATCAGCATTTGGAGAAGTTTCCCCACAAGTCTCGATACGCGGATTCTTCGCATGGCATACCTTTTGACAACAAGCATCGGCGCTTCAGTGAGCACGCAGAGCAGATTTGGGTCGCCTCCGACAGGCCGAGTCTGAGTTACCACCCAGACTTGGGTAACCCAAACCTTGTCGAGCGGGGCCATGTGTCGTCGAACGAGTTGTCAACTTCTTCTCTTCCCTCAGCCCCTCAAACTGATCTTTCTCCACAGAGCGATTACTATGAGAGATTGCTAACAAACGCAAAGCAGCAGTACGGCTACCCTCCCCAACCGACTCAGTACGACCAGTTCGGCCGACCCATGTACTACAACCAGATGGGATACATGCCTTCCCCTCCTGGTGGACCCCCGGCTTTCCAGCCTGGCTTCGTGCCTCCTCCTTATCACCAACCCGCGCCGGCCGCCATGTCGCGTACCTCATCTCACTCTGAGCGGCCTTCTTCCAGCACTGGCCAGCCGAGTCAGCCCGTCGTTGTCTCTGGCACCCCCCAGCCCCAGAATGCTCAAGTCAAGACCCCCATCGTGGCTTCGTCTTCTGGTAACTTTGTTCGCCCCAAAAAGAGCGCTGCCATTGTCATCAAGAACGCTGCTGGTGAAGCTGTCGACTTCAAGAGCATCAAGACTCCTTCTTCGCCTGCCCCTAGCATTCAGCAGTCCAAGACTCCTCCGATTGTAACCTCCACCCCCACTCCTCCCCCCAAGTCGGCCACGCCCTCCCATGCCCGCGCCGACAGCCAGGCAACTCCCAAGACTCGTCAAGAGATCCAGGATGAGCTGAGAGCCAAAATCCAGCAGGCCAAGGGCGGAGAGGACAAGGCAAAGGAGGAGGCTGACGCTAAGGCCAAGGCCGTTGAAGAGGAGAAGAAGGCTGCTGAAGCCAAGGCTGAGGCGGAGGCCAAGGCTAAGGCTGAGGCTGAAGAGAAAGCCAAGGAAGAGGCTCGCAAGGCTGAAGAAGAGGCGGAGGCCAAGCGCAAGGCCGACGAAGAAGAAAAGGCCAAGGCCAAGGCTGCCGAGGAAGAGAAGGCGGCTGCTGAGGCAAAAGCAAAGGAGGAGGCCGAGAAGAAGGCGACCGAGACGCCTGCTGAGCCCGCCGCTACCGAGGAAGACGAAATGGAGCGTATGATCCGCGAGATGGAGGAGGAAGACGCACGTCGTGAGAAGGAGGCTGCCGAATACAACGCGAAGAAGGCACTCGAGAAGGAGGCACAGAAGAAGGCTGACGAGGCTAACAAGGCCACCAATGCCGCCGAGGCAGACCGCAAGCTCCGCGAGGCCGAGCGTGAGATGGAGCGTCTCGAAGAGGAGAAGGAGAGAAAGCGCGCCGAGGCCGCTGGGGCCTCCGTCGCCGAGCTTCTCGCAAAGACCAAGGCCGGCGCAGATGAGCCCGTCAAGGTTGGTGATGTCGCCGATAAGCTTTCCAACCTCAGCATCGGCGATTCCAAGGCCTCTACTCCTACCGAGGCTTCTGCACCCAGGGCCACTCCCACTGAGAAACGCGGCGCCAAGCCGTCTCCCCTCAACCTGGCTCCTCTCAACACCAAGCCTGTCGAGGCGCCTCAGCCCAGTGCTGCTCTCCAGTCTTTGAAGTCTGCTCGTTTCTTGACCGTCATGAACCAGGACTTGTACCCCTCTGGTATTAGCTCTCCCAACCCGGCCTTGAACGCCGCGGTTGCCAAGAAGGGCAAGACCTTCAAGTACGACGCTCAGTTCCTGCTGCAGTTCCAGAAGGTCTTTACTGAGCAGCCCTCCACTGAGTTCCACCAGCAGGTCAAGTCGCTAATTGGCGACAACGATGGTTCTCGCTCAGCATCTACTCCCCGCGCCGGTTCCGGTCGCGGCGGTTCCCAGCGCGGCACCACTGCACCCGCAAACGCCATTGGTAGTTTCCGAGCTCCGTCTAACAACGTCCGAGGCACCACCTCTGCCGAGCGATTCGCCATGGCCAACGCTGCTATGGGCTCAGGAGGAGGCCCTGTCGGCAACATGGGCACTTTCCGTTCGTTCCCCGGTCCCCAGATGGTGCGGACACCCTCCTCCTCCAACGTGGGACCCAACTCTCCCAGAACCCGTTCCGCCAGAGGAGGTGGTGGCAGCAGACGCAACGATTACAACCCCAAGGAGGCGCAGGCGGCCAAGACCATGCCCCTTACTGCGGGCATGGAGCTCAAGCCTATCACGGTTTCCGCTACTGGCTGGAAGCCTACCAGCATCGGCAAGAGCAACACTTCGGGCCCTACGCCTGGCTCCGACCACATGGATCCCGAGATGGTCCAGCGCAAGGTCAAGGCTGCTCTCAACAAGATGACCCCGGAGAAGTTCGACAAGATTGCCGACCAGATCCTCGCCATTGCCGGCCAGTCCAAGGACGAATCCGATGGCCGCACCCTCCGCCAGGTCATTCAGCTCACCTTCGAAAAGGCTACCGACGAGGCTCACTGGGCGTCCATGTACGCCAAGTTCTGCAAGCGCATGCTTGACACTATGAGCCCTGGGATTCGCGACGAGAATATCAAAGACAAGAACGGCGTTGTTGTCAGCGGTGGCGCCTTGTTCCGCAAGTACCTGCTCAACCGCTGCCAGGAGGAATTCGAGCGTGGCTGGAAGGTCAACCTGCCTACCAAGCCTGAGGATGCTGACGAAGGCAAGCCCCAGTCATCAGAGGCTGCCATGCTCTCCGACGAGTATTACATTGCCGCTGCCGCCAAGCGTCGTGGTCTTGGTCTCGTCCAATTCATTGGTGAGCTCTACAAGCTCGGCATGCTCACGGAGCGCATTATGCACGAATGTGTTCGCAAGCTTGTCGACTACGAGGGCGTTCCCGACGAGGCTGAGATAGAGTCGCTGTCCAAGTTGCTGAGAACCATCGGTTCCAACCTTGACGCTTCTGACAAGGGTAAGGCCTTGATGAACGTCTACTTCGACCGTATCCAGCAGATGATGGATATGCCCGAGCTTGCCAGCAGATTGAAGTTCATGCTTTTGGATGTCGTCGACCTCCGTAAGAAAGGCTGGGCTTCCAAGGAAGCTAACAAGGGACCCAAGACCCTCGATGAGATACGCGCAGAGGTATGCCATTCCACACTTCCCACCAGCAAGTTCCATGCTAACAGATATGACAGGCTGAGGCAGCCGCTCTGCAGAAGGCACAGGAGAACCAGCGTGGCGGCAGCCAGCGCGGACCCGGTGGCCGCCCCAACATGGGCCGCGGCGATTCTCGCAACTTCTCGTCCGGCTACATGCAGGCCCAGTCCAACCAGGTCGGTATGGATGACCTGCGCCGCCTGAAGGGCTCTACCGGCAGGACTGCCAGTGGCAACATCTCTCTTGGCCCCACCTCCATGTTCAGCTCGCGCAGCAACAGCGGTCGCAGACTTGGACCTGGCGGCTCCCTCGGCCGACCTGGTGAGGATTCTGGAGCTTCATCCCGCACCGGAACGCCGCCCACCACCCAACACACCAACGCCTTCAGGTAAACTCTTCTGGCTCACGCATTGCCAAAGGTCAAGCTGCTAACAACGAGTACAGTGCGCTCGCCAACCTGGACAGCGAAAATCCGGCTTCTCCTCCTTCGACTGCTGCCTCTCCTGCACTGTCCAAGGTTGTCCCCGACAGCACTGCTGGCGAGAGCAAATGAAGAGAGTAGCCGAGCATTTCCTTTTCCATCAAGTCATTGCATTTCAGCAAATAGACAGGGGGCGGGGGCTGTTTGGTGCATTTACACTTAGGGTTCTCACAGTTCGTTTCCAAAAGTTAACCTGATCTTTGCTGCGGACCATGATACCTCGAGAAGAATACCGACATAGACGACTCACTGAGATGATCTCTCACCGAGAAGAGAGGGTTTCCGATATATTCGGAGTCCGGATGTAATCTTTTTTACTACGTTCGGTTCTCTCCTCAACCGACCGCATCCATCCCGATGCGGTCTCTCAACACATTGTGTTTTATTCCCTTTCTAATACGAGTTCACGACGCTTTATGGGTCATCTTTTACGTGCCTGGCTTACGTGGGGATGGTGGGAAGTGGTTAGGAAATGTTTTGAACGCAGAGGGGACCAGACGCACGGAAGAAGAGGACGAGCTTGGGGAGAGTCCATCCAGCAATGGAGAGCTTATGCGCACAAAACAGGCTGCGCGCGCTTTGCTCTTTTTACAGGTGGACATCAAAAAGCATACAATGGAGCTTCGGCCAGGTCGTGGATCCTGGTTTTTTGCAAAAAGGGAAATTCCGGGATTTGTTCAGAAGATGATTTTTTATCGTCTTTTTCCTTTTGGCATTGGCTCGGTCACACTGGCAGACCCCCTCTCACATTACGACACCTAGTGGTGTGGCCTAAGAGGTGTTTTTTCCCACTCGGAAAGGAACGGCGCGGTCCCAACATCTCTTGACTACACAGGAGATGTATTCCCAGTTGCAGAGCTCAAGCTGGGCTGGGGTCACTGGTCGCCAACAGTGAGCTCGGTCCCGGGTTTGGGCATATCAGCTGGAAATGGGGGTGGTAAAGTGGGCTGGCGCGAGGTTAATCGACCGGACGGGAGAGAGGAAAACCTGGATGCTTTTTCTCCGAACTTGTACATTTAATTCGGCAACGGAGCCGGGGCCCAGTGGACCGGAATGACGAAAAGAAAAAGATTACGTAGTTCACAACTTTTCTTGTGTCCTTCCACACCATGATTGGCAGTTTGAGTAATGAGTGACAGTGTATCCATAACGCAGCACCTGTTGGGCGAGTGAATTGTCTTATGTGTGCGTGACCAAGAGTGACTTTGTAGGAGTTTTCCCTGCCCTTCTGTAGATAGCCTCATAATTCGGAAAGTAGCCCCTGCTAGCCCTGATGCACTCGTGCGGACCCACCCGCCGTGTTGCCCAATCACTCAAGGCTGGATGTGGACTCTTGAGACAGCGTGATGATACGATAGCCACAGCTGACCAGATATTGATATCTCCGACGAGACGTAACGGTAGGAAGACTTCTGCATCAGACACCGGTGTGGAATTCGCATTGTTTTCTACGGCTCTACAAAATAGCACATATACCACGCAGCCCAAACGAGAGATAGTGTTGCCTCATTTCAAGCCTATCCAAACTCCTAGCGCCTCGTCAAAAAGGCCCCAATCGACCAGGACTCAGCCATGCAATTATAAAGGCAAAAGGGGGGGGGGGGGGGGGGGGGGGGTAGATCAAGAAAACAAAAAGCCTAGCCAAACTCCTCAGAAGCTTCATGTCCGCCAATCATACCCATCCTAGTGTCATCATCAGCCGTCCCTATGTGCAGTCCTTCATGGCCTCCCTAAGCAGCAGCAGTAGCCAAAAGCTTGTTGAAGCCCAGCTTGGCGAACAGGGTATCCATGGCGACCCATTGCCTGCCGCACTTGTCGAGATACTTGTCCACGACGCCCTTAACCGTGCCGAAGCGGACGCGGTTGTGCTCAGCCATGGCGAGGATCTTGTCCTTGTTTTCGGGTGAGAGGTTGTTACCGCTCTCGGCCGAAGCCTTGCTTTTCGCCTTGTCAACATCCCACAGGCTGGCGTAGTACACGAGCTGGTTATAGATGGCCTTCTCTGTGTATTCGTAACGCATCCGGCCGAGGCAGTCTCGAGCGAGGCCCTTGGGGCCCAGACAGCGGGTGCCGTAGACATTCATCTGCCGCGTGCGCATGCCGCAGGCGGAGTCGTCGCATACCAGCCAGCCCTCGTAGTACCGTGCCGTCTGGGTGCGGAGGGCATGTTCGAGCTGTGCCACGATCGAGAGAGTCGAGATGGTGGCACCGCATGAGCCGCAGAGCACGCCTGATGCTGAGACGCGGTCGGGCTGCACCACCAGACCCTCGAATACCGAAGAAGCCTTGCACTTACGGCAGCGGAGAGATAGACGAGCACACTCGGCAAAACGGACATCATCGGGAATTTGCGACTCCAGAGGGTGTATCTCCACGTCGTTGCTCGAACCGCCCTGGTGCTGGTCCTGAACCGACTTGTACCTGCGAATATCCAGTCCCAGGCATTCAGCGAGCTGAGAGCTTGAGGTGCCGACGATGTTCGCGCAAAGGCGCTCGACTGGTGGGAAGATTTGCTTGCCAATGTACCACTCGACGTCTGGGGAGAGGCCAGAGTCGGCCTTCATAACGTCTTGCGGCGTATACGCTCTCTTTGGGGCAGGGTCGGAGCTTTGAGAATCTCCGGTGATGATGTAAGAGATAACATCGCCGCGACGGATGTTTTTTCCCTTGGCAATCTCCCTCAGGGCTACCTGGACCTGGGGCATCGAGTCTGCATTGGGGTATTCTGTGGGAGCTTTGCCGAGCTGCGTGAAGATGATGTACTTCTGCGCCGGGATTGCCTGCTCACGCATCTTGCCAGAGATCTCTCTGAGATATTCGTGGATACGAGCGATAGACTTTTCGGTCTCGTCGCCGGAAAGTATCTCGTTGAGAATCTTGCTGGAGATCTCCTTGGACAGACCGCAATACTCGCGACGCTTCATGTCAAGACCCTTGACCTCCATTTTCTCAATGAACTTGCCGTCCTTTTCAACCAAGTTGATGGCGGCGTACTTCTTCTTGGCTTGAAGTAGGATTCGACGGAAGACGTTGTCAATGTCGATTTCAAGAAGCCTATACCGCTCGTTGACGGCCTTTTTGAACTCTTGGCCAACCTTGAAGGCATCCGATACGTTCTCGACGTTGGCATTGATCATCACGGAATCTGTGTCTCCGTAGATGACCTGGAGCTGGTTGCTCTCGGCGAGATCCTTGGTGCTGCGTAGAATCTCGCGACCCTTGTAGGTGGTCAAGACGGCAAGGGGACGTGCGTAGAAGCGGGACTTGGTGTATCCCAAGCATCCGTACATGGAGTTGGCTGTAAGTTTCAGAGCCAGTTGCTTGATATCCCAGGTGGCGAGCTGTTCCGGCGTTGCACTCTTGTCCTTCATCAGACCCTTGACTTGTTTCCTTCGGCTGACAAGCGTGGCAATGAGCCTAGGCAGAATACCTTGGTCCTGGTCCTTGGGGACTTCGGGCACGGCATCCTCATCCTGTTCCTGATGTACGGGTTAGCTTCTGATGCTAGAGCCATGGCGACCGGGAAACCTACCATTGCGGATCTGTCCACAGTCGTGAAGCAAATATTGTACTCCTGAATAATGGAGGGGTACAGTGAGTTGAAGTCCATGACTAGGACAAACTTGTCGTATAGACCCTTCTCGGGTTCGAAGACGAGACCACCCTTGTACTTGTCCTTCTTTTTGCCCTCGCCCTCGTCGTCTTGGTTCTCCTCCTGAGCCATTCTGCCCTTGAAAGTCTGCTTGTCAGGGCAAATATACTTGTTACGATGGAACTCGTGGAGCAAAATATACTCGTTCCGTTCCGCACGAGTACCAGTCAGGGTTCTCGCCCAAGAGTTACCGGCCAAATTGGTGAGGACCTTGGTCAAAGGGAGGAGTTGGACCTGTAAGGCCAGCGCGGTAATGAAGTGGGTATCGGTTTCCATGTGGGTTACGTAGTTCATCATGCCCTCCTTGGACTGAGTCGCCCAGGTCTTGAGTGCGGCTTCGTTGTCGATATCTTGCCTACGGTTGTTACCTGGCAGATAAAGACTGCACATTTCAGTCAAGCTCCACGACTGACACTTGTACATGGCAGACTTTCCGGCATCGTTCGCAAGGTCGCAAAGCAGACGGCCGGACATGACCTGTCTCTCGGCGAAGACGTTGCCGCCTACCTTGTTCATAGAAGCCGGCCACTGTGTGCGCTTGAGCCGACCAAGACGAGACCATTGATGAGTCTTCTTCTCGTGCAAGCGGTTAAGCAGAACACTGTAATCGACACCTTCCAGTTGATGCCCAAGAATGACGTCTGGATCTACAACATCAAGTTGGGCAAGGAAGAACATCAGAATCTCGGATTCTTGGCGGAACGTCTTGATGAGTCCTCTTTTCCGTTCCTTTGCCAACGTCTCAAACCCAAGAGGAAACGCTGTTTCGTAAGGTCGGATAAGAGTGAATGTCCGGCAAGGGAGCTTCTCAGCTGGGGTGGTGTCATTCAAAGATGCCTTCTCGTAGATTCGGGCACTGATCGCAAGGATTTCTTGCTTGTTCGCCTTGGCATTGAAGGCCGTACGCAAGGCGAGACTCATCAAGGTCAGGGGCGGTGTGTCAAGGTTGTCGGAGGACTCGTTGAGCGTGGAAACCATGTTGGGGTGCTCAACCAGCACCTCGAGCTTACAGTGCGACGCATTCTTGAGGACACCGAAGTCGGCGTCGGTAATCTTCAGCCAGCAAGGGCCCATTATGTTTTTCCACAGCACAAACTGCTCGAAGAGCGCAGTGTTTGTCCCGAAGACATGCGAAAAAGTCTCGCCTGTGGTCGAACCATCAATGGCAGGCTCTATTTTCATTTAGCATTGCTCCCTAGTTATTCCGTATGATGACTTACTTGTGTATGGGTAGAGACACTTCAAGTACTGGGCTTCTTTGGGAATTCCCGGCAGCTCGAATGCATATTTGCGGGTGCAGGCCTTGATCTTGTACATGCCAACATTCATCTTGGTCATGATTGAGTCCACCTCTGAGTACACGTCCATCAACTCGACTTCCTCACCACTTTCTTCTCCGTCTTGTACCTTTGTCTGGCGAGGAAGGAAAAATAGCTTGCGGAGGATGTTGTCAACCTTGACGAAACAACTGACGTACAGCCCTGTCTTTTTGTTCAAGACTTTGCCGAAAAGGCAGAGACTGCCATTGACCTCAGTGTAGTCGGTCCAAAACATGTTGAGACTACCGTCTTCCTCAATCGCGTCCTTGTAGTCAATCTTGCCAACGGTTCTAGCCTCCGCAGGAGAGCTTGTGACGACGTTGAGCTGGTCTGTGATGCTATTCCAGGCGGACGAGTCGATTGCCACGGTAGCAGGCTTGACCGGGGACGAACTCATAGGGGTCGGGTAGGGATCGGGCTTGACCAACTTCTTCGGTGGCCTTGAGCCCGCAAGGTTGACGCTAGCAGCGGTGACCGCACCGGCGTGAGCAACTTCCATCATGTCCTCATCTTCATCATCGTTGGGATCTTGCTTAACCAGGCCCTTGCGCTGGGCTACCTTGGCAGCAGGAGACGATGGCGCGGGGTCGGTCATAGGAACATCATCCGCTGCGATTGGGGCAGGGCTGTCGTCCCTGTCATCGCCCATGGGTGGGAGATAGCCATCGTCGGCTGCCGAGTCGTCGACAGTGGGGGACGATAGTCTGTCATCCACAGTCTTTGTTCTCTTTGTGACGCGTGGTCTGGTCTCGGGAGCGGGCGAGAGAACGCGGGCTCGTCGTCGTTCCGGGGATCTGTTGCGCTTGGCCGAGCGGGAGATGGGAGCGGGAACGTTAGCGTCGACCTCGCCGAGCAAATCGGCAAGGAATGCGTCGTCCTCTTCTGTTTTGACAACCTGGATACGGTGTCAGCAGCGCCACTTTCACGAAGCTGAGTGCATGTCACGTACCTTTGGCTTTGCTTGGGCCTTGGCAGCACCCTTTGTAAAGTATTCGCTAATGTCTCTGTCATTGGCGTCTCGCTTGGCATCCTCGTCCTCGCGCTGCCTTTTTGCTGCTGAGTGTCAGCAGGTCCTCTGCATCGAGATCGAGGAGACAATGGCTCAGCTTGCTTACATGCTTTGCTTGGCCTGCCTCGGCCCTTCGTTGGCATTTCATCCGCACTATCCGAGTAGTACTGAGGAGCACGATCCCACTCCTCCCGACCATCGTCGGCGTATCCCTCGCCGTTGTCGTCGACTACGAAGTCGTCCTGGTCCAGGCGATCCCGGATAATCTTTTTGTATTGGTTCTCGTCGACCTCCTCGTACAGTTCTTCAACCTCCTCGACTTCGTAGTTGACTCTCTTGCCGGCCGCTCGGAGAGCCCGAAGCTCTGCCAGCTTCGAACGCCTGTCGACCTTAGGCATGATGGGCAGGCGTGATTGAGGATACAGGGTATTATTGAAAAATTTCAGAGGCTCAAAAAGAAGTTCAATTCATGGCATAAGCGAATACCAGTACCGGCAATCTTGAACTGAGAAAATGGACGTCTTTGGTTGTGTTTCGGCTGGAGGGCGGAGTACGATTGTTGTGGGTGAGATACACAGCGGCACGGATTCATATGCACTATAATTTGGCAGATGGCCAGGGGCGGCGCGAGCAAAAACCGCGTCTCGTGTTTGGCGACGCGTCGCTTTGCTGGGTTGCTTAATTAGCTCCATTGACCTTGACTCGATTGGCCCAGCTGTCGTTATGGTGGGGTAGTGGTGGAAGAGGCCCGCCCCGCAACCAACGCCAATGGGCTGCGCGACACGCTAAGCCATACCATTTAGGATTCGTGAGTACCTTGTACCTCAATCGGTTATCGAAGATTGCCGATAAGATAAGGAGCTCTGGCAACTGATCGCAAAATTTCCCGGCGCTGGCCCCAAAGGCGAGCCTTACAAGCTTCGATCGTCCATCATCCTCCAAAGTCAGCTCAGAATGTTGTCTTGCAAAGCGTGTCTTAGACGAGCGCTTCAGCCAATCGCCAGCAAGAGTTCTTTCACCGAAACATCTACCACGATCACCACCCTCCAGCATGGCCTCCCACTGTACCGCCAGCTCCAACAACGATCTCACACTACAGCCGCCGGCACAGCTTTCTTGAAGGAGGCGCGGAAAGGCTCAGAAACCCCCCAAGATGTCGAAGACATTAGCAAGAAAAACAGGAGGCGGAAGTTGGAGTGGGCTGTTGACCAGCACCTCAAGTACATGGACGATCCCTTCAACATCGCTCAGCAAGTTGAGGCGACTCTCAAGAAGGACCGCTTCGACGAGGCCCTCCTCCTTGCTCAGCGCGCTGGCAAAACCAAACAGGTCGTCGTGGCCTGGAACCACCTGATCGAGTACCAGATCCGAGACAAGAAGCGCGTCAATGCCGCCATCAAACTCTATAACGATATGAAGAAACGGGGCCAGCTGCCCAACGACCGTACCTACACCATCCTCCTTACCGGCTGTGCCAAATCGCCCGACCCGAAAGCTGCCGTGCCCAAGGCCGTCGCCCTGTACAACTCGCTTCTCAAAGAAGACTCACGCGTGCGTGCCAACTCATTCCACCTCAACGCCGTGCTTCAGGTCTGCGGCCGCGCGGGCGACGTTGACGCCATGTTTTCCATCGCCGAAACAGCCGATGGCCGCGCCGGCCGCAAGACCACAGCGTACACGTATACGGCCATCATCAACACCCTGCGTGCCGAGGCGGAGAGCCCAGAAAAGCAGAAGGACCGGTCCCTTCAGGAGACCGCCGACGCGACGGCGCAAACAATTAAGCGGTGCAAGGCCATATGGGAGGAGGTCATGCGCAACTGGCGCAAGGGCGCCCTAGATCTCGACGAGGACCTGGTCTGCGCCATGGGCCGTGTGCTTCTCCTCGGCGGTAGGAAAGAGAAGGCTGAGATCATGCCCCTGCTCGAGCAGACCTTGAGTGTTCGCGACATGACCCGCGAAAAGCCGGACAAGGACTATCCACTGCGCATGAACGAAGGTATGAAGGGCATCGCCGCCGGCGCCGCCGGCGCCGCCGACTCCGCGCCTCGGAAACCCGTGCCCTCGACCAAGCCGAGGATCAATTATGCTGTACCGCGGTGCAACACCCTCTCCCTGGTTCTCGAGCTCCTCTGCGAAAACAAGCAGGCCAAGCTGGCCGTGCAGTACTGGGAGCTCTTCGTCTACTACTACGGCCTCGAACCCGACTCGGACAATTGGCACCAGCTCATCCGAATCTACGAGCGGAACGGGTCGAGCCGTGACGCCGCCAAGGCGGTGCTCAAGCTTCCCGACGAGACAATGCTGCCCATGATGTACCGCCGCGCTCTCTCAGCCTGCATCAAAGACAACATGAACCGAGCCGCCTTTGAAAACGCTAACCTCATACTGGATAAGATGACATCCCGCGCCTCCGCCTCCAAGGGGGCCACGTCCCTCGATGTGCGCGCCCTTCACCTGTACCTCAAGGCCGCTATGGTGTCCCACTTTCACTTCCGCAAGATGGCCGAGGGAGGCAAGATTGAGGAGGCGAAGCGCGCGTACGGCGAGCAGCTCGCTGCTGCGGTTAATAAGCTCTGGGCCCCCTTCACCTCCGCCAAGGACGCGGCGATCAAGACAACTACAAAGGTGGGAGGAAAGCCGCCTTCTAAGGCACCGATGAGGCGCGAGGCGGCAATTCAACAACTGGTCGAGCTCGCCCGCAAGATGGTTGGCGCCGTCGACAAGGTCGTCAACGAGAACAGACTCGCCGACGAGGAGGCCGTTGAAAAGCTCAAACAGAAGCGCAATGACCTCAACCGCTTCGTGGTCGAGTTCACCGACCCGAACCAACAGAAGGAGGACGCCGCCTCGGATGATGCGCTCATGGAGCGTGCCGAGGGAAAGATATGGGAGATGTGAGCGACTCACGTCCGTTGTAACAACATGTATAATGATATCGGCGCCATGTACCATCAGATAGAACAGGCTTCGCGCGGCCTTGCCACACTACACAATACCCAAATCTATGATGCCGAATGTTGAAAACATGGTTCTATGCATGCAGCTTTGGATGTGGTCAACAAGTAGTCGTTCACCTGCCTCGGCGGATGGGGAAAAAGTAGCCAGCAGTAGGGGGAGGGCTCTAGAATTCACGATAACCGCAGTTTGTAGAGAGAAGAGGAGAAAAACATGAAAGACAGCTAGTTCCCCTGGTCCGATAATTGTACACACGCTTCCTAAAAGGAGAAAAAGAAAAAAAAAAAGCATGGTTCCCTGGCCTCGACAATCTATTGAGAAACCTAGACGAGTCCTCTCACGAGTCGCCTAGGTATTCAACCCTTCCCAAGTCTTCCCAGGCCTGCCATTGAAAAACGCCTGAAGCAGAAGATCCCTTTGTTTTTGAATGTGCCTCATCTGAGCCCGCCAACCCCTTTCTTCTCTTCACATCCCTCACCTGCGTCCACCACGGTCGAACCCGCGGCCTTTGCGGGTACCGCGACCACCACCGCCGCCGCCACCGCCGCCGCCTGCATTAACGATCCGATCGCTGTACAGAGTGCCGTCATCCTCCGCCATATGCTCAGGGAATCCGTTCGTGCCGTCGATGACGTGACTCGACGCCGGCCAAACGTTCGCAGGGCGCGAACCGTTAGCCGTGACGGGCTCCTTATAGCCGCCGGGCTTGGGGTAGACCTTGATGATCCGTCCGTCGGCCTGCGGTTCCCGAATCGTTAGCATTTCATATTCGATCTCGCGCCCCTTGGGCCAGAGTAAAAGAAAAGACATACCGTCTGGTTGTTGAACATATCAATAACCGCGTCCCCGCCCTCCTTGGTCGCAAACACCATCTCCGCCACAATTAGCGGGCTGGTCTTGATGATCCGACAGCTCAGCATCTCCCCGCCGACGGGCGTCATCGCGCTCTCGATGTCCGCAGCCGTCGTCCCGGGCGCAAAGTTCTGCGCCATGACCGCAAACGGCCCCGCCAATCCACGTATCGAGAGACCCTTTTTCACAGCGGGACCGGTCGGCGCGCTGGAGGTAATCTGCACATCGGCCATTCCGCCTGAACGCTCAATCGCCGCGGCGACCTTGGCAGCCCTTTGCTCCGTGCGCCTGTCACTCCGCCGGTTGTTCGCGGCTGCGCCAGGTACGGGCTTGCCTCCCGGCGCTGAGATGCGCGAAGCGAGACCGCCCGCGCCGCCTTTGCCTCCGTTCACGGTCCCGTGCAGGTCGTGTGTCCAGTCGCCATCGATGTTGCCGGCGGGGAGTGCCTTGGGACCGAGGGAGGCGGTGCGCTGCTGATCGAGGGGGCAGGAAATGTCAGCATTCGTAGCTTGCAAGCAAGCGGCCGGTGGAGGAAAGGGAGCCCTACCTTCTTCACGCCGACTCGGCTTGCGAGCGACGGACCCGCGCCAGGCTTGAGCTTGCTAGGGGCGCTCTGTCGTCTGTCCTTGGAGAATATCTTTTGTGCCAACGCCTCATTCTTCTTCCTCTCTCGTCCTGCAGTTGGCAAAAGAGAACTCCCTTTAGCGACTAGTTCGAAGAGTGATCGCACTTAGGGTCGTAATAGGGAGTGGTTTTACCTTCTTGGATGATTCGCTCAAAGTCAGTCGCGACTTTCGCCATTGTGGGGGCTTCGCTCGTCGGCGATTGCGGTGACTAGATACGGATGGAGATGTCTTGAGATTGAATGTGTCCGTCGACAAAAAACAGGCCGAATGCCAGCGAAACGAGTATGTAAAGTTGCTCGAGGCCGATGCGCTAGCGATAGCAATGTGTTAGGTAGTCGAGGAGGCAATCTAAGGGGTTATTTTGCTCGGTTCGGTAGCAAAGTCGTGCAGTAGAGAAAAGATGCCGAGAAAAGGCAGGCAAGATAGGTTTCGGGGAGTGTGTACAGAGTACTTTGGATACGAATAGACCCTGGTGATCACAAACTTAACTTGAGGCTGACCTGGGTGCTAGGCGCGCGTTGATTTGGAGGTCGTGGAGCGTGTTCAGGGGTCTCCACTCTCAGACGGTAAAGCGGTACGTACCCCATCATAGTCCTAGATCGCACTGCGGGTGTGGCCATAGAATTCGTGATCCCAACTTCGACCTCAATCAGGTCTGATTGTTGCTCTACTCTGTACAACAAACTTTGGGATATTGGGACTGTGTCCCATACTAATCAACTTGCGGTATCCATACTTGATAGTGCATTTCCACCGATAAACCAGCCACCAACCACTACTCATTCTTCCCATCGTCATTGGCCGAGTCGCCGTGCAAAGACGACTTCGGGTCGTCTTGGCCGCTATCAGTACCACGCAGATCCATCTTAAAGGACATTCTTCGAGGCGCCGTAAGAGAACTACCGCGAGGCTGTATCTCAAGCTGCCTAACGAATGTTAGGCTTTTCGCCTTCCTCTTCAAGTTCTTGTTGCCAGCATCAGAAGGTATGTTGGGAATGTTGGTTCTAACAGTGACAGAACCCTCGCTGCCTTTTCCAGCAGTGGCACAATTGATGGTGTCGTTTCTCGCAGCAGCATCACTGGTGGACGCTTCACCCATGCTTTGGGTTTTTGCCTCAGGTACCCATAATATTCTCTTGCCTGAATAGATGTGAACCTGATCTCCATTCAGACTACGGCGTACCTCCAGCTGTCTCCCATTTCGAGGGATTTGAAGGTCGCACGTGCGCTTTGTGGGTGATACATGCAACAGCTGATCCGATCGAGTTCGGCCCAAGCGAGGCTTGGCTATCGAGCCTGATGCCAGTGTATTGCACTTAGACACCGACAGGGCATCAGGGTTGGTAGATGTGTTCCACACCAGCTCATGTCCGGTATGAAGGTCTACCATTCCTGGCAATAGCAGGTGACACGTTCTCTTCCCCTTCGTATCGGTGCGTTCGGCGATGGACGTAAGGGGCGTCTGTACGGCTTGGTCTCTCTGATGCGGGCTCGTAGGTGTCCTAGTTCGCAGATGTTGTGCCGAGGGGTCGATGCTGGATTTCTCCGGGTCGGCTCCAAGATTTACCTGGATGCTAGATGTCAAATCCCCAGAAGGCGGTAAATGTGGCAGCATGGGAGGGGCACTGTCAAGGGCAGTAGGATCTTTTGCCAAGGATTGCGTCGAAAGACTGGAACCCATCGTGTTCCCAAGAGCCTCCGGGGACTTGCTCCCCTTCTTGAGCGTACTGCGAGTTCTGACAGAACCAAATATATTTCCCAAGCTGCGACGTTTGAGTAAGCCTAGACGCTAGAGTCAGTAACACGCGCGAGAGGGGATGAGCTGCGGTCATACCTTTATTCTTGTCATGGTATGACGATGCCACGTTGACATCAGTGGCAGACTTAGAAGGTTGAAGCTTGAGACGATCGGATCGGTTAAGCAGCTTGTCAAACCGTTTATCCCATTTCTCAGCGAAATCGCCCCTTTTCTTGTTGACAGCATTGGGTTCGAGGGCAAGTATCTCATCAAGAGTAATACCTGGTCTGGCCTGTTTGCCAAGCATTTTGGAAAGTGTCTTTCCCCACGAAGCTTTGAGGGCAGAGCGGATGGAGCGGCCATTCGTATTTTCGGAAGAGTTCACAGTGGTGTTAGCACTCGATTGAACCTTGTCATGTTCAGCCGAGCCAACATTGGAGCGGTGTTCGGACAGAGATGCGGACGAGGTCCTGCGAGGGTTAGAACCAGCCTGGCTCTGTTTTGCTGGGGGGTTCTCCATCGCTACTGTCGTGGGATTTTGGTCACCAAAGGTAGAGGTTGTTTCAACCGAAGCGAATGAGTGTATCGGTATATAGGTCCGCGGCGTTGTCTAAAGCTAGTCGGTAAAGCTTGGAAATCCAAAAAGAAGTACAACGTCGTTCTCGCGGCGATAAAGCCAAGATGTGGTGACACTGTATGGGGAAAGGCTTGATGGTCAGGACGAGGGGTCAGAGACATTTAGCTGCCCTGCAAGCCCACGTCAATAGAGAAAGTTTGGTAAAGACTTTGTTAGCAGCTGCCAGATACAGATACATGGGAAAGCTACGATGACACTAAGACGACTCCGTTGGCAACTCGACTCGAGAATGCTCGGCCACTTGGCGAAGCAGAATGCAGGTACGGTATGTAATGTCAACGTAAACAGATGGTCGATGGCAACAACAACCTTGATGATAGGGGAAAGCCATATACCAACCCTTTCCTCCGACTCTTACACAGGTAAGTCCCACCCCTGTTATCTTCGACATTGATTGAGTAGGTAGGCAAGTACATTTGTTGCGGATCGGTAACCTCGTCGTCTCCTATGACATCAGCGTCACGTCCGCACTGGTCAAACAACTTGCAAAGCCGCCCCTGCCATATCCGGGAGCCTTCTGAACATCAGGAAGCCAAAGTAGGTAAGTAGGTAGGTACTTAGGAACGGTGCGTATCAAGGCGTGTCTCGTGTGTGTCGTTGCTGGCCGTCTGTTCCTTCCCCATCTCCCCAACGAAGGCTTCTTTCCATGCCAACCCAGCAATAATCATCGTTCAACCTTTCTCATGCGTTACCCCATCAAAGCTCCAGTCCATGTATATGTCGCGTCATCCTGCTGCAGCCCGGTATGAACTGAACACCGCATTTCCTTAGATGGCCCCATTGCAACCGGTCTATATGGCAGTCTTGACAGGTTCGCTTCTTCGAGGCCACCGGGTATCTTACATTAAACCAATTGCGGTCTGGAAGCTCAGGGCTCTTCCCGCTGTCGTCGCCCTGATTCTGGAATTATCGCAATAATCTCTTGAGGACTGCCCTGATGTCGTCGCCGGGAAGGAGGAGGGGTAGGTTTCAGGCGACGGAGGAGACGCCCACCGACGCGTATGGAACTGAAGAGGTATTGTCTCGAAAAGTTCAGAGACGTGTGGTTAAGCCATCAAAAATCAATGCCAAGGGTTCTGCTGGTTTCCCATGAATCCTTCCTCTAGCGTCCGCTCCTCAAGATTGCGGATGAAGTCCCGGTTACCTCTTCCTCCTTGCTGCGCACGGCTTCCTCGTCTACCTGCTCGTTGAGCCGCGTTTTCCATACCAGCCATGCCGCCGTCCGCAGGAGGGGGATAGTAAGCAGGGCTGGGTTGCAGGCGAATCGGCTGGCTGGGGTCAAGGTGGCTCGCAACGCGCTGGATGGCGGCCGGGATGCCACTTTGCTGCTGCTCCATGGTCGAAGCACGTTGGCGCGCCGGTCGCATGCCTTGCTGGGGGTATAGGCCGGGCTGCTGAGACATATTGCCATAAGGGCCGGGAGGCATTTGCGCTGGCTGTTGCGTCATAACCATCTGGCCATAGGCACCTTGCTGGGCCCCGTAGGGTGGTGGTTGAGCTGCGTGGCTGCTGCTCGGCGTGTACATTTGCTGGTTGTTGTAGATGGGTGGCTGCTGAGGGTGCCCGGGTTGTTGGTATTGAGAGGCCATCTGTGCGTAGGCCCCTTGTGCAGCGGAGTTCGCCTGCGCTTGAGCTGCCTGTGCTCTTTGCTTGCTCAACGCTTCGGCTTGCTGCTGCTGCTGCGTGCCTGGTGCCGGAGACCGGTTGAGGGAGCTGGACTTCAAGTTCATTGGCGGTACAAAGGGTCCAGTAAACTTTTGCTGAGTAATAAACGGGTGCAGCTTGGCCTGCTGCGGCGACCAACGCTCCAAGGGGTTTATGTTCAGCAATCCTCTGACAAAGTCGATGAAGGCGATTCTGTTGTTCATTTCTAACCTCCGAGTTAGTGATTACCACATAAGCGGTTCGCGTGTCACTACGTACCTCTATCGATCTCGCTCTGCTTCATGTTCTTGCGAGGCATGGGATAAGATTTGATGATCTCCGGCAGAGTGTTTGCCTGGAAGTACTTCTTGCTCGGTTGCTCCTTGGTCGAGTGCTCCCGGGCATATTGCTCCATGCTCTTCAACTGGTACGTCCGTCGGCCGAACTCGTCCTGCCTCTTCTCGAAAAACTCGCCGGCTTGCTTACCCATCTCGATCATCCAGTTTGGTGGGTTTCCGAGCATGTCGACAATTCGCGAAACCTGGTTGTACTCGGACGAGCCGGGGAACAGCGGGAGGCCTAGGAACAGCTCGACGACAATGCAGCCGAGCGACCACATGTCGATGGCTGACGAGTAAGGCAGCCCCAACAAGACTTCGGGGGATCGGTAGAACCTCGATTGAATATAGGTGTAGACTGTTTGCCGTTCGTCGCATGCCGAACCGAAGTCGATGATCTTGATTATAGGGCTCTCGAGGTTCTTGAGCAAAATGTTCTCGGGCTTCAGATCGCAATGGATAAGCCGCGCCTTGTTCAAGAGGGCCAGACCATTGAGAAGTTGCTGAGCAAAAACGCGAACGAGAGTCGTGCTTAGACCTCGGAACTGGTTCTGCTTAATCAACTCGTACAGGTTGACACTGAGGAGCTCGAAGACCAGGCACAAATGCTGGCGGTGGATGAAGGTGTCTTTGAGCCGCAAAAGGTGATGATCATCGTTCTTATCGAGCTTTGTGTTGAGCTGAAAAAGCTCGAGTTAGACGTGATGATGTGTGCTGGAGGAACAGGTCAAGCTTACCAAGTCCAAAACCGACACCTCCATCATACTCTGGTTGAAATACGCAGTGCGGTTCTTGATGACCTTGACAGCAACCACTTCTTGCGTCTTTAGGTTCTGACACTTGACAACTTGACCGAAGGTGCCCTGGCCCAAAACGTCGAGAATGAGGTACCGGTTCCTATGTCACAAATCAATACAAGTACGCAAAGGAGGTAACGGAAAAGGGCATCTCCGCGCTTGTCGTGAACGTACTTATGGCCGGCTTCTTCTGAGCCCAGAATATCATTCACGTAAAGGATATAGTCGCTGTCTTCGTTGTCGTATCCATCATTCTTGACGCCCTTGCTTGGCTTGGTCAGAACCCGGCGAGGGTTACGCGACGACTCGTACTTGAAGTTCGGGTTGCATATCCTATAGGTGGCGGGGAGGTGCACTGTCAGAGCTTGGAGGGGCTGAGATAAGTGCGGGTCAGCTTGGGTTATTTCATTTGCAACAGTGGGCATATGCGCTTACGCTGATGAATCCTCCTTCTGGGTTCGCGCGCCGGAAAGGAGGCTGGGCGTTGACTTTGGGACGAAGGTCGGTCGGGGCTCTGCATTGCCTGAATTCGGGAGCAGGCCCTCGGGGCATGTTCTGCGGGATCGGGCGGCGCGGGGATTTGGGATCGGTCGCAAAAGCGCCGTCAATATTGGCAACGACGGCGGACGGGTAGCCGTCGTGAGCAGAGCCGTAGGGCGCAATCGGAGGGAGCTGCGGAGGCTGCTGGCGTCCACCATAGTGAGGACTCTGAGGCATGTAATCGGATTGCCTCGTAGGAGACTGTCGTTGGCCCGGGGGTGAAGCGAACTGGCCTTGCGCAGACTTGGACGTGTAGGGTGAGGTGGGGGACAGAGCCTCCATCGGTGAGTATCGTTGGGCAGCAGCAGATGGCTCCTGGGACGAGTAGAGAGTAGAGGAGCGGCTGCCAGAGGCATGAGACTGATGATGGGGTCTCATGGGGTACTTCATACCAGTGTACGAGTCCGGGACATCGTGCATGGGAATATCGCCGTTGTTATCGCGCATCTGGGGGGTGGACATGGGCGACGTGGCAGCGCTGGCGGCGTGAGAAGAGATGCCGCCCGGGCTCTGGTACTGGTCGTATTTGAAGCCGGCAGGCGGCTGACCTTGCGGAGCCGGTTGGCCATTGTAATCCCCCCGAGGCATCTGGGCGCCACTGCCATTGTATCTCCTCGCAGAGGCGGCCGAGTCGGCATAGCCCTGCTGCCACTGGGAGTCCATGGCAGGTGGGGAGCGATGTTGACTCGGAAAGGAGGACGATGTAGTCGGTCAGGGTCGGTTTGGTTTGGATGGCGGCGGTTTGGGTGGTGGTGGTGGTTGTTGGGAAGGGGGAAAAGGGCTGGCCGAGCGGTTCAGCTGATGTCGTCGGCGGTTTCAACTGGATGCGTTAAGCGGGAGAATGGGGCCAAGCTGGACTGGGCTTGGTAAGGTTGGAGAGTGAGTCGCAGGAGCGCAGACTCGCAGGGAAAGCAAGGCGATGGAGAATGGAGCGAGCGTCAAGTCGCTGAGCGTAGACGGTTGCTCTGTCGTGTCCCGGCCCGGACTGGTCCGTTGGTGTGGTGCTGTGCAATATGGATGGGACTGGGCAGGTTTTGGGAGAGACGGGGATGGGGATGGCCGTATGGGGGGGGGGGGGGGGAGTTGTGTGCAGGTTGACTGGCTCAGGAGGAGGCAGCAGACTCCATATGGAGTGTGAGTGTGGGAACAGTTTGCAGAGTGCAGACTCCAGTCCAGAGGAATGGATGCGCAGTCGAGCGAGCGAGCTCTGAGGGTTGCCAAGGAGAGAGTATTTGGCGGGATTGGGCTGACACGGCCCAAACTCTCTTAGTGGGAGCAAGGTTTGAGGGGTTCTTATTTTCCCCTAGCAATTCATCATGGTAATTGAGGGCGGCAGGCTACAAGTAGTTCAATGCACAACTTGGACGATGGGAGATTTTTTGCTGTTTCTAACGAGCATGTGCATTGGAGGGGAAAGGCGGCGATGACATGAACAACAGAGGGCAAGAGGAGGGACGGTGGTGTTGAAAGGGGGGGTGGCGGCACGCGATGGGGGGAGGAGGGGAGGGGAGTGGGTTTGATGGTGGAGAGGGTTGACGACGTGGATGCGAGCGTCTGCGGGTAATGATGGTTGCTTGCGACATACCTACCTACCTTAGGTAGGCTTGGTCGACTTTGGGCGTCAGCGAGAAAGAACAGTACGGAGACAGAGGGGAGGCGGCGGACGCACGGGCGAGGGCGGGGGGGAGGACTGACGGAGTTGGAGAGGACAGACAAGTGGATCGATCTTCTGGTAGATAGGCAGGTACCTTTGCACCAGATAGACTTCAAGGGGTACTTTGAGAAGCTCTGGGGACAGGAAATTGGTACTTGGTACGTTCGAAATTTCAAAGAAAGGTGGAGAGTCTGGCTTGACAGAACCCAGCGCAGTCAGTATATTGCAGTCGTAGCAGCGGCACAAGATCAGAAATCTTAGAGGAAGAGAGATGGGGGAAGAGGGGGGGGAGAGAGTGTGTGAGAGACAATAAACACATCAAGTAATTTAAAGCAATACCGCATGTAGGAAGGTGATGCGAGGTGCTGTAGTGTAACAATGTCAACGGACGGGAGCAGACATACCTGTACGATGTACGGAGTACTACTAGGTACCAAACATCCCTCCCCGGGGCCCACTCAATTATGCTCTAAAAGAGTCTTTGGTTTTCAGTGCTTTGCGCGGGAGTGAGGCAAACACTCATCTGGCAAGGACTGACTCCAAGACGCAAAGTGACCGATTCCGGCACTGTATCATGTATAGCATTTAACGTCGTCAGAGCAGAGTGGTAGGCAGACTTTTCAAGCTGTCCCGTAGTAGCCCGGAGTCAGTCCGGTATCAAATACTCTGGCAAGACAAGGAAAATGGAGGGGACATGGGCATATTGGAGGCGGGGGCTAGGACTGCTCGCTAAGCAGAAAGCCCGGAAGCCAGCCCAAGGGGAGCTTGAGTCGGCAGGGTACCCAGGCCCAAGTACGTCAGTCATTCGGGGCATTGGGTTTTGGTACGCAAGAAACAGACCGGGCACGCACGCACATCGAGGAGTGGAGAAAAGATCAGGGCAGGAGGGGACGGCAGCTCTCGTTTTCTGCAACACTGCTTCCCACTCGCAACGTAGCCTATCCTCCTTCAACAGCTGAGCCTGAACAAGTCCATTATTCTTTGAAGCTCTCCTTCTTTTATTCTGTTCTGTTTTGTACAAGGGGGCCGATGTGCACGGTGTCAACTGGCTTCGCACAAATCCGTCAGTCTGTGCTGCGCTGACGTGGAGGACATGAGCATGTGTAAAGAGTCTGGAACTCCCCTTGCTTATCTGTGCCTGCCTACATACAAAGTGGTATATAGTCCATAGTGTACCTACCCAGGCCCCGGTACCCGTAATAGTGGTGTAAGATAGCCTCCAATGTGGCTGCGACGGCCTGACGACGACGGACCATCTGCCATCCGAATCTATAAGATGGATCCCTCCAGCGGAGCGGAACACACAAGCTCCTTGGTGCGCTGCGACGCCTCTTGGCCCTCAGCACCGACTGATCGGAGCATGAGAGTGGTGGCCTTGGCTAAACCAAGCCCAGCGTGCCAGGCGTTCCGATTATCCGCTCCCAGCGAGAATTCCAGCCCCTTCAAAAGAAAACCCAAGACCGGATCTGGGATATGTTGATATGTGCTGGGAACCATCCGTCTGTTCATCAAACAAAAGGCGGCTCCCTCACATGTGGGTGGCATAACTCAAAACTCTCATGGTTTGTTTTGGTTGTATCGACGGGCAATGATTCTTCATTGCAGGTGTCATGTTATTTCCGCTCTTGTCGTCCTGCTTCCTGCCGAAAGCAAGGCGCCATGGTAATGATGGGAAGGAAAACTCCACAAGACGCGAGCCCGTCCAATACCACATTGAATCCATGGCGACAGCTGGTTTTTCGGCCCTTGCGAAACCTGCGCCGCAACCCCCTGCCTGGCGCTACAGCGCTAAAAGCGCGCAAGCTGACAAGTACCTACTACCCAAGGTAGCTTCTCGCCGACGGGCACAGCTTCGTTGACGATGGTAGCCGCTCCCGAAGCTTTGCGGCGGCGTACTAAAGGATGAGACCACCACATTCTACACTGCACAACGATGCTTCAGTCTGCGATTCGTGCTGCCAAAGATATACAGTTGATTCGCCTTGTTCCACCCATGGAATGAGAAAACAACGTATCCGTACCGATTCTGGATGCCAACTCGACCTACCTAGGCAGGTAGGCATTAGGGCCCGTCACACCACCTAGTAGGTACGTACTCTGCAACTCTCTTGTAACTGCACTTGGCAGAAGCACGGAGCACATCAATTGGCCGATTGCACCGTACCTCGGTCTCACCATATCGTCGCCAACACCAGCTTCATCTTTCATCCGTCTCAGCTTAACACCGACAACAACAACAAAAACAACAACAACAACACCACCACCATCACACAGGTCATAGCCCGACAAGTATACAAAAAGTACAACTCCCAGAAATACGCACCGACCCGGGGCCGACCGTACATCCGCAAGATGCTCTTTATCGGACTAACAGGCTCCATCGCAACGGGCAAGTCCACCGTTTCTTCAATCCTCTCTAACCCGCCTTACTCCATCCCCCTCATCGACGCCGATGTCCTCGCCAGGAAAGTTGTCGAGCCGGGTACAAAGGGTTATGCTGCCATCGTGAAGCACTTCCTCCCCACCACCCCGGACCTCCTCGTCCCGGTCTCCGACGACATGCCCGAGGCCGGGCCCCATGGCAAGGGACGACCCCTCAACCGGCCTGCTCTCGGAAGGCGTGTCTTCGGCGACACCGAGGACCTCAAGCGTGACCGCGCCGTTCTCAACGGCATCGTCCACCCGGCCGTCCGTGTCGAGATGTACAAGGCCATTTTCCGCGCCTACATCACTGGCCACTGGGCTGTTCTGCTTGACGTCCCCCTGCTGTTTGAGAGCGGGCTCGATCGCCTCTGCGGGACTGTGTTCGTCGTCGCCGTCAAGGACCCTGAGGTGCAGATGCAGCGCCTCATGGCACGCGACCCTCACCTCAGCCGCGAGGATGCTGAGAACCGTGTGCGAAGCCAGACGGACGTGAGGCTCAAGGCGAGAAGATGCGAGGCCCGCGGCCCTGGCAGGGGTGTCGTGCTCTGGAACGACGGCTCCAAGGAGGACCTAAAGAGGGACATCGGTGAGGCCATCCGCCACGTACAGGCGTCGAGTCCCGTTTGGTGGAGCTGGCTGCTCCTTGCATGTCCCCCAGCGGCGGTGGCCGTTGGAGCATGGCACTTCTGGCAGAACATTCGCATCAACAAGGCGTGGGCGGAGCAAGAGAGGATTGAGAAGGCCAAGCTGTAGGCTCATGAGCGTGCGATATCATTCATAAATAGCGGCCCGTCCAACAGGCGGCTCACAGGGGAAAAGTGCATGGTCCCTGACTCCAACCAAACTCGTCACCGAACCTCAAAAGAAGGACTTCGCGTCACGCAGCCGGCTATGATGATCAGCTAATAAGGCCTAGGAAAGGGACTGTCAACACTTCGCCGCTAAGTCGTCGCCAGAATGAAGCCAAGGTAAATGAATGGAGCCAGGGGTTGAAAACGTAATCGGGTCTCAGCACAAGCGACTCTGGACATACCCCGATGCTGAAGGATGACGGTTCGGAACGGCCTTTCCTTTGAATATCACAGCTACTTGGGCGAACATGCGGCATTCATGAACCACTTTCTGACTCCCTCTCAGGCGGGAGGGTACTCTTATGGAAACCAAGGTTCGATACACTTTGCCTGTGTGTGTTGACACATCGAGCGTGATGCTGAATGCCGTCGTAAACCAACTCCAACCAAAACACCTGACCAAGTCCATGTCAAATCTCTAGGCAAGCACGTCGACGCTCGCTCGTTTGCACGGTAGTATTGCGGCTTGTCGGATCGGGTTCAGTAACAACTCTCCACGAGGGCGACAGGGACATCCGAAATGTCTCCAGCCTCGTCCACTCTCACACCAATTCAGGAGGGGATGGGTCTACCCAAGCCATCCAACGCAGCACCTTGCCACCAAGATCACACGGGCGTGGCCCCCCCTCCATGAACAAATTAGCCGTCCGTTCTGTCACTGCGGAATTCCAACGCTCTCAAGTCGTTCCTCCGGAATCTTGCATGCTAGCACAGCGTAGAAGAAGCTTCGAAGCCCGACCGTCTATGGGTGTGTGCTCTGGTCCCTTACCTCCAACGCCATTCTCACATGCTCGAGACCGACAAGTAAAGGCATCGAACGGGAAGCATACCGCTTGATAAGACATGCGAGGCCAGTCTCCAGAGGCGTCCAATCACCGCCCCTAGCTCGTCAACGATATGCAGCCCGGGTCTTCGCCGCCCTTTGTTTGGCCCTCTCCCGTTAACCAGTCGATCCCCACATACATTTCGTATATCCCCCTCGAGAGGGAGGGCAGCCAGTTGTCCCGTGGTTTTTTTATCGGTACCTCATCAGCCACTATCGTTTCCTTGTCCGTATCCAATGGATCGATACTCCTCCCCCAAACATTCAGCCAGGTCACACATGCACATCAAAGTCAGCTCCATCGACATAGGCTGTTGGGAGAGGGGGGAAGTCTTGGCTGTCTTGCAGTCTCTAAGATTTCTTTTCCTTTTCACGTCGTCGAAGCTTTGGGGGCTGACTTGCCCAAGCAACCAAAATATACCCATCTCCTCTTGTCTCTTTCCCCACCCGCTCCACCACCTCCTTCTTGTCTCTTCGTTCAAGTCATATTTCGTCAAAAATCCGTTGTCTGGTCATGTCTAATGGTGACCCGGGTGCTCGGAAGACCACACGGATGGGAAGAAAAAAAAGTCGTGTCCAAAATAGTGTAAGAGTAGCAGAGAAGAAAAGAAATAGGTCATAACTCATTATCCAACAGATCCGTCATGCTGAAGAGGTATCCATGATAGAACAAAGCAGCAAACTTTTTGTTTTGGCAACGGAACGGCATATCAAAAGTCTGCCTCTGCCCACGACAGGTTGAGAGAAATGACTGCATAAGGAAAATGTTCGTGACTTGTGGGAATCACTAGGCCGTAGAAGAAAGATACGAAGAAGACAAGAGAGAAACGTCTTGGGAAAATGCACATGATGTTCCCTCCACATCGCATTCCCAGTGCTCACACAAGAGAAACCGACATGTGTCCCACATCGCAGATGAAAGGAGAGATTTGAGATAGAGAGACAGACGCCTTGACAGGAAAATGATTTTTTGGGGAAACATGGGAGATGTGTTGGTCATGCCATTTTGCCATCAGAAACATCGGGAAAACTCCACAAAAGCACCCCTAGGACCTTGCAACGCTGTGTGGGTGCTCTCGCACATGGGTACGCTCTTCTCGAGCGGAATGCAACGCTGCACACTCTGGCTCACTGCCAGAGATATGTCATCGGATCAGCCCTGGTATCCAGCGAAGCCGTTGTTGAAGTTCTGTCCCTGGGGACCCTGAGGCCATTGGGCGTTGGGTGGCTGTTGACCACGACCATAGCCTCCTGCGCTCTGCGGTCCGCCGTATCCCATGGGCTGCGCTCCATAACCGGCAGGGGATTGAGCAGCTGGGCCGCCGTAGTTGCCGGGCTGGCCACCGTATTGGCCTGTGCAAAATCGCGTTAGTTCGAAGGGGTGTTTTGCAACAAGTCAGTGTTGGAATTTGGGATCGTGCTCTTACCACCATATTGCGGGAAGTAGGCCGTCGGGGTGCCGGGGTAGCCCGGTCCGGAGGCGCTCTGGGGGCTGTACGCCTGTTGCGAAGGATCAAAGCCGGCCGCGCCGCCTTGAGGGTTCGGGGTCTTGTCCTTGCCCCACTTCACGCAGAAAAAGTCAGTGCTGTGCTCCAAAATCAAAGGAACCCCCCTCTCTGACTAAACTTACGCTGCACTTCAGTGGACGCCCATTAACATTATATCCGTTCATCTGGCAGATAGCCATGGCCGCGCTCTCGTGGCTGTCCATCTTGATGAAAGCAAATCCCCGGTCTGCTTGGAAACGAGATTCGACAACATAACCAAAGTTTTGGAAAAGGGGAACCACGTCGTTTGGCGTGGTATAGGGAGTCAAGTTGCCAACGTAGCAGGTCGTCTGCCATGAGGGCGTTTGAGCAAGAACAACTTCGTAGCTGGCAACGCCGTGAGCCGGGAACTGGTGATGGCCGAAGGGCGTCGTAGGCGTCAGGCCCATAGCCTGCATGGCCTGCTGCTGCGCAATAGACGGCTGGCCCTTCTGGTTTGCCCAGTTGCAGCGGATGGCCCGCGAGCCAAGCCACTCTCCGTCCATGGAGCTCAGGGCCTTCTCGGCGTCCGGGCGGTCTCTGAACGCAACAAAGCCGTATCCGCGGGACCGACCCGTCTTCATGTCCCACATAACACGGGCTTCCGACACGGAGCCAAAGGCGGAGAAGGCTTGGGTGAGGATCTCGTCGTTCACTTCATTACTGAGATCGCCAACAAAGATGTGGAAGTGGTTTGAGGTGTCCTCCTTGCTCGAGGTGTTGGACTGGTATGCCCAGTTGACACGGATTTCCTGGCAAACAGTCAGCTTCAGGGTCGCAATGGCGGGGCGATGCTCTGCCGTACAGATTGGTGCACACGTCTGCCGTTCAAGGTCTGCATGGCGCGCTCAGCCGCACCGGGGTCATCATATTCGACGAAGCCATAGTTGTAGCCCTTAGCCTGTCGATACATGGTCAGCTATATCGCGAATGATACCGGGGGCAGAGAGGTTGCGATGGTTTGGGTGCCGGCTTTTGCCTTGACCGCCAACTGCATCCTTTGGGCCATGGAGAACGGTACTCTCAGGGACGCACATTCTTATCCGGGATGATCTTGACATTCTGAACGTGGCCAGTGGTCTCGAAAATCTGGCGCAGGACGTCCTCGGTGACGCGCTGGTCCAAGCCTCCAACGTACAGCGCACGCTTGTTAGGCTCAGGGGCGGCGCGGCGGCCGAAGCCTCCAGCGCTACCGGGCGACATGACCTTGTCGACGCCAGACATGGGCGAGGTAATAGCAGTCGGGATCGGGTTGGTATTCTGTGGGATATGGAGAGGAGGCGGCGGCATGTGCGCCGGGTTCGCCTGGCCATTCTGACCATTCTCGTAGCCTGGAGCTCCAGCATTCGGCTGGGGAGGGGGCGGCAGCTGCGCCGCATTCGAAGCAGGTCCGTTGTCCGCCATTGTGACTTTTGGTCGATATAAGAGGACGGTCGTGCGACAAAGGTGGATCTCGAAGCTTGAAAAGTTCGGCGTCGTGTACTGGATACCAATAGCGATATTAGAGGGGGGACCAGGCTAGCTTGAGCAAGATAGCTCTAGTCTTGGTCCTGCGAGTGTCCGAAGTGTGCAGCGGTGCGAGTTTGAACGACGAAGCTCGGTGAGCAATGGTCTGGCAGAAGCTAAGTAGCGGAGGAAGGAGGGGCAGAAGCAGTCTTGTTGAAGAAGAGATGCCCCGAGGCTGACGTGACCCTCAACCACTTCGTAGGCAGCAAGCAAACAAGCAAGCAAGCGTCAAAGAGACTAAAGGAGTGGGAGCGAGGAGAAGAAAGGAAAGGGAAAGGGAAAAATAGAGGAGGAAAAAAGGTGACGCGGCACGATGGGAAATTCCTCGTCGAAGCTGGTGTGGTGGACTCGTCTCGACCGAAGGATACCAAGATGTCGAGTCTTGTCTGGTTTGCGATCTGTTCGGAATGGAACGATGTGACTTGACCTTGGACTTGACGTGAAAGAGGGAGACACCGAAAGTCGACAGGAAAAAATGTGGACGTGGGGACGGTACAAGCAGCTAAAAAGCACGTCGACCCAGCGTGACAAGAGAGACGCTTAAGCGGATTGTAGAGACAAGGGGAAGGGCGAATGATAAGAGAGATGCCGAGAGGAAGCTCTAAAGTACCGTCTACTGTGCGGTGCGTGCTGTGCTGTGCTGTACTGTGCTGTGCTGGAGCAGTGTAGATGAGATGACAGGCGCAATAAGAGGAGACGGGAGCTGGAGACGGATGCAGGCGTTGGAAATGATAAGCGGAAGCGAGTACCAAGGAAACAGGCGGGAAAAAGAGGACTGGAACCCCCTGAGAGGAAAAAAAAAAAAGGAATCGCAACAAAACCAGGTCCGGGGAGGAAAGGAGAGAGGAGAGGACGGTTTCCTGACAACTGAGGGAGGAGGAGAACCTGCGATGGGGGTGAGGAGGGGCGGGGAGCAGATGGAAAGAGGGAGAAGGAGGATGGATGAGGGGACATTCATCACGGCATGGCATGGCAAGGCATGGGGAGTTGGCGACGGTGGTGCGAGCCTGAAATTCCTACAGCGCAGCGCACCTGCACTGCAGCTGCAGCTGCACCTGCACCTGCAGCACAAATCAGTCCAATCTAATCCAAAAGCTGAAGCTTCCCGGCCAAGGTACCCTGCCATCTTGCCTCCAAGTATCCGTACATACTGCGCACCTTTGTACCGTCTCGCCGAGCCGCGCCGCTAAAAAATACAAGCCGTTCGTTCGCCAGGCTTACCTCGCCAGCAAAGCAGCAAGGGCAGCCTGTTCGGTGCCCACAGCCGGCCCGGGGCCTTGAGATTGGTCCGCTGGAAGCTCAGTCCTCCTCACAGTCAGGCTCTTGCTTGTCCAGCCGCGCCTCTTCACTGGGTACAGCTGTCCATCACTTCCAGTCGACCAAGGGTAGCGCTACAAGAAAAACGGGCGGCTGTAGCTGATCCCCCGGCAGGAGGGGCACTCCCTCCCCCTTCTCCCCCCTTCTTCGTTTGCTCCCTCTCCCTCTTGCCAGTGGTACTGAGTACTGTGCACATACAAGTCCCAATCATCAGCGCCTAGGCCATCTGTCAAGGACACCTCTCCCGAGGAGGAGCTTCCCGGCTGCGTCAAGGCTTTGGTGGCGTGAGAGGAGAGATGGGATGGCAGCAGGAAAAGGGGTGTTGCTGCAGCACACAAAATGTGCTACCGAATGGATGGGCGCTAATCTTGCTTGGGCAAAGGGCGAAAGCGTGACTAGCACAAGCACAGACAGATGACCGCTGACAACGTGGAGCTTTTCGCGGATTGCACCATGGAAAAAAGGCGATGGGTGAATTAGTTAGATTGAGTCCGGCCAGGTCGGGGGGACGCCGGGCTACTTTCATCAGTACCGTCGCCGAGGCTTCCTAGGGTCGTTGAGCGTCATATCAGAAAGCACTTATGCCTGCATTGAATCCCATACTATCCGTCGGGCCTGGATTACACATACGTAGTACGGTGGGTCGCAAATTCGTCGCAGGAAAACAAGGGCGGCGGCTGCTGACGAGATGAGCTCATCACGAGGTTTAAAATGCACGCTCAAACAATCAAGGCTCGACCCAATGGGTCTCCCTGCCTCGGTGCGGGACAATGGCAGCAAACGCAAAGCTTTATGGAGGTATCCCAAGGCTCATGCAGGAATCAATCATACTTAACCCCTATCGGCGTAGAACCGATGGCCGTACAAAGACGCCCTCAATTAATCGACGGACCAGAATCTTGGAAGCGCAAGGTTACCTACCTACTCGACTGCCACTATTGTGCAGTGCCCGGGTATCGCGACAGCACGCCCCCTCAGCCTGTTGCACTCAATCAATCGGTAGCAGAGTATAGTAACCTAACTCGGAACTCGTACCGACCCCAAAAGGCAACGTGATTGATCGCTACGGAATTGGCATCCAGTCCCATGTCACCGGGCTTGACATTTGCCCTTTCGGTCATCTCGCGGTCACTGTTTGTTTTCCCCTTCTTACCAGGCCACTTAGCTTGAAGTGACCCCCGGCATGCATAACAAGCCCCCTCCAAGACGACTGGAGATGCAAGCATTGGGCACCAGCCGGTTGGATTACGATACCCTCAGTTGCAGGACAGCCAATTTCCCGGGAAGAGAACTCCCAGCATACGGATGGGACGAACGCTTTTCCAAGCCTCAACCCGCTGATGCCGGGTTAGGGTTACCCATACCTCCCGCAGTGGGCTTGGCCCTTGTCTTCCGTTTTCGCAACAACGGTTTTCCGCGAAGTCGAGGGAAGTGTATTCTTAATCCGGAATAGCCCCATAGACTAACTTTTGAATAATCGCTGGCGCAAGACAGCATGTCTCCTTACGTCAATTGGGGGTCCAGTGTCGTCCGTGTGGAAGACGGATGCAAAGCACTAGCTGAAGGGTTTTATCGGGCTGATGCTGGCTGTGTTGAACCAACTTTTACTGTGTAATGCACAGCTGGATTTCCAAGTCAGCCAAAAACGCCCTCCTCAATTACCTTCGTCCCAAGAATTCCACGTTGTAGTGATCTGATGCATGGGAGGAAAGATGGAGCTACAACAGAAAGCGAACCAGTAACAGAGAAGGGGAAAACCCGCCCTACCATTGCCGCGTGCTGGCACCTGTTGCTCGTCTTCCATTCACGCCCATACCGTGTGCTGAGTGCGGGGTTGCTTGCGTATGGGGGGGACGTGTGTCACAGTGCGTCCTGTTTGGCGCCAGAAGCTGTGATTTTGAAGGTGGCGGGAACTGAATGTGGCAGAACACACTTCCATTGGTTGAGCCTGAGGTTGCAGCCTCTTGGCCTCCGCACAGCACTCAAAGCCTCTTTTCTGGTCGCTCAAGGTACGTACTTCCTTGCTTGCTTGGTCGGACTTGGATGCTGGGCTGCTGCTTCAGACGACCACGACCTCAAACACCATCTTTTGCAGTTGATGGAATCGTTGTTATTGTGCCATTGAGACAATCGGTTAATCCGTCATTTGCACCAAGCCAGATTCACATCCGGCTTGTACTTCTCGGGATGAATAGAAGTTACTAGCCAGGCTCTCATTCACCGCTCACACAGCCTGCAACTTGCACTTCACTGTCTTTCTACTCTTTCACACCCTACAAGCCGGCTGTACTGCCCCTGTGCATCGGTTAACCTATTCACATCTCGGCAGCAGCCTATCCCTTGATACTGGTCTTCAATTGACACTGTATTTGCATACTGCAATCGCCCAGTCCTCATCTACAGCCCTCAACCACACTGCCACAGGCCTCCTTCCGCGGCCATGGCAAACTCGAAGCCGGCTGACGCCGACTCTGCAGACGCCCTACATGGGATCATTAACGATGTGGTTTGTGTGCCCGCGCCAAACCAGAACCAATAAATCCATGTCTGACTTATACTCGCAGCTCATCCAAACAGGCAAGGCACTGAGGTCGCGCAGTAAGGAGGGCAGATCTCAGATGCAGGCTCAGATCTCGCTACAAACCAAGATTCCGGAGCTCATCGACACATTTCACTGGAAGCTGGATGATCTCGAGAGCGAGATAGTGAGTTGCTCTATTGTGGGCTAACTCTGTTGTGACATTAGGACTGACACCGGCGGCAGATGAGAGCAAAGGCGGCGTTGCAGAGAGACCTGGACCGGTTCCGGCAACAACGACAGCCCGTGGACCAGCCTGCGCCGATAGAGGCGCAGACTAAATCTCCCATCGCCATCGACCTCGACTCCTCGTCTCGGGAAATGTCCCCCGAAAGCAAGGTCGAGGTCACGGAGGCTATGGGCCCGCACCGGGTCCCCGCTGAACCGAGTGCAGCTCCATCGATGGCCCCGTTCCCCGACATGGGCGTCAGCTTTCAGCCACAGCCGGAGCCCGCACAACCGGTGAAGCAGGAGACAACCTCGGCGCCGCCGGCTATGATGGCGCCCATGGGCGAAGTCAAGTCGGAGTCGAAGCCCACCCCGCCGGCCTCACAACCTCAACCCTCGGGCGCCCCAGAGGCGCCGATGGACGACTTGTTCGGCCTTGATAGCGGTGCCGGTGACGGCACCGACGCGGGTGGCGGCAACGAAACGAACAACTCCGGTTTCCACTTCACCGACATGACCTTCAGCCTAGCGCCCGCCAATAACGACTCGCAGCCGCAACCTCGGGCGCAAGAAGCGCCAATGGACATATCGTTCGGCTCGGGCGAGATGGGCGGCGACCTCCTGTCTCTCGACAACCTACTCCCTCCGGATAGCAACACCACAAAGCAGGAACCGGGGGCCGGAGTTGGAGCTGCATCTGCGCCTCCCGCGGCCGCTGCCGCTACCGCAACCGCCGGTGCCGCGGCGCCCCCGGCAGCAGCCGACCAGCAGAAGCCGGTTGAGGCCAAGATGGAGCGTCAGGACTCTAGCCTGGACGACTTGTTCGCTCTCGACGGCAGCACGGGCATGGATGACATGGAACTCGATATGAACTTGGGCGGTGAAGGTGGGGGTGGCAACAACTTTGATGACATGATGTTCTTCGACGACACGGAAATGGAGCACGGCAAGTTCGACGAGGACTTCTTTCAGATCCCGTAGGCTAGGAGGGGGGGATAGGGCGAATCGGGCTCACCGTGCAGCCCACGGGCTTTGGCATTTACGTGCCGGGATCAGCATACCCGGTCATTTTTTGGGCGTCTAGATGGTGAGACGGGGACAAAGTTTCCGTCTTTTTGGGTATGGTCTGGAGGCTTTTGGCGATAATATCGGCTCTCTCGGTTCAGTATACCTTCGAATAAATCAATTTAACTACTCATATAATAAGCCATCGAAAGTCCGTGTTGGCTCGTTCGAGAACACATCCAAGTAGATGCGATGTTTTTCTGCTATTGTTTGCCGATTCAAAGCTGTCGTTCTGATGTACGTCCTGCTTGCCTCTGGCTATATATTCCTGCTAGGAAATGCGGTCACTCTATCGAATGGCCCAGAACCAGTCAACATGGTCTAACCGGTTTTTGTCAGCTCGCATATGTTTTGCGTTGTGCACGGGGAACCGAGGCGATGATATCGCCATGTTCAAACCCGAGCGCAACCCCCCCCCCCTCCATAGTCTAAAGAAACGCAGTATCACAGCGGCAAAACCAACTGTCCGCCCACAGTGTCAATGGTTTTCATTCCATTTTGCTTCGACTTTGTGGTTCAGAGAAGTGCTTGACTTGCTCGGCAAGTCGACACGGAGGCGCTCCATTACCGTCTGGGCGTGATCTCTCAATCTACCACTATTTCCCAAATTCTGGTTCTTCCCTCCTCCAGCGATCAATGAAGTACCATATTTCTATCCATAACAGGTTTACGTAAAGGCGCATGTGATATATATGTCGCAATATGTTTCCTGAGAAGTCGATGCGCGTGGCACAACTTTTGCCTGTATCATGCCGAGTGCATGTAGCACTTATACTTGCGATACCTCTTGTGCAAAACCTGACAGTCATGACATGACGGACGGTCTTAAAATGCGACTGAGAAAACCACGCGCATTTTCAGTGTTAGAGCCGCAAGGATAAATGTCAGCATTGGTATTGCTATCAACTGTCGTCATGGTCACCACCTGTAGTAGGTAATGGTTTTGTGGTATCTAGGCAACTCGTCTACGTGGTTGACTCTCGCGCGGCCCACTCCTCAAGCTTCCTCGATTTTATTCTCGTCCTCAGGAACCTCAATATATATACTTCGGGTTCTGGGCAACTTCCGGTAGAACTCCATTTGAAGACGTCTGTCTTGCTCTCAACTTTCGACTTCGGGCTCCTCTGCACACAATGCCAGATCGATCAGACTGGCCAATGCGATCATCCCCGTACACGTCGAGGTTTGAGCGCGTTAATGCTTCCTGTAACTGGCTACCTGTGGCAGGTTTGTCCATGGCGTAGTTCGGATTGCAGTGTGTACCAAGCTGGAATATGTATGTATTGAGTCTTTGGACCTTCTCAACCAGGATGGCGTTTGTGTCAACGTATCCATGCTCCCCGCAAAATTTGAGGTTTCCATGATCAGCAGAAGCGCCCAAGCCACTGATCATAGCCCTCTCTTCTGAGCCTGCAGATAATGACATTTGGAAGTGTAGAACACTTGCGTTGCGCAGTCTTCTCCAATCATTGCCGTCAGAGCTGATGTTAAAGTATCTGATTGGGTCTGGTAACAATTTTCCTGGGAGATTTTCAGAGTAAAGTAAACGATTCAGGAGCGGCCAGCTGAAGTGAATGATGATGCTCAGAGACTGAAAGGAGGTACAGTGGGTAAGAAGCGTCGCGGCTGACTGAAATAAGTTGGGGGATCTGTAACCGTCCCAATTGTGTGCCGAGTACTCAATCTTGCGAATCATGGCGCGACGGGCCGGAGATAACGCTGCTAGGAAAGTGATCAAACTTGAACAGCACTCAAACCCGAATGTGTTTTCCTGCACAGTCATCAGCAAAAGCCCACCCTCGTAACTTGCGCGAGGGGGGGGACACTTATACCCGGTAAAAGTCGGGGCGACTTAGTAGCTCCTCGTAGAACCCCCGGCAGGTCAGAAGCAGGCTGGTGAAAGCCTTCGTGGCGGTTTTGCTTCCATGGAACTTGTTCGCCCGTGCTTCAACCTGGACAGGCCAAATTTGACCCTCCTCTATAACGGCCAAGGCGTAAATCATCTGGCGTACCTATATCATATGGAAGCGTTAGTCCCCATAACCTCCCGGAGCCTTGTTTTTCGACATGTACCTCAATCGGAAGACGGTGGAAATAGTCCTCTCCCGGAACTTTCTGTGTCAACTGGAGTAGCATCGTCGTCTCCTTTTCTGTCCCATGTTCAGCATCGTCCCCAGCGTCCCCTCCGGCATCATCACTGGCATCATCAATTATCTCTGTTGTGTTCTTGCCCTTGACTTTAGTGGTCGCGATCTTCTTAGCCTTGACCTTCTTGCGTCTTGACGCCATCTTGTACGTAACGTTTTGTGCGTACTTGTCTTGAGTAGTATCAGAGGAAACAAGTGGGTGTGTGGTGGAGGAGGATGCCCACCACCATGCAGAGGAAGGTCATGGGACTCAGTGGTGTTTTGTGTGAATGCGGGGTTGCAGTGGTCTGGCGAAGAGCGAGATTTAGGAGTTGAAGAAGGTACTTTTTAAATTTCGTAGGCAAGAGCCAGGTCTTCCTGTGGTGTGAGAAGCTAGAAATCGGCGGAAGGTGCACCCCGGATAGGCAAGAAGGCAATAGAGAGGAAGGAAGGCAATAGATATGAAAGGCGAAGATTGGTTGAGTCGGGAGGGTCATTAACTCGATACTAAAGACAACAAAGGGCAGGAAGGTGGGTGATTGCCTGCCCTTTCGAGTTCACTTGATGCATCAGTCCTGGCACAACTACATGATGGATTGCCACGCAATCTCAAGCCGATAGTATTGCATGGGAGATCATCGAATTCAGGGCCACTCTACCAGCTTGCACAGTTCCTCTGACTTACGCCAACTGATGTTGATAATATTTGGTTTACGAGACACGTCATGTTTGTTTCTGCTTGTTAGCCATCGCCCTAGAGTCGTTCATATGTGTTTCCATGTACTCTGCATTCTGAATGACATAGTGCTAGAAAGGCATCTGCCATACTCTTATATTCTCGTGGCAATCGCTTACTTGTAATCATGCACTGACACTTGTGGACTTGTAAGAACGGTTTCATGGATTCTTCATTCGACATGGCTGTCTAGCATACTTACATAACCCAATTTGGTATCTGTATCATATCATAATGTTATGCCGCGAAGGATGCCTGATGTATGCCCAATGCCGCCATGTAAATGCAAACATGTGTGACCCGACTACCATCACACTCCGATGACGAGGGAGATCCCGTAGGAAAAGCGTGCCCTGGTCGGCTGCCATCTCCACCTCGCCTGGCTGTCACTCCGAGACCTGCCGCGTTTGCCCCGAGTGCCCGTAGCTGAGCTAGTCCCCGGCATCAGAAGATCCTGCAGTCTGAGAGGGACCTGAGCGGCCGTCAACAAGGGCACCCCCTAAGAGTCTCTGCATCTTAGCCCGTCTGTTTCCATTGTCTAATAACAAGCAAACCGGGAACAGCAGCACCTCCCGCACTGATACCCCTCAAGTGGGATGTACGGAGAGGCGTTGGAAATGATGCGGACAAGCTCCAAACGGGACAAAATAACGGGGAAAAGCTCTGGCGCGGAGCACTCACCAACTGCTAGACTCCCACTCCAAGATCCAGCCGCAGCAAATCTTGAGTCTCTCTCGGACGCTTCTTGTTTCGAGCAGCTTGTACTTCTCGTACTCCTTAGCGGGCAGAATGCTGGCAAACCACCACGGGAAGAGCGCCGGATCGTTAGGACACTCTCCATATATCGTCAACATTCGTTGTGCCAGCCAGGGCACGCTTTGTTGTCGCATCCTTTCGACGAACGACACACCAAAGGACAGGAGTTCACTCGTCGGCATTTTTGCGAGGTCTTCGGAGGTCGTCATGGGTGGTCCTGACGTTGTCGAATCCTCGCTCTGGTGTGTGGCGGCACTATCGAACCTCTCTAGAGCATGTTGTGTTTCGTTTGCCTCGAGGTCTTCCTCCTCCGCGATGGAAATGTCATCAAGTCGTTCGATTTTGCCCACCAGATACCCATCCAGTATTCCATGTCTCGTAATTCTGAAACGGGAGACGCCAATCGTCTCGATGAGACTTCTGCCATCCGCAAAGTATTCGGCGTTAACAATACGTAACAACGTTCCGTATTCCACGAAATGTGTGTCGTTGGCGGTCCTCGGCCGCTGTGGCAGCACCATGCCGAATGTTCTGTCGCCTTCCAAGGCGCGGCGAATCATCAACCGATAGCGTGGCTCAAATACGTGAAGAAATGTTGGCATCATAGGAAACGACAAGGTGCAGACAAAGATGGGAATATCAAACTCGCGATGTCTGTTGAGTGCCTCGGCAGCCAAAGCATCTCCTCTTGTGAGGACGGCATCGGCCCAAAATGTCTCAATGATGGTCTTGAGATATTCATTCGAAGGGCAGGATTCCCGGTAAAGCAGAGGGCTGACCGACAAGCCCCGTCGGCAAATAGGACAGTATGATGAGTGATCCAAGACTCGATGAAGGCAAGAGCGACAGAACGTATGGCCGCACACGGTGGTTAAGGGATCATAGAACAAGGCGTAGCAGACCTGGCAGTCCATTTCTGTCCGTACCGACTCTTTGACTTTGAGAAAAGTCTTGTTATCGATGGCGGCGGCTTCATCTCCGAAAGAAGATACCTCCGCAAATGAGACGTTGGAGTCGTAGCCCAACTCACCCGAATCCGCCAGCGTGTAAACGGCGACCAGCGGACCCCCCTTGACAACTCTGGACGTCGTCTCGTCCTCAAAGTTGATGCCCGCCTGCTCATTGCTTGGGCGTTGTATAATGACATGCGTGGAGATCTCGGCCGTCGTTACGGTCTCTCTCGCCTTTTCCATCTCGTCCTTGAAATTGTTGACTGCCTTGGTGAGAATGACATCGACGCCACAGTCACCTACAGCATGATTTCGACCGCATTCCTGGTAGGGACACTCGAAGCCCTGTAACCTATTTGGCGTGGCGGGATAGGATATGTATTCTCGAGCGTGGGTCTCAGGGAGACATTGTTTGCAGAGGCTTCGGCCGCATGGCAGCGTAACGGGCTCTTGGAGGGGACGGTTGCATTTCCGACATTGAATCAGGCGGACGACGTCCCGTACTTGGTCGCCCAACAACGGGCGTTCGGCAGTACCATGGTCCCTTTCGTCCTCGGCTTCGTGCGCCGGGTTGGACGTCAAGGCCGATGGTCTGCTCTCGACGACCCGCGGTTGGTCGGAGGACATGAAGTCACCTCCAGCTTCGGTGCTGGCGCGGGTAGCGGGTTTTGGTAGGTTTACTCGGGTCGGCTTGTATCCTCGTCACTTGGGCTTTAGGAGGGTGGAGCTTCCTTCTTCTTGTTTGTACGCGTGGTGGATATTGTTGGAAGGTTCGGGTATCTATGTGAGTCGTTGCCAAGGTTGAGGAGTGCACGACGATGAATATTTTCGAGGGGCCGCTGAGATGTATGTATGGTCCAACAAGGAAGGAGGGACGGGGGAATAGCGACCAGGGGTCATATATGCGGGATCACCAGAGCTGCAGAGGTTCCAGAAGCGAGCGGATCTCATGATGCGCCTGGACGAGATCAAAAGCGGACAGGTGAAGGAACGCAGGCAGAGCTAGTAGACCGAGGGCCGGAGCTAGAAGCTGGAGAAATAGCAGGACGGGTGTACCAGGCGAGTGCCCGTCGCATAGGAAGGGTACCTTTGGGGTGGGAGGGTATCGATGGAGGAGAGCCGCTGGCAGGCGTCATACATTTAACGTCCTGTTACCAATCCGCTGGGCATTTGGGCGGGTTAGGAGGGGCGCTTCGGGGATGGTGTGGCCGTGCAATGAGGTCAATGAAATCAAGGGGAAAAAAGAGAAAGAGCAGGCGGCGACTGCGCAGGACACGGGGAAACACACCAGCAAGCAACAGTTAAGACACTGGGGGACGGGAAAGCAGCAAGAGAGCCGCCCCCGGACAGCGCCAGGCCCGGCGGACCATGTCGATATTCCCAAGGTTGTGTCAAGTACCGGTACTTCCGACACCAGGAGTCGCGGCAGGCGACGACGCATGGGCAGACTTTCCCAGGTGCCCTGGACGGGGCCCCTTGCGTCTAGGCGAAAATAGGCTTAGCGGCCTGTTGTCAGTAGCCTGATCCTAGCCTTGTGACGACACCGTGGAGGGGAAGAACAACTGAACAAGAGGTACGAAGGGATCAATTTGGGTACGTACAAACCAGCTGGACTAACAAGGCGATGGTTTGTAAAAAGTTTACTCTTCCTAGCGGTGAATTTAGCAGACCTTCGTGACTTGTTAAGAGTAAGTGCTGCTTGTTATGTGGTTTCCAGTGTAGTCGCTGGGAACCCTCCGTATTTTGTGGAGCAGGCTTCGCGTTTCTCGACACGGGGACACCACTTCCACGCATGCCTTTACGCAAGTAGGACGGCAACTGCACTTGTTCGGTTTTGCCAATGTCTAAATGAAACCCAGTTCAATTGAACACGTCCCTTTTGTCCCGAGCAAGCGCTTACTGTACCAACTCGCTGCTAAGTGGGTTCTGCGTTGGGCTGCCTGTCGCAAAGTACTGATCAGTGGTATAACGTATGACGCAATCGGACGTCCAGCGGCCCCCTCATTTGACTTCGCTGCAGGCTCGTGGAGATGCACTCAATAAGGCGGCGCTTACCTCAGCAGCGCCTGAGAGCTATGGGCCACGTGATGTGCGGGAAACGGTCCGTCTCCGTGGTTTTGGTACTACAAGCCAGGAGGGGGGGCATTGCCTTATTCCCTCTTGTAGGTTAACTACTGCAACTGGTTTGTCTCCTTCTTTCTTTCCTCAGTTGTTGCGCAACAAGGGTTCGATAAATGCAAGGGGATCTATATCCTAACCAACAAATCTCTGACGGACCGCCGGGCTGTCCATTACGCGGTATTGTGGCCTGGCCGTAGCTAGATCTCGATGCGAGCGAGCCCCAGGACCCTGACATCAGCACCTCAACATGCTTCATCTGTGCCGACAAGTACCGCGACATTGGGTGTACCGCTCGGCGGCGCTCGGCGGACGCCTCTCCTGTTCCATCAGGGAGCAGCAGGAGGCAGCAATATGGCCGAGGCCCGTATTCCCACACAATCCTGCCTTCTCCCCTTACCACCTCGAGTCGGACGAAATGTGAAGATGGGGCCTCTGGAAGTGATTGCAGCTGATTATATCGATCCCGCTCGATTCCTATGTGGCCAGCAATCGGCGCTAGCTGCTGCACGCACGCCAAAAACGGTGCAAACACGTTCCGGGCAAGCCAGGGTCCAGCGCTTTTTCAGCGCCCTGTTCGCTGCGGCGTCCACCCAGATGCACGGCGAGTCCAAGATCCAGTGCGTCATGACTACGATACCTTCCGCCCCTGCCCGTCGTCGTCCTCGCACTTTGTACCTTCCATCACTCACGTCAATCCTTGGATCCCGTCCCAAGGCAATCCCCGTTGTCCCGACTCGCCTGGCAACCTCGCAAGCGCGAGCCTGACTCTTTCCTTTCGAGCTAATGTGTCTCGGATCTAATCGCCATCTGCAACAAGACTACCGTATCCTCTGACTTAACTGAAAAACCGCATAGACCATACGCTAGACCCCTTGTAGAAAGCGGTCAATCTATTTCTACACACACCCACCCATGTAACCCTAACCCTTGCCGCCAAACTTGCTGCTTACGTAAATGACTCCCTGTATTTGCCACATCTAGATCCCTGTTTCTGCCACCACGCCAGCCCCTTTTCAGCAGCCCGCGGTCTGTGCGGATTTTCAGTTAAGTCAGAGGATACGGTATTTGTATTTGGTCAGCGCGACTCGCGTTTGGCTCTGTTCCTATTCTCCAAGAACCCTAGATCCAATGGTCACCATGCTCGGCCGAAACTGATCGTAGCACCCAGACAACAGCAGTATTTACGCGCATGACGCCCAGTAATGATCTTGAGCCACCCAGCCTCTCCATCTTTGACTTGTTCGAGCTTTTGTGGTGGCGCAAAGTTCTGATATAGACAATCAGCTATCAAGCTTTGTTCAGCACGACACATTTGAGGACGTTGGGCACCACACGTAGCTAACTGTTTCGCCGCGTCTTAACTAGACTCGCAGCCTCGAATCCATTCCCAGTAGCGTTTTTGTCGTTGCGTCTATGCCCCCGGAGCGGGGCTTTATTCTATCTCACCATTTCAGCCTCATGCGCACGTCCTCGAGCGTCGATAGGTGGGATAAACACCGTTTCCGTGCTAATTCGTGCAGGATCGCCCGCTTCATACCAGCCTCCAAGGTTGATCTCCGAAAGCTTGCATGCTTCGAACAGAATAGAGCAATGTCTCGGTCCGAACACTAGTTATCCTCCTTGACATGTTTTGTTCCCAAGTACCAAGTGTCAGGGTTTCTAAAGAGGGGGGAGAAAAGGGAAACATCGGGGGTCTGTGCTGTGGCTGTTGATGTTCGACACGAGATTCCATGGCACTGTGTTTCTGTCCATCAATTCAGAGCCCTTCTTTATTGTGTTGAGTATTGGGCATGATACCTGTACTGTGTTTTTCCGACCGTACTTATCATTGTGTACCTGTGCGACCTGAAAAGGGACCGCCTTGGATACGTACCTCAATGATGTTCGGCACGGAATCCGTGCAGTCACATAATGCTCATCATAATGATGGTCTACCTATACAATAGATAGGTAGGTATTCGCCGGAGTAGATCTTCGGTTCTGTGTCAGCCATCCAGCCAGCCCCCGAACCCCTCTGTTAAACTAGGTACCTAGTCTACCAGATTTCGCCATTACGACCCCACCCGGTCCCTCTAAAAACACAACCTAATTCGAGTGAAGCTGTGGCTTGATCTTTGCCCAGTCGATGGAACATGCCGCAATAACACGGCAACGCGTTCCCTACCCTTGCATACCCTCACCGACTTCTCACAGTTGAGAAGATTTTCCGTGTAGTGGTTTATTCGAAAATAGACAGGAGACTTTTGGATTTTTGTTTTCTATCTCACGATTCTTCCTATATCCCTTCTTACCTACTACTATCTTACTGACCGACCCTCATCGCGTTTAGCTTCGTGCTGCCAGCTCTTCCAGCCAAAGTATTGATTATTCCAACAAACTTAATATCAACTCATTTTACCCGGTTCTCCTGCCTGTTACTTTCCAGTTCCTGCCAGACTGCTCATTCTTGGTGTTTGGAAACGCAGCCGAGATGACCTCCAGTCTCCCGCCCCCCGAGTTACGAGCCGCCATCACTGAGAAACTCTCCGAGCTCATCGCCGCCCTCGAGGCCCACCCGGCCTGGATCCCGCCGAATCCCCACAGGGGTCTCTTTCACGTCTGGGACTTTGTTAGCCGCTCCCGTTACATTATGACCGAGCTCGACCACATCAGGGACGGCGAGCCGGTGCAGCACCCGGAGCAGATCCCGCGGCAGAAAAAAGGTTAGGATTCCACCCGCACCCGTACCCGCACCGTGCACCCCGCTCCCGGCGCCGGACGCCGTATGCGTACCCCGCCCTCGCGGGCCAGGCCGGCCCTGGACACATGCGAGGGTTTGACGGAGGAAGATAGGGAAGCAGAAAAAGAAAAAGGAAAAAAAGAAAAAGAGAAAAAGGAAAGCCGGTCTTGTTAACTGACATGGGGAATCCCAGGCCGAACCGGTCCCGAAGCTGCCGCCGAGTCCTTCTCCGACGTGTGCGGGCGATCCGTCGCCGTCAACGAGATGGTCAGCAACCCGAGGCTTCTCACCATGATGGGCCTCCCGCAGGTAGACTATGGCAGCGGCATCGTCGCCAAGGCGCAGGCCGTCGTCGATGCTATTGGCCAGGGCCATTGAAGGGGTGTGCATCGCCGGCCGAACGGGGACGGACACACTGTTTTGATTAGAAATGTTTACACGCCACGATATCTTCCGCAGGAAAGACGGAGACGAGCACGAAATGAAACATGAAGGGAAAAAAAAAGAAGCACAAAATTGAAACACAACAACAGTCATGGTAGAAGAATGCGGAAAGGCCAGGGAGGGGGAAAGTGGAAAGGAAAGGAAAGGAAAGGGGATAAAGAGTAAATAACGCTCTTGGGAGGGTGTTTCCCACCGTAAAAGGAAATGTCTAGTTACGAATTGAACGTGAGTATACACAGGGGGTCAAATGGATGGATAGGCAAGCAGCGGCTTTTTGTCATAGAATGCCAGCCATGTGTAATGAAGGACGGGGCTGCACCTCACTGACCCAAGAATGGAAAATAGAGTACACGAGTGACTGCGCGCGAACGCAGGCTGCCGGAAAGGGTGGGGAAACATGCGAGTCGCGGGTTAATTTCACCGAGCCACATAAAGCAGCAACATTGAGGCAGCAGCCTCGAAGCCCCCAAGGCTTTTGTTGGTCGAGTTATACGAGAAAGCAGAGATGGCGAGTTTTGAAGACAGCCACTGGATAATCCAGCGGATCTATAGCGCCAGAGTCTTATTCCGCTGTTCCATAAGAAATACAGCTGCACGTTCGACAACGTCCGTTATCCGAGTGTTCCTGTTCATTTGGGTATGCCCTCCTTTTCCTCTCTCTCTCGTCCAAGAACTTTGTTGTCCCGCCAAAAGCAACCTATTTTATGGTCTAAAACCACAGTCCTCAAACAAGTGAACCGTTGATACGTGAAAGCCATCTCTCATCTGATGCCGGCCCATCGTCCACGTGCGGTGGCCGACTTATTCAACGCCAATCGCCTGCCAATGTTGCCAAAGCAGACACAGCTGCAGAACAGAACGCTCAACATCCAAATGCCCGTCTCGATGGTTTCCTGGCTGGCGAGACCCCCAAGAGTGATAGGGTCCGAGTAGGCCCTCTCCGACTCGTTGCGGTAGGTTAGGGATGACGGCGTTGGCATTATGTCGGGGTTGATGCCCATCAGCATCGCTGACCCGGCAAGGCCGACAGCCGCCGAAAGGAGGAAACCGGGTTTCGAGCGGTCAATCAGGTACCACAGAAACGGGTTGACCAGTGCCAGCGTGAGAGATACTTGCATAGTTGATGCCCAAGGAAGCTTGCGCTGCTCGCTGTTAGATCCTTGACACCCCATGTCATCTGTGTGGAAGAGCGACTTACTATGGCAAAAACGATGCCGACGAATGCGCCTATGCTGCGGACGACCAGGGCCCAGTCCTTTACCGGACTGGTGTCTTCTGGCGAGGTGCCAACCTCTTCTTCCTTTCCAAAGGTATCCTCCCAAACGCCATCGAACCAAGGGAGGAGGCCACCCAGGGCCACTCCAAACAAGCCCCACACCGTCAGATATTGCCAGTCGTAACCGGGCTTGATCATGCTTTCGACTTGGAAGGAAGAGAACCTATGCTCGTTCTGCAGTCGTGTGACCATCAAGCCGTATCCCATACCGATCAAAAAGAGTAGTGCGGCTCGAGAGATGGTGAAAAGTGCAGTGACGGCGGTCGACGGCGAGGGGGTGTTGCCTCCATTGTGATACGACGACCGCCGGCGCATCGGGCTCGAGCGGTCCTTCATGAGCTCAAAAGTTGTATCGTCGACACTCGCCCGCTTGACTGGTGTCTGGGCCCCATTTCCCCACGGGGTCTCTGTCTCGTCGCGGTCGTTGTAGCAGCGATCCTTCCCATAAGACGTTGGGGAGTATATGCCGAACAGCGTCGAGGCCGTTAAGTTCAACACAGACTGAGCCCGTGGTATGGAACCGGATTCCGAGGACGTCGCCTGGCCATTGTGCAGTCTAGACAGGTCGATCTCGGGGTTGGGACTAGGCGGGGACGAATCGTCCTCTGGAGGGGTCAGGCTCTTGTAACTGAAGTCGAATGGCCGGCGCGGGATGGGCCGTATAAGACGGGGGCCGTCGTCAGACATTATGCTGCCTCGGATCGATCTCGTGGGCAGACAGGTAGAGGAGACTGACGGAGGCTATGGGACAGAAGGATTAGGGATCTAGCTGATGAGCGTATGTGTAATGGGGGAATTGGATGAGAGATGTACCGACGTCAAGGGACGCAAAAGCACAGGTACGAGGGCGTCCGCGATGTTGTATGTCTATGTAGCGGAACAAATTACCCCCGCAAACGTCCTTGTGACAGGTTTGTTGTCGCCACAGCTGAGTTCAGACGAGGAGGTAAGCGTCTCGCTTCACGTGGGCCACGGAACAGCCTCAAGCTAGTGTTGGACGAAGGAATTGGGACGAACAGCGGCGGAGAATCGAGACTTCTACAAGTTGCAGCTGCGTAGACGAGTTGCAGCTGCGTAGAGGCTTTAAGATATCCAGTCCAGGGTTGAGAAACTGTTGGGAAGATTCAACGAGCTGACTACGGGGCACGAGAGGTCAAGCTCGGGAGAGCTGGTCCAGGACAACCCCGGTCAAGGTTCTCGTGGGTGAGAAGAGCGGAGTGGAGGGATGGGACGAGGGGGAAAAAGACCAATCAATATGCAATAGATAGGGACCAATCAAGGGTACCTTTGGTAATGCGACGAAAATGGGCATGCGTTAGGGCGAGGGGAATGAAGAAGGAGGAAGCGGCGGTAGCATCATCTCTCAGAGGTCAGTTCGCCGTGGCTTGCTAGTGTCTGCGACAGCGAGGACAGCATGAATGGTCTGGTCTGGTCTGGTGTGTACAGGCCGTGTGTGCGTAAGTGCGTGCGTCGGAGGGAGTATGGGTGTACGAGATGTGCGGCAAGTACTACTGGCGGGACTCGATGATGGAGGCAAGGAAGAGGAGGGGGGCGGAGGACGACGACCGGAGGCGACGGTAAAGCAAATGCGGACAACGGGCGAGAAAGAGGGGATCTCAGCGCGACGGTGGTGTGGTCTCTGCGTCGTGTGACTTGAGGGGGGTGAGCCAGTAACGGCCGTCGAATTGGACGCGGACGAGACGGAGAGGACGGAGAGAGGGGGGAAAAGAGAGAGAGAGAGAGAGAGAGAAATGCGAGAGACGGGTCCGAGAAATCTGGCAGGAAAGCGAGAAGAGGGGAGCTGCATCAAAAGGGATGGATGGGAAACATTCACATGTCGGAACCTGCACGTTTTACCATTTACTATGTAGGTACGGAGTACCTCGAACAGCTGTGTGAACATGATGGGGACCTACCCATGTCTGCTTCCCTTACCGCCGCCACCTCTTTCGTCGATGCAGTTACTCCGTACACTTCACTTGGTTGCATTAGAGATACTATACTTCGTGCTGTACAACACTTTGCATTGCTCTCTCCACAACTCTGTATGCACATGCATTGCGCTTGCCATTGACTGGCCCGCTGAGAAAAAGATTCTCTCCCCGTTACCACATAATCAGACCAATAGGCTTGTCGAAAATTCAGCTCTGCATTTGCACCTGTTGAGGACAGGCATATGGGTCGAAGCTACCTGAGGTAGGCACCCGCACCTAAGTACCTAGTTTTACACTACGGGGTCGTAGTCGCACTGCATGCAATAGGATTTTCTCCCTAATGGAGCCACATGACTGGTTGCCCGCCAAATTCGGCTGTTAAAATGACTTTCTTGGCCTGCTGATTCGCCGCTACCCCACAATCTGCCCGCCCCGGTTTTACTCTCCTTCGGCTCCCCTCCTTGGGCCACTGCCGTCTCCTCTTCTCACATCGTACCTGACCGACGCGCTGCAGCTTCACATATGGGGACTTCCAACCTCCTCCGTCTCCGCGCGACGTCTTGTGACTGCGACTGCGACGGCATGACATCCGGAATTTCGCCTCTCTTGCATGGGTCCTGAGAACCGCCGGTACGACCCTGAAACTGTGAGGGTTCACGTTTGCATCGTCTTAGCAGCCTATGCAAAGTACGATGCTCCAGGGAGAGAGAGAAAGGAGGAGAGGTGGGAAACTCTTTGGCGGTTTGCGACCAGTCCACGTATTCAACCATGGGTTCCTGGCCTATTTTTCCTTTCTTTTCCAAAGGGACAAGGGGAAGAATGCTGGGACCAGAGAACCCAAGCCTTGTGGTTTTACTAGGTATCTTTCGAGTCTATCGTAGCACGCGTCAGGGCGATAGCTTCCTGTCGGGGTCCAATGTCTCGCAGCTCTCCCCCTTTGAGATCACTTGTCGCTCATTCGCCCTAGGCTGCCGCCTCACTTGCAGCCTTCGAGGGAGACACACGGACGGACGCGGGACTCGGGCACAGACTGAGGCCCTAGACATCACACTAGGCGACGCCTCTCTTCTCAACCTCAGCCAAAGACTGCCGCGCTCGTGTCTGTGTTTCTTCTGAGCCCTATGTCTTTCCTGCGTCTCCCTGGCTGCGTTCTCACAGCCACACCGTCGAAACCTTGGAGAATGACGGACCCTTGGCCTTCACCCCGCCAAGACGTGCCTGGATGCAAAAGAGCGCGCGTTCGAAAAAGACACAACTGGGGATTGGCATGTAATTTGCAGACCAATACGAGACACCCCCGACGCGCCGATCAGTGGAATCCACGAACCAACCCCGGAGACGGCAACTTGGGGCCGATCCTCCGCCCGTCGTCTGAACTTCACCGTCAGGCAGAACTCAATCATACACGCACACACCCACTTACGGGTACAGCAATTAAATGGGATATCTTGAATTATCATTGTTGTTTGCACAGTTACTTTTTTGTTCTACTATTCGTCGTCATCGTCGTCGTCGTCGGAATCATCCGAGGCCTCATCAGCCTCGTCCTCGCTCTCCTCCACTCCCTCTGGCCGGGGTATCATGGTGAATGCCGCCACACAGGTGATGCGGTTGTTTGTGCTATATGTTCCCAGCAGCTTGCCAGCCTGCTTCGCCTCGATCTTGCCCTTGCCCTTGCCCTTGCTCTTGCTGGACTTGAGCTCCTCCGCGCCCACCTTCCATAG